GGGAGAGACAGCGAAGAAATATTAGACCCGCGTGCAGACGCGGGATGAGTCAATATTTTCAAATTTCCAGAAAGAAAATTAAAAAGCGGTGGAAAATATATTGAATTGCGATCTACGCATATTCCGTTAATTGTGTTTGCGCATGTCTCTTTCTCTCTCTCTCTCTCTCTCTGCGAAATAAACTCATATTCGTAAAATTGCAATTACGCTTTGTTTTTCCTTGTTTTCCGGACGCGCATTTCAACTCTCTGGCACCGTTCACAATAAACCCTTATCAAAATAAAGCCTCTGTCGCGCATCACATATCCACGTTGATTTACACCAAGGATTTGACGTACACCGGGAAAACAACATTGCAACGCGCGAATCTCTCGGCTTTATGTAACGATTGTCGCAAACATGCAGCTAACAGAAAAAAAATCGCGCGCAACGCCAGTTAAGGCACCCGATATCGTTTGTTTATCAGACGACAAAAAGATACCGAATATTCTGATTGTACGTATATAAAAGATCGAGATGTTACATAATATTATTGCGAAACTAAAAAAAAAACGCATTCTGTTTTGCCAGAACCGAAGTGTCAAACTTCGCGAACACGTTAAGACGCATATTTTTCACACAAGATCGCTTCTAACAAGAATCTTCAACAACCTTCTAATAAGAATCTTTAACAACTGCATTGCACGCATCAGAACGTATTTTCTCAGAATGGAAAATTATTTACATTGTTGTTGAAAAATGTTGTTTACGCAAATACGATAATTTTCCGTAAAATTGTGACAAAAAACCGCTCGTATATTTAATTAACAATAACACCTTTTTGGTGTTGCAACAAATGTCGTTGCAATTAACTTTTATCCTTCGTATTCGCACTTCACCGGATCGAAAAAGCGTCGATTGAGTTTATCACGCGCTATTGCAAGGATTACCTTGAAACTCGATTTTGCCGAACCGAGTGACAGCCGCTCGATCTCGGGGATATACGACCGCGCGCGCACACACGTTACCGTGTGTCATTGGCACAGATAGTCGCGCGAAATTTCGTCCTCGCTCTCTCGACAAAAAAAAACCGATCTATAGCAATAACTTTCTCTTTTATCGGCGATCAATCGTCGCGATTGCGTCCAAACATGCCGCAATCGTCGTTTCTTCGCGCGGACACAAAATGAGTGAGACATTAATACACTCGCGCGGGAATTTTAATCGAAGCGCCGAGCGCGTGAATTTATCATAAATTATCGAATAAATAGGTTGCATTTGCGTGTCGAAAGCAACGCGCGCATAAAATACTCTAAGTCGTTGTCAAGTCGACAATCGCGAATTAACAACTCGCGCGATTATCGCGCTTTTCATTTCGTCGTCGATCGATTGACGAACAGGTGACAACATTCGCGACTTCTGATCGATATATCAATTGATCCTTCGACACACACTAGACGTAATTCGGGAAAAAATCATATTTACGTGCATGTGTGATGATTCCTCGGCGAACAGGAATTGGCCGTCCGATTCGTCGTCTTCCTCGCTGGCGAATACGCCGCCGGTACTCTTCTTCCGGACTGGACTGAAACATTGCGCAACGCAACAACGCGCTATAATCGTGCAAGAAAAAACGGTATTACGTGTTACGTTCTTGTTTATTAGAATCGTGAGACTTACGTATGTTTCACGAAAAAAAAAAACAATTTTTTATCGAGATTTTCAATAAAGACAAGAATGGCGAATTATAGCGTCAAGATTTATGTCAAAGCGTACGGGAGAAAATGAATTGCGCGCTTTTGCGAACAGAATCATATTGAAACAACGCAAAAATTTCATTGACGCAATAAATTCGACAAATTCTTCTCTCATTTGTTTTTGACGCTCATTATCGGACACGTTCGTTATCAGCGGCAAAATTGTGCGGCATTCGACATAATTTTGTAATCTGAACAGGTTTCAACTGTGTACAATTCATCGTTGGCTTCGCGATCAAAGTTTTGGGGATGAGGGGAAACGAGGAGGGACTGTAACGCGCATCACGACGACGATCACCGATAATTGTCGCTCCCCGCTGAGATGTTGGTTTAATAAAGTCAGGAGGAACAACGGGAGCAACAAGTACACAGTTTGATTAAAGTGAAATCATCCAATGAGAACGCTCGAAATTCGAAAGATCGTCAATACGGGCGCCACTTAACTTGGCGAACATTGAATTCGTTTAAAAGACGAATCGCCAAGAGTACGATTAAAATCCGTACGTGTGTGTGTGTGTGTGTGTGGGTGCGTAATCTAATAACAGCCGATACATGTCATCGACGAATATTAAATTCGCGAACCGAATTCAGAGGTGCGGAGCGGGTTATTCTTCTGTTCCCACTTCTGCGAGTTCACTGGCATTAGTCACCAGTTTCAGTGCAGTCTCTTGAAGGAATGTAACGCGCATCTCCACTCCGATCTCTCCGTAGTGTTGCGAAGAGTTCGGCTGCGGCGTGGTGATGACAGTGTGGTACGACGACGCGATTATAAAATTATCACATTTATCACATTTTTGCACGCGGGATTGAGAAACGCGCTGAAATTATTTTTTTTTCGCGCTGTGATCAACCGAGAGAGGCAATCGATCGATAATCGGCGTTCTTGTTGATCGTTTTTTTGTGTTACGAAACGAATTTTTTTTTATTCAAAGCGAAGTGTATCCGCAAAACGGGATACGGAAAATATCGTTGTAAAACATCGTTGCGCTTCGATAATATCGCGCGCGTTCGTGTGGCCATATCGAATATCGAAAATATTCGAATATCAAAAATATTCGAATATCGAAAATATATAACTCTTATCGTTAAGCAACACAATTGACAAAAACGGGTTTTCGAGAAACTGCGTTGTCGAGCAATTATAATCTACAGTACGCCGACACGTGAACGATAAGAGATCGACTTTGTGTGTCTCTCGAACGAATAAAATGCATTATCTAATTAATTCGATACAAAGAATCTGGAATTCCGAACACTCTGTTGCGCGCCGGAATAAAAAAAAAAAAACTTTCTCGTGACATGAGCGATTAGATAACAAAATTGCAAATATTTTACGCGAACATTTTATATAATTTACACTATTGTTAACGCATTATCAAATTCACATTATTGTTTGTCGTGATTGCACGCATGTATTTGTATTTCAGAAAAAAAACATGAGGTTATATTATTATTTCAATTTTTTTTCATATTTAAAAAAAAAGTCTGAATAATAAATAAATCACATCGATATAATTAACATAAATGTAACAAAAAACAGCGCTGTGATTCTTTATTTTTCCAAACTGTTGCGCGTTTCAGATTATTTTATGTCTCAATACTGCAACTGTTTTCCTCAATTTATCAACATTTTTTTAAATATTCGAATTGTACTGATAAACTTCCACAAACAATTCCGCACGCTCTGACCGCACGAGAGATCGCGCGGTTTTACAATGTTTGTTATTTTACAATAACGTTCGCGGTCGTGGTCATCGCTGACAGATAACGCGCGGTCTCTCATTTCTTCAGTCGTTCCGTTTCGGAATCGACCGATCGGAGTCCGACAAATCCGAGCGTGAGAAATCGAGCGATTGACTCGGCGCGCGCGACAGCGGTGCCGCCGTCAATCTCGTCAAGAATCGCACGTTCTCTCGCGAGGAAAGTTCAGCTCAAAAGAATTGATCGGTTGTCCCGCAGATTCAGAGTCGATACAGAGAAATCCATTCTCTCAGTTTGCCGTGACATTAACAACAGTAGCGCCAGTCGCTCTCTCTCACGTTTGCGATCGAAACGAACGGCACCGATCGATCAACCGATCGCCGAGTCATCCGTTTTGCGTGTCTATTCGCTGTGATATTGCGATGATTGTGCGAGTGGATGTTACTTAGCCTTAGAGAAAGTGAGGTGGTGTCTTCTTCCCGCGCACAAGCGCGCCTTTTATCTCGCTACATTACGCTTCCATTAGTGAGATTAAACGTTTGACTCGCGTTCGAAAGCAAGTAGGTAAATGGACCCGCGCGCGACCGTGAATATAAAACTTGTTGTTGTTGGATACGGAATTTTACCAGTGTAAAGAAATCGGAATATCGATATTTCTATAACAAATCGGACAATTTGATAGATTTTCGCTTACCTACCTATCCGCGTCCTATGTAAAATATATCACTCAATCAATTTACTCCCCTTCCTCCAAAAGTATTGCGCATCGGTTTATTCCCCTTGGTCGAGCCGAATCCGAGACGTGATTTGCAATGTAGATTCTCAAAAGACTCCTCCCACGAGAAACGTAATCTTATTATCTTCGAAGATTTATTCGATCAACGTGATACAATCTGCTGCGACGCGTTCGTGCGAAATAAATAAATACTTTTTCTCTATTCCTAAACGCGCGTGTAAATTTTATAAAAAAAATAATAATTTGAATTTAATTTGAATTTAATTAATCTCGAAAATTCATCTAAGATGATTTGAATCGCATGTAGATGAAATAATTTTGAATATTAGTTTTTTTTTACTTATTTAAACGCGTAAACGCGTAACTGATATGCGCACACAAATGTGAATTGAATTTAATTAAATAATTAAATGATCAATAATCGTTTAAATAAATAAAAACAGTGTGTACACACGAACACCTAGCTCCACTGACCGAATAAATCGTCATTGCTTGATACGAGCTGCAATTTGTTGGTAAATTTGTTCGTAATTTCATTTATAAATTTATGTATGGAAGATCGACGAACAACTGTGTCTTTGTGCGCGCACAACGCACCGTTGTAGATCGAGCGTAAAATTATATTAGGCGCAATATTCAAACTTGCGATAAAACATACACAATCAAACTGAAATGTGTATGAGTTACAAAAAGATAAGTTAATTAAAAATAAAAATTTGCAAGGACTTTTTTCAGCGACGATATAAATTTGTCGATAAAAAAAAGTATATTATTATACAAAATGATCCTAAATCGCTCGAAGCTTATACGCAAATCTCTTCTTTCAGCGGGACGTGTCTCAAGGATTGCGATTCGAAACAGACGTGACGACGGAGGAACAAATTTTTGCAGCTGAACAACAATCGAAATGGCGAGCGTGGATACGGATCTCGAAGAGCTCATGTCCCATTTGGGGGAATTCGGCAAGTATCAGGCCCAACAATACGCCCTGCACATACTCGCCGCTCTCACAGCTGGTCTGCACATGTTAAGTTTGCTGACAGTCGGAGCGGTACCGGCGCATCGTTGCGAAATTCCGGGAGTAAACGTTTCCTCCGCTCTGGTCGATCCGCTCGACTCGACGACCGTCAGCAACTGGCGAAACGCGTCGATCCTCTTGGAAGATGTTCCGCGCGTAATCGACAGTTGTCATTACCTGGATCGCGACAATGTCACCCGGGAATGTATATCTTGGACGTACGACACGACGCACTTCCAGTCGTCGCGCGGAATCGAATGGAACTTCGTGTGCTCGCGACGTTGGATGGGCGCCGCGGCGCAATCCTCGTACATGTTCGGCGTGTTTGCGGGTGCGGTTACTCTGGGCAGCATGGCCGACACTTACGGGCGAAAGATCATATTTTACGTGTCCGCGGTTGCTCAGCTGGTGCTCGGCGTGTCGGTTGCATTGGTCAGCAATTATTACGTCTTCTTGGTGTTCCGCTTCCTGTACGGAATCTTCGGCTCGGCTGGCGCGTACATAACCGGCTTCGTTCTGACGATGGAACTGGTTGGCCCGACGAAAAGAACAATGTGCGGCGTGTTGTTCCAGTTGGTCTTCGCCGCGGGCTTCATGCTGGTGGCCGTATGGGGCGCCGTGATCAAGGATCGCATGTGGCTGCAGATTGTGTACGGCACCCACAGCGCGATTCTGCTCGGCCACTGGTGGCTGATGGACGAGTCGCCCAGATGGTTGTGGGCCCACGGTCGCGCCGCCGAGGCGATCGTCATCGTGCAGAAAGGTCTGAAGATCAACGGCAGCAACGTGCAGGTGGACGCCGCTAAACTGATCAGCCGATCGAAGGTGCAGCAAGAAACCAAGGAAGAGAAGTCGTACGGCGCCCTTGATCTCTTCAGAACGCCGAATCTTCGCAAGAAGAGTCTCAATGTCTGTCTCAATTGGTTCGCCAACTCGATCGCGTACTACGGACTGGCTCTCAACACCGGCAATCTCGTTGGCAATCCGTTTTTCATGCTGTTTCTCAGCGGTTTGCTAGAACTGCCGGCTTACATCTTCATCATCTTCACCATGGATCGCGCCGGCAGACGTTGTCTGGTCAGCGCGTTTCTGATAATCGGCGGAGCTTGTTGCGTATGTGCCGCCTTTATGACCGGTGCGACCGGCAACTTCGCGGCCGTCGCGACGATCACGATCGTGCTCGTGGGCAAAGCTTGCGTCGCCGGCTCGTTCGCCGTCGTGTACAATTACACCGCCGAACTCTTCCCCACGGTGGTGAGGAACACGGCGCTGGGTATCGGTTCGATGTGCGCGCGTCTCAGCGGCGCGCTCACGCCCATGATCTTCCTGCTGGACTCTTTGGATGCGCGCGTGCCCGCCGCGCTCTTCGGTCTGATCGCACTCGCGGCCGGTTTTCTCGCGTTCTATCTGCCGGAAACGCTGAACCAACCGATGCCGGAAACCATCGAGGACGGAGAGAACTTCGGCAAGGGCGACACTTGCTTCACCACCACCTGCATAAGCGGCAAGACCGAAACCGCTAGCGTCGCGATGGAGCAGATACCCGGCGAGCGAGAGGAAAAGGAAAAGTTGAATAATGTGTAAATCAGGTGCGCGCGCGTACGAATACACTTCACAAAGTGCCTTCGAGTACTTAGTATCGATAGAGTATGTGATTAGTAAGTACGTTTACCACCTTGGCATGGCGTAAGCAACGTGAAATATTGAATTGATGTATAATTAGGTAGACACGTGTACGTGTAATGTGTATACTACAATTAGAAAGAGAGAGAGAGAGAGAGAGTGTGTGTGTTACATAAATTTAAATTTTTTATAAGCTGCCTAGCGAGTAAAAATAATATTGCATAAATAGAATATTGATAAAAAGCTAACTTTTTAGACTTTAATCGGTTGGATTAAATTTTTTGATAAAACCGGCGGTCGGGCAGGTGCAATTGCGAAAATTCGTTCAAACGAATCTGACTTCGAGCTTTAGCGCGTTTTGTCAATTTACCGATGTATTTTTATATTTTATGAATGCGCTTTTTCCATTCAAAACAAAATACTGCAATCTACGCGTCACGATGTACATATATACGCGTGGGCTGCGAAGTCAAGCAACGTCTGACAAGTTTTCCCGCGCGTTATACCTCCCTGTTGATTAAAAATAGCCGAGTCGCGCGGTATAGCGCAATGTAGAGATTACGCTTCTCGTTTGAGACACAATAATTTCGACCGATCGGTCAATGTGCGTTTTAACGTACGCGCGAGCGATCGATGCGCGAGATGAGCTTTTGCGCGAATCCCGCGAAAATTGCACGCTTTTATATGAGCGTCGTAACGCGCTCGCGCGCTCCGAGATACGCCAAATTCCACACGTGCGTGACATTCTCAATGGCGGAACACAAATATATATATATATATATCGTTTCTCATCAAACGTATATTTGAAAATATAAACGACGCAAGTGCGCAATTTAAATAATAATTAATTATTTAGCTTAACTCTTAACCAACACATCCCTCCGTTTTTTTGCTCTCCGCACATACACACGAACTGTGTCAATTGATAGAAAACTAACAACACTCTCTCTCTCTGGATATAGTCAATGAAAGATTGCTCGAGTGTATGAAAGTTTTAATGAAAGTGCAATTAGCGAAGTACACACACATACACACACACACGCGCGCGCGCGCGCTTGTCCTCCGATTCGCGTGTATTCGAAACACGTACGTAGGAACTGGGGTGAATCGGAGCAAGTTTTTGGTACACTGAGAGAACAATGGAGAGAGAGAGAGAGAGAGAGAGAGAGAGAGAGAGAGAACGTGTGCCTTTGCGGAAAATAAGATAACGCGCCTTGAAATTTGTTGAGCCACACCTTGTTTCCAAGCTAGAACGTAAATCCGACCCTGATAATCGGGCACTCACCTGCGTTATCGAGCGCGCCCAGGTCCATGCGCGAGGGATGCTGGAGCTGGATGCGAGACGGGAGTACACGATAGCAAGGAGCGCGCGTCGCCGACTGAACTCCCGTTCCGCTCTCGTCCATTAAATCGCGGATAGCGTTGCACCAGCGCGCGCAACCCCATTCAAACGCGGCTACGATCGTTTACCAGAAATTTGATCTCCCATGAAATGGAATTGGATCGCGCAAAGCATCCTAACGCGTATCTCCGTGCTTCGAGATATTGCGTCCAATTACTACGTGGAAGGCTGGAAAATTGAGAAAAGCACGAGAGGGAGAGAAGGGTCGAACCTCGATCAATAAAGATCGAGTAGCTGTAATTAGTTCAAATTGCCACGCGTAAAACAGCTGGATGTATCCTAATTGCGATTTCTCGACGATACGCTCACAGACAGCCAAAGGGGGCCACGGTACGTTTAATGCGCTTTAATTAGTAAAATTAGACGTTCGTTAAGTGAAATTAAAAAAAAAAAAAAAAAACTATTGGACGAAGGCGCTAAAAATCTTCCTCACTTTTTCCAATTGAAGCCACTTTTAAAACCAATTATAAGATTATTTTATTCCTCCCGCTTTAAGTGAAAAACCAATTGCGATAATCTGAATGTTTTAAAAATTATAGTTAAAAAAAAAAAAATACAATAAAATACAATAAAATTTCAACACTTGGTTTTTTTTATTAATATTTAGAATTAAAACCACTTCAGCGAAGACTTAAACCACTTTAGCGAAAATATTCACAAAAGATTTTGTCAAAAGAATGCCGAACTAAACGTGGGATTATACAGATTTTAGATTTTGAATTTTTTTTTTTTTTATCGTTTGTTTTCCCTAACATTTGGCAAGAATGATCCTTGCCTTCGTCTTTCGTGGTTTCGAGCAAAGACTCGACGCGCAATAACATCGATGTGTCTATCGACTTCGTCACATAATTATTCTAATAACAAATTCTGTCGAAACCTGACATTGTGTGTCGTCAAAAAGTATAGTAATTTGCGTGTGGTAATTGGCAACAATTTGCCGCCGACATTGCGTTTCTTGCTTATATAAAATAAGAAGAGAGGTGCAACATCGGTGTATTCACGGCAATTTTTTTTATTTTATTTCGAACATTGATAAAATATATATCGTGTACATTATTTTTTATCTACAAGATTGATTGATCGTAATTTTACATCAATTTTTTGATTGCCGATTTTCTTGCGTAGATTACGACACTGGTCGTGAATCGCGCGCATCATTTGCGATTTACGTTATCACGTACGTCACAGAATAATGCGCGATTATATCCACAGATATAACGGGCTTTGCGAAACGCAGTCGTCGTAGCAGCAGCGCGTCTCGATTCTTGAACAACTTTCTCGCAACAACATATCGTGGCGACGAAAATCTACAGATTTGTCGAAAGTCTGTAGATTTTCGCGAAAAATCAAGTTATTCAAAGAAAAGAATCGAGATGAGAAACCCAACGCTATGTGCTTTCGAACGACGAGCTTATCGATCACACGACCGTGTGTCCACGCGTTACTATAGATAATTAATGGAATGAATATACAACGCGCGCAAGTGGCAGCAGCAGTAGCATAATTGCTGAATCACATATATATTTTTTTTGTTTTATATATATATATATATATATATACTTCCTTTTCATTTTTTTTTTGTTGTTGTAACATTCTCCTTCTGTGTATAACAATCTGAAGTTGTCTGAGATTTTTTTTTTGTTAACTTTATCTTTAAGACTTTAACGTTAAAACGATTAGGACGTAAAATTAACGTGTCATACGTTATTTCACGTATCTTCCTGAATTAAAAATAATTAAAATCCCTGACGAAAAAATAATCTGACAGACAGACAAAGGATAAAACCGAGAAAAAACAATTTATACTAGTGATGTAGTATGTTTAAAGCCGAGTTTTGCGCCCAATTAATTTTACGTTAGCTTTGATTGACAAAGTGGCGTAAAATCTATATCTATATCGATATGTTGTTTTTTTTTCTTCTTCTTCTTTTAATACGTTTACAATAGTAAACATTAATTATACGTTAATTATGTTAAGATTGTACAAGTAATGTTTATATACGACGCACGCGCGAAGTTTGTCGCCGGACGTCGTTTTCGTTATTCTAAACTTGTAAAACGGTAAGAAAAATATAGTTTGAAATTGTTATTGCATAATTATCTTGTGCACATACTGGCTGATATATGAACACGTAATAATCTGTACGTAAAAGTACTGAAGGAGGCACATTGTCAAGCTCGCTTGAAACAATCCACACACCGGGCGATTTGATTCTTCTTCTGTACTTCATCAGGCAAGAAGATCACGGCCTAACGTCTATGTACAAAAATATTTAATACAAAGAGGAGTTTCTTTCGCGCGCAAATATTCGATAAGTATATATCTAACAATTATTGCTGTGGACTAGCGGCGGCTTGCTTAATTATTCTTCGTCATCTTTTTCGTCCAGAATACTCTTGAAGCAAAACGGCTGGAAAGGATATCCCAAACCCTCGTAAAACTTGCTCATAAACTCGACCCTGAAATATAAAAAAAAAACGCGCAGACCGATTAACAAAAATAAAACACGTTAATTAATTAACGAAGAATATTAAATAGGAGAAAACGCGACGTATTGCGAAGAAAAAATTGGAAAATTAATATTAAATTAAAATTAAATAAAATAAAATTATATAACATTACTAATAAATCTTAAAATATTAAAAGAAGTTTTATACGTTAAAGTTTTATACGTTATTAATTGAAAAAAATCGCGCGTACCAGTGCAGTCGAAGCGTGTGAAGAAACGCTGAGAGGCCTTCCATCAGTACGAGAATGACGATGGTGAAGAAGGCCCAAGCGGCGAAACAGGCGAAAAGCACGACGCTCATGTAAAACTGGCCCTCCTCGGCGGCTAACCCCATGTGCATCAGTCTGCCCCAAAGCACCTCGGACAGCTGAGAATGAGCTAACGACAACGCCCATAACCGCAAATAAGACGCGGTATGCGAGACTGTGGAGAGAACGTACTCAATGGTGTGAATGATCTGATGGATCATCAGCTCGCTGAAGCTGTTGTCGTCGTGCCCGTGACCGCCCGTGTCGTCCTTGCTGGTACTTGGACTCGCAAGTCCCTGGGTTTGCATCTCTATTTCCTGAGCATTTCCGTTGCTCTGGATAACCAATCGGCGTCGTAATATCGTGTATAAATATAATAACAATAACATTGAGATAAATAATTAAACACGCTGTGAGAAGCGAAATAACGAGACACTTACGGTAATTTTGTCCGCAGACGGTTTTTTCTTTGAACATAAACTGTGTAACGGTTTTCCGAAGAGCATTACGGGTATGCAGAGAAGAGCGCAGCCCAAGAAGATGTACTGCAAAATCTCTTGCCCCTCAAACATGTACTCGGAACAACCCTCCGGTGGTTTTGTGTGTTTGAAAAGCATCATGTTGATGAACGTGATCAGCACCGATGGCGCGCAACCCGGTTTCAGTCGCAATTCTGCATCACAACGCATATCGCATCACGTTAGCGACGTTGTGCAAGTTACGTTGTGCGAGACGATGAAGATTGATTATATATTTATTTAATAAAAGAATTGAAAATAAATAATCACTACTTGTGGCAAATTTGCGAGCAAATTGTTTGAAATGCTTACCATCGGACGAGGCGTTGTAGATGACCCATTTGATGAACATCAGAACGGTCATGTAAGCGAACAGCAATACAAGGAAGAGCAGTTGCGGCAAAAATTCAAGGAAGAAATTGGAATATCTCTTAAAGTGCCTAAACACAATTACAAATTTCTAATAAGACGAACTCTTACATCGAGAAGAGCGTTTCACACTGCGAGCGTTACATAAAAAAATACTGTTCAAATATTATTAGTTATAGCAAATAATATATTTTTTTTTAATAAAAATAACGTGTGTAATTGTTTGCGACCTAATTCGCCTTTTATTTTCTTATTTGTTTCGTCGACTCAAAAGTTTTTCGACGTTATTTTTGCGACTTTTTTTGTTTTTTTTATATTCTTCAAACAAAATCTTACCAGATATTGACGAGATTCATGCACACGCCGAAGATCATGTGCACGACGCCGAAGATGATGGACAGCTTCATCTTGAACGAGTTCTGAAATACAATCTTGTTGCTAGCGAGCGCCCAGACCGGGTCTACACCCAGGACATAGGGAGTTTGCAGATAGTTACCGGCACTCTCCTCCGGCAGCAAGTCCAACTTCGGATTCTTCTCTATATAACTATAATTGAAATTTGCCCGCCAACTGGATCCGAATATGTTAAGCGATTTCGCGAACACGTCGTTGTAGATCAAACCGCTGTAGATTGAAAAGAAACCCATGAGAAGAATGATGTAACGCCCGCCGAAGAACATATTCCAGATCTCGTTGTCCGATTTCTGCGCGATGAATTTCTTTTCCCACAGCACCATGGCCGCGCCGAACAGCGTCATTATCAGTCCTAATCGAAACGTGCAAGACATGTCCGATAACGATAACAATGCGACATATTGTACATTCTACATGTGTTGTTACACTTTTTATTTATTTGAAATTTGTAATTTTAACTTTATTCCAAAATAAATTTATAAATTTCAAGCAAGATTTTAATTTTACTTGAAATTTCGAATTTTATTCGAACGTTTGTTTTATCTGACATTTGTTTTCTTTTGTTATAATAAAAAAAAAAAAAATTGTCGTTGTTATTTTGTTTCGCATTATCGTTTGACTCACCGTGGCCGGCGTCGCCGAACATGACGCCAAACAAAAATGGAAACGTAATGATGGTGTAAAGCGCCGGATTAGCTTCGCGATACGACGCCACGCCGTACGCATCGATCAGATTTTGAAAACCTCTCGTGAATTTGTTCGTTCTATTGAACGTCGGAGGATTCTCGTCCGTGTGGATCACATTGAGGAAAGCCGGCATGGAGTTTCCGCATTGCCGCTAAAAATAACACGTTTCCACGTTCTTGTTCAATTTTTTTTTTTTCAAATTATTTTTTATATGTAAGCCGGCAATAAAGACGTATATATATATATATATATATATATATAGCTCGTGTTGTGAATTCGCGAATTCATTCGTTTGTAAGCGAATATACCGACCGATCCTTCCGTAAGACAGGCTTGCACGACTGCGAGATCGGCAATAGGCACCCAGCATTCTCCGATGAGACATTTTTTTGACACGTCCATGTTGAACAGATTCATCGTGTGGTAAATAGCTTTCATCTTTCGCACCATAATGCTCCAGTTTGGCAGTTCTTTCGCCACGTTGTGCAGAACGCGTTGGCGATGATCTTGCGTCTGGCTCAACACCTTTAGCAGACACGATGATTGCGTGACGATATAACAAGCATGTTGAAAGTGAAATGACGCGATTTTTATCATTGAATCGTTTTTAAATAGTCGGATGATCTTTAAATAAATTTACATTAAATTTTCATTGCCATCTATTTTTTTAACCTAGCCTATCTCACCAGTTTGAAATCCTCCAAACGTGTTCGCACGTCCTTGAGCATCTCCTGACGTTCCGCATTACTGGTCGGACACGGATAGAGCGAGGCGTGGAAGCCGATGCAGACTTTCTTGATGCGATTCTTCAACTGTTCTCCTTGGAAAAACGCCACGAAAGCCGTTTTGTAGATTTCGTTTCCCTGAAAATACGCGGCGAAGAAAAAAAAAAGAATCAGGCGCATCAACGAACTTTTCGAGATCAAAATCGATCGGACAGAAAGAAGCGAAAACGATAACGAAGAACGCCGCGAAACTTGATGAACAACAGCAAAGACGCAAAAAAAAAAGAAAAACTAACCGTAGCGGGATCTTCCAAAGGTTCGTCAAGTTCGGATTGTCGGAGAAACACGTTTCCGCGAGATATGCGCCACAACATCCTCTCAAAGGCCGGAACGCGTTCGCGATTTATCACTCCGCCGACGAACCTGCAAGGAAACGGACATCGTCTCGCAACGCGCGCATTTTTAACGTGTTGTTAATTATTATTGTTATATTTAACAGACGTGAAGAGAGACAAAGATTGAGAGAGAGAGAGAGAGACAGAAAGGTGCGAGCCACGGCTTATCTGACGGCTTTCTGAGATCTGACGGCGAGATGACTTACTCCAGACGTCCGCGAATCGAGGCGACTGGGTTCTGCGGTTCCTCGCTAATGAGCGCCTTGGTGATCGAATCGTTGGCCTCTTCCTGTTGATATAGAAGAAGATACGAATCTTGATTCTTCGACAAAACGGTAACATCGATTACACGAAGGAGGACGGCGCTACGAGCAAAAGCTGCTGAACTACTTTAGGTACCTCCGTGAAAAACACTTGCGTCCTCTCGAGCACGTGCTGTAATTCCGTTAGCTCGAGATAGCTGCTCTTCAGGTTCACCGCGTTCTGGCTCAGCTCTAGTATGTCGTTCTCCGTTTTCTCGAGATGCGCCTGTTGCGTGATAAGAAAACAAACACAAATTGAGATTACCCCAAATTAAAAAAAAAAACAAATGCCAAGAAAAATCGCCGAGATGTTTGATCTCTTTTGTTTTTTTTTCTCTCTCTCTTATTTTTACCTCGAGGTTGATAATCTCACGCGGAATGGGCGCGCGTGGTAGTTCAGTGAGATTATCTAAGATGGGCACGTCGTCCTTCTTCACCTCCGCCTCGATGTATCGAAGTTTGCGCTCCATTTCGTCGCATCGTCGGACCTCGTTGACGAATTTCCGTTGAAAATAATTCACGTCGCTGTTTAGCTGAACAAAGAAAGAAACACGTCGCGGATTTATAAATCGCCGCTCTCTCTATTCGGGAATATAAATCACAAGACAAAATTATATATATCGCCCCTCGTTACACGAAGCAATCGGATTCGTTACGCCAAATGAGACGGGCGACGAAAGTCATTGCAAAAAAAACGTCTAATTCGACTTACGTCACGAAATTGTACCGTGCCGGTTTCTCCAAGTTCGGAAACGGAAAGGTAAGCCGCTTCCGGCTGAATGAACAGCTGGCAGAGAGCCATTTCCGCGCTCCTGAACATCGCCCCCATCGTCGAAACGCGACTTGATTCTTACCCTGCGGCAACGAGAAAAACAAAATTTCTTAACAATCCAACCGACCAACAATATATTCTTCGCTCTTCTAATTCAAATTCAATTGCAAAATAACCATTTTTGTCGGCGAATCCTGAAATTCCGTTGAACGGAATCTTAAAGATAAAAAAACTAATATCGTTCAGATAAAAAAAAAATGTTGCTTATCATTATCTATATTGTTTCTTCAATAACAGAATTTTATTATCTTCTCGTTAAAAAAAAAAAAAAAAAAAAAAAAAACCTACACGTAGAAAAGACGATGGAAAAAAAAGCGAAATTCTGTGAAAATAATAGCATACGTATCGATAAATCTTAACTAACAGAAGTTACGACAATCGCTCTTACTTTAGAGAGTAAACATTGATATTAGATAAGACAATTGTCTCTTGGAAAGAGAGATAGAGAGAGATAGAGAGAGAGAGAGAGAGACGTGTATCTTACTGGCGCGACGAGCACAATATTATCAATCAATAAATTTGTCACGTAAGACGCAACGAGATATACATATAACAACAACGGAAAACTAGGCCATTGTGTCACGACAATCAAATAGTAATTACACGCGGGTTTTGTATGCGAATTAATGTGGCTTAATCCCAATTAAGTCCGCATCTATTAAAGTGAAGAAGAATCGTCGCACGATCGTCGCACGTCGCACATCACAAAGTGTGTGTGTGTGTGTGTGTGTGTGTGAAATATAGCCGCTATATGATTTACTCACAGAGAAGACAGACGCAATTGTCTCCGCGCTCTCGCCTTGACAAAGATCGAAGATCGTTTTGCTGCGACTCTCTCGTTGTTCAGTATATCTAATTTATACACACGTGTGTAAAACACACTTTATTCGTCCGCAAACACAAATTCCGTCACGAAATGCACCGACTGCGGCGACGCACAGGTATAATTAGACGGTAATATTTATCGTTTCAGACGACACACCCGTGAGCGCGCGCGCACACACACGCACACAGAGTACGATCTAATCACCGAAAATTTAAATAGTGTTTTACGGCGTTAAATATATTTTTTATGTAGATGTGATGAGGCGCGACAACGGCAAACACCGGTTTGCGAGATAAGCGAGAGGGAGACGATTCCGTAAATATGCACGCTTCAAATAAAAGTGACACACTTGCACACTTTTTCTTTATCACAAGTAGAATTGCTGCTCTTATCGCGTTTGCTGCGAAGAAAAAAAAAGTGCCACTCATTTGTTTTTCAATTTTTTAAATTAAAAAACGCTACGTATGTCAGTTTCGCGAATTTTGAAAATCCAAAACACATGAGACTTCTCGAAAATATCTCGCCGTTAGATCGAGATTATCGCAGCGCGGACATTGCGCGCGGAGATGCGATAGTTAATAGAAAAAAAAAAAAAAGAAAACCTGTTGCAACAATAAAACGAAACGCGCGTGTAGAATATTTTCTTATCGTCACGTATAGTAGCAATGCGAGTTAATGCGTGTGATAAGACAACGCGATAAAAGAGGAATTCAGTAGTTCGTAATTAAGTGCAGCCGGAAAATTGCTTTAGGGAAAAAAACACGCACACACGACAGCGGTTTCGTGTGAGATAATAATCGAACTGTCGGTGTAAGAGATCTCGCGATATAATCGGAAGATGTGATCATTTTTTTTTTCTATTCATTATCCGCATTTTTTTGGGAACTGCTTGATTGCGAGAGTTCATCTCGCGACGTTACATAATTGCATAAGAGAATTTCTCGCGCCGGCAATTTCTTGTGTCTGAATAAAATTCGATTAGCTTTATCACGCACACACCACACCGTGCCGAATTTCCAGATAGAACATTAAAGCACAGACGATGTTATCGACACTATTGAGCGCAAAGCGCGTTTCAAGGTCTCTCGAATTCTCTTTGGAAGCGGTATTTTTATCGAAAAAACACAAAGGATTGTTGCATCGCGTTTTTGTTTCCCACGATCTCATGATTATATAAAAATTAAAGAGAAGAAAAAACGACTTTAAAAATAATTTATATCTAATTAAGCTAATGACTTTGAAGTAATTTAAACCGCACGTATAATATTTTTCTCTTCTATTTAATTACATTTTAATTACATTTTGAGAGTTTTAATATATTAGTTAAACATCCAAGCCTGTCCTTTGTGTATATTTGACACTTTGCTCTGTACGATTGAGGAGAAGGACAAAAGAGAAATCGCAGGCAGCAGTCCAACAAGATTTCCGTCTAGAATGTTGTTAAATTTAATTGCTCGTAGCCAGGCTCTTCTCCCGTTACATCGTTGCACGAGCGAGGCTGCAATTGGCTAAGTGACTTATTTTGCTGTTAGGCAAATGTTTAATCGGAACGCTCGCTAAGATACGCACCAACTACTTGCTCTTTTTTTTTTTTTCAAGATCTGTGTACCAGAGTGTTCGATGGATAAAAACAAAAAAAACTTACGTACAAATTTATTTTACAACGGAATTGACTCGATTTCGTTGAACTCTCACAACAACCGGGAGCCGCGACAGTCGGACGCGACAATTGCGTGCGAAAATGCGGCAAATAGGTAAATTGACAACGGACGGGCGTTGGTTTCCTGTGAAATTGCACAAAGTGATCACATAATCGAAATCGCACCTCGAATGTGCACACGCGCGCGGCGAAAGATAAAAATCATTCAATTTCGGCGCTTATCGGCGTTTTAATTTATCGAAATAATAAAAGAGAAAAGACGAATATAACGTGAGAGACACAAACGCGAATTAAAGACAGAATTAAAGAAGAAGAAGTTAATGAATTTCTCCGTTCCGAGAATTGTTCCGCAGAACGGAAAGTAATGTACGTGCGGTAGAAAGCGAGACCGCGTTCAATTAGATGAATGACATAAAAACGAGGAAGAGGAGAAGAAGGAGGAAGAGAAGAAGCGAATAACTCCACTTATACTGCTGATTAGGTTGTAACCCTAATAAACTCGGAGCAACAAGTTCTTCACGTACGTGACGTTATGGCCGGCTTTGGTTAGGCCGTGTGAGATTACAGCTGCTCACGAGACGTCGATCTTGCGACAAGTGTTATTTGAAAAAAAAAAAAAAGAAGAAGAAGAAGAAGAAGAAGAAGAAGCGCGAGTCGATTGCGCGATTCGATTGCGCGACACGATAGCAATCGAAGAAAACGAGCGCGACGAGAGAAAATAACGTGAGAGAGTTTCGAAGCGTGTGCTACTAGCAAAATTTCTTTGTGTGCGATTAAACACAATTTGCAATTACAAAGAAAAAACGGAAGAGGCTCTACATTCGTGCAATTATTTTCTTTTCCGAATGTGAAAACTGCGTTTCGCCAGCAGCGAGTAAAAAATGCACAAACGCGTCGATTACGCACCTTTCTCAATCGAACGTTAAACGTTAATCGTCGATTATCGTTTATCGGAAATATTACTCTGAAATCGTTGCGCAGATCGTTATTCAATTCACGGATCAATTCACATTACTCGATCGTGTCAGAGTGCGCGAGATGTGTTCAGACAATTTGAAATATCGATAATATTTAGAAACAAATGTTTTAACATGGATTGAAAACGTATAATAAAATTTTCAATATATCGATAATAAAAAATTTTCCTAACTTGTAAAATATAATATTTATGTGTGTGTGTTATTAAATAATATTTATGTGTGTCCTTTTGTAGAACTTCTAAAACAGGATCTCTCTGCCAAATAAAATGTTATCAAGTCGTGATGAAGACCGCGTCGCCGAATCGCACGCGTAATCGATCATCGTATAAGCACAAATATCGCAATTAAATCTGCTTTGTAATCTCGCCGACACAAACTCAAGGTTGCGCGATTTAAATCTCTACATACAATACGTATGTATTTCATCGAGTCGAGAGATTATATTTCGAACGTATATATTCACAGAAATTTGCAAACGCGATAATCGCGATAATCGACGCCAGGATGTTACCACTGGAGTGTCGCCCAATCTACAAAATGCGCGAAAAACAAGTGTAACATCTCCGATCGCATTCGATTATCGAGTTGTGTGCCGAGTTGTCACTCGACTTGGCGAAGTCTTCTCTCTCTTCGCGCGAGAGAGTCGTGTTCCCGCCGCCGTTTCGAGCGCAATTGATGAAATCGCCGCGTTGACACATCACTCCCACGGATCGATCGAGTTAATTACCTTGATTGAGACGAGACAAATTTATCGAATTACGGACGAGTTGGGCAGACAGGAACAAATAAAACGAAAAAAAAAAACACACACACACACACACACAGCGTGGAAATGTTGACTCGCGCTTGATGACACACTTGTCGGATAAGCGGCGGTCGCGATAAGCGCGTTACGCACCGCGCTGTGAAAAGAACAAAAAGAGGGGAAAAAAAAATTACATAACAACACCGGTCGCAACACACCACGGAATTCGAGGCGGACAGCGGCGATAATGGTTGTTCGCGGGACCGGCGCGCGTCTCACACTACTTGCGAGTTCGCGCCGGATCCGATTTGAACAAGTCCTCGGGGCCTCGCAACACAACAACGTATGTACGTACGAGCTATACAACGAACGGGCGAGAGAGGAGAGAGTGAGAGAGAGAGAGAGAGAGAACTCTCGCGATGAGCTTGCTCGTTGTATTATACATACATATATATATGTATATATATGTATATGCCAGTGGCAGATGCGCTCGTTCAAATCAATTCAGCTTGTCAGGTATGCCATTCCGTACGTCCGTAGTCCAACGTCATCGGGCCGAGTATCGGTCACGCGCGAGATAATCGTTCCCGTCCACTCGGAAGCTCGAAGATTAAAATTCACGCAAAAGATGAAAAGATAGAGCGTGGTTTCTTCGAACGGGTGCTTTTCGCGATCCTCGCGGTCTGAATCATCAGATACGTCGGTTGCACTTCGCGGAATTCGAAGCATTGTTTTCTCATTAACAAGTTAACTCTCAACGCGCTAATTGAAGAATTTTTTTTTCGAAAGAAGGCGACAAAATATTTGTATTTTTCTAAACCAAAAAAAAAATAAATAAATAAAATAAAACTCTCGTGCGGAAAAAGGAAGAACTTTACATTGTGCAAAGACGACAATTGAAACACAAATGACTCTCGGAAAATTAGAGGAGACGAGTGCTTCCGTCGAAAATTTTGAATTCCGCTCGAGCGCTAACAATTACAATAACATTCTTCTTTTGCAAAGAGAAACGTCGCCGAGAAACATTGAGCTCTAAATACGTGCTAGTTTAATTCGCGTATAGATTTTTTTCGAGCGACGACAGAGGAAAATTTCGGCGCGCGCGAGAAATAATTCAAATAGTCGCGAGCGCAAACAAAATTACACGACGATACGAAAAAAACATTCATACTCTCGTACATTATGCGCGCACCTGATCTGACATTCAAACACAGATACAGCCGTTGTTGTTGTTCACTTCATTAGTCGTTTTTGACAGGCGGTTAATTAAGATTTCTCAACGTGTCGTCGTTAATTTACGTCGGTCTGAGACGATACGGGCAAACAAGAAAATGAACGTGAAACATCGATTGCGAGCAAACCAAGTGATTTCGTTAGCCGAACATCACCGAGAAATCTTAAAAAAAAAAAAAAGTTTAACAATGTAACAATTACGACAAACAATTATATGCAGCAGCAGAAGAAAAGCATTTGCGAAGCATTTTTTTCGAGAAACTCGACATCGCAACTGAACGATTTTCTCGATTTCTTGTGATCTCTCGTTCCGTATTTTCAGACGCGAGATTTCACACTGAGACTTTTGTTTCCGGAAATCGAAAGTGAAAACGCACACACACACACGCAGTAATGCGCGAGAAAACAGAGAAACAGACCTGTCGTGAACAAATTTGACGCACACGTTCGCAGTGTGTGACGGGACACCCCTTTTTAGTTCCGCTCTAAAGTCACGCAGGTGCGTCGATATCCTCGACTGATTTGACTAGATCCGATCCAACGAATAATATCCCACCTCGAGCCTCCGAAGTGCAAGGAGCAGAGACGGGGAAGAGCGAGAAGAGGGAGTCAGAACTCGTGACAATCTTCTGTCGGGAGATAAGAGCGAGATTGTGACAGAGAGTTACGTTGTCTTTTGTGTGTAGCGCGCGATTGTGTAAAAAAAAAAAAAAAAAAAAAAAACACTGCTTCCACATGTACGTATGACAAAAATTTGACTGATTAAGATCGTCGGAAGTGCGTTGCGACACTCCCGAAATTACACTGTAATGCTAATCGATCTCGCGATCTTATCGATAACGAATTTGGCGAAAATGACACAGAGAAAGAAAGAGAGAGAAAAAACTTCCTCAAAAAATAAAATTGAGACGCACCCACCGCTCCATTTATTAATTTACAGATGTAAATTAATAAATTGATCAATAAATTAAAGATATCACACGTTGATTTTTTCGACTGAGGATAATTATAACCGCGCGCAGTTTTTCAGCTATTTCGAGCAATGTCGCGAGTTTAAAAAATATACATATGTAACTCCGAATTGGTGTGAATAAGATAAGGAAAATACCGGAGCGGCGAAAAGTCAATATTAGCCAACGCGAATAATTGCGCGCGAAACAATGACACCACGGCTCTCTGTTCGGTTAATTATAATCGCAATTTGCGCGTTGCGTAATAATACACGGGAGTTTGTTCGGGAAATTTTTTTTTTTACTCGAGTATTTTCGGATAGATCGATTTTTCACTATTCAGAAAATAAAACTAACGGAAGATATTTTTTTTAGGTTCTTCCTCGACTATTTTCTCGCTTCGCATCGACGCGGTCGAAACACTTCGTTCTCGAACATTTAGATAAGAACTAATGACAATAAGTTTTTTCGATAACGTTTCCGTTTTCTTACTTCCGTTGTTTGCTTCGAAAGAATTTTTTTCTGATAGAATTGAATAAATAAATCATAAACAACTCTTTATACAATTGTTTTCTCTTCATTATCATCCTTTGATTGGCGTTCCGCGTCACGAAATTAAAATTCACAATATATATTTTTATTCGAAACATTTCCTCGCGCGTATGAACATTTTCCGCGTAAAAGCTCGTTTCGCTTCTCTGAACACCTCTCGACACTCGGGAAAAAAATATTATATTGCAATTGTGTATCGCGTGCAGTTAAACGCAAAAAAAAAAAAAAGAGATAATTCATCTGCGAAAATATTTGATAAGAGCGACGAGAGATTAGCGAAACTCTTTTTGTCGCGATAACCGTCTTCTTTTATTACGATGCGATATCGCGGCATCAAATTGCCGAAGCGATCAACATTCGGCTTCGGTCAACACCAACAATCGATAAACAGGTCATGAGAGATGATTGCTCGAGGTGTTTGTTTCACCGCGCAAATCATTTTTCACGAAAGGAAGCTACAATGAGAAAAAAAAAAAAAAAAAACGCGCTCGGTCTCGTAAGGTCGCGACTTATCCTTCTGCGATTTCTAGGTCGCTGCGAGCGGCCTCCGATTTAACGGTCAACTATTACGCAAATTGCCGTATCGCCAGCGACATCTTTCATTATGCGAAACGATGTGAAATTGAAGTATTATTACATTACGCACACACGCGTGACGCCCGCTCATATGCATAGAGATCAGACTCACGTGATGACGATTTTCCTACGACAGCTTTTCGCTCTTTCGCGAAATAACGAGATCGTCGTCGGTCTTACGGACGCCAATTGATTTCGATTCATTGAAGATGCTTCGCGACGATTTCTACCACAATGCAGTTTCATCTCCTCGAGATTGTGACAATTAAAATCACACCGAAGAAAACAAATGTTTTTGCTAGATCTTCTAACGGTTATTGATTCGAAACTCGTAATTTATTAATAATAACAAGAAGAAGAGAGTCCGCACAACAGTCCTGCAAACGACTCCTACAATCGAATTTATTTCATTCATTCGTAATTTATTGTTGGAATCGCTTTACTTGCGCAAGAAAAAACTCTTGTCGTCGTCGAGGAACGTCGCGCGGAATTGTTAATAAGTCAAGACTTACAACATGTGACTATTCATTATCTTCGACAAAAACAATCGTTTTTGCAAAACAAGAGCAGGTTGTACACGAGTATATCATAATTTAACGACGTTTACACATCGACAATCTTATCGCACGATCGATTGTTTAGTAAGAGCGATGAGAAATAAGTGTGCGCGCGTAAATTTCGATCTGACAATCGTAAATAAAAAAAAACAAACAAAGTACAATTAATATCCGGACACAAAAGGAAATTATTGCTAATTAAAAATGTTACCGATTATATATTTCTCGTATCTCGAATATAAACAAATAATTGACTCTTTGGAAAAATATCCGTTATTATTCTCCAATTTAATGTAAATGTTTTAATGTAAATTCAGATTTGCGATATATGTTACAAGAAAGTTCGTTTAAGATATAAAATTTTGCGAAAGCTTTTTGCTTTTGTGAACAACACTCGAGAAAAATATCGAATCATCTTTTTGATACTACTCGCCTTAGCTCCCACGTAACAAAGGGTAACTTTTAACAAGATATCTTATTTTTTATCGCTTTATTAAAAATGATCCGTCAGATTCCCTTCAGACTTCGATATACGTTCCATAAAAATTTCTGTTTATTTTTTCATGACTTCGTAATTGAACACACGCGCGCGCACAAATGGAAAAACACAAATTTCACATCGTTGTAAATTTTGTTTGCACGTTTCTTTAATTTTGTTTGAATTACTAGCTCTTCGCAAATTAAATTACTCGCAATTGTCGCATTTCTGCGTTGTTCGCGCACCGTTTAGCGCGCGCTCAACCGGTTGTGGAACGAACCAAAATCGCGTACAATAAACAAATACTTTTTCAATATCTCTTGCACGTTTGTATTTCTCAAGTTGCCACGTCTGCCACTAGATGGCAGATTTTCTCGTGAGTAGAAAATCACGAGAAAGGTATATAAAGCCGAGCGCGTGCGATAACGACCGTCCTTGTCTTAGGGGAGCAGAGTATTCCATGATCGTTTAGTGAGAGTACTGCTGCTGAAACCCATTTGACTTAAATTAAAACCCGCATCCGTGTTCATAACGCGCATGAGATGCAATTTTTGGAAGGCTTCTTTACTTCACAAGAGGCCTCAGTAAAACGGTAGAACACAAACGTGGAAATTTTTCAAACCTTGTTTTAAAAAGTACGCGCGTAGACTTACACGTACTACGTTGTTTTCATGTATTTTCGATATATAGAGTATTTTATTCATTCGCTCAAGGTCGTTACGGTTTCAAAATTGCTTCAAAATAACGTGTGTTATATTTAAGCAAAAAATTCTATCGCCTTTGTATTTTATGACGTGATAAAACGATGTATTACATTACGCTGTTACACGGCACTATCGCGTAATTTACGTAACTGTTTTGGACGCACACACGGTGTCTGTCCATGAAATAGAGATACAACTCTCTAAAAGTGTTGATTTACGTGTGTGTGACGAACCGTTTCGAATAAATTGCAACTACGCAGTAGCGTGTGCGTGCGTCGCGGAGAGAGTGTGTTACACACGTGTGTGTCTTGCGTATTATTGCTTAACGAATTGAGCAACATCAATGTATAACTGTGTTTATAATAGTATTTAAAATACTGAATACACATACGGGTTGTGTGCCAGCACCGCGAACGATTATCGTTCGCGGTTTTTCGCATTTGCCTCGAAGGCGCTCTCTCTCTGTGGTATAATACGTAAACGCCACACGCAAAACACGCAATCGTATCGTAATTATCGCGTCTGAGAGAGTAATAGCAGGGTATAATCATTGCAAGGGTGTTTTTTTTATTTTTTTTTAACGAACAAAGCTACTTTTTTCACGTGCGCGACGCTATCGTCGAATATTTGCCTCGTTAAAATCATTAATTCGTTGACGTTATTTGAATTAATTGCTTTAATTCGATCTCGCTTTAAAGATGAAGGGAGAGTGATTTATCATTTTTCTCATCCTTGTCCCCTTTCTCCAGACTCAAATCGATTTTCAGATCGCGCGAGCGGGATCGCGCGTCGCATATCAATCGCGCACCAAATTGAGCAACGTCGAGAGCGAACTGGCGAAAGAAGAAGACCTCCGTCGAGTTACAAGTTTGAAATGTCTGAAGCGTTATAAAGAACCTTGGATATCAATCAGTCATTGAGTGACCCTAATAACGCCACGCGGCGAACCATCTGCCGGGCGAAATTGCGACAAAGGAGGTTGCGCGCTTACAAAAGAGAGAAGCTCATCTCATAAAAGATGAGTCCGCGAAGAAATCGCGCGCGCGTGAAATATAACATACACACTCTGTACACACACACCGCGTGTACGAACTGTGTTCTGCTAATAACTAAATAAATCTCGTATCTTTCTCTCTCTCTCTTTGCGAAGTGCGTGCGAACTTTCTGGCTAATTTTATCTGTTTCCTCAATGAAAACGTGTCTAAACAAAATAACAAACTTGTCGACACTTGGCGATCAAACATACGTCGAGTACGCGATAGAAATATATATTTTTTTTTTTATTTTTTGGAAATATTTTTTTTCCGTTAATTCCAAAATTCGACGTTCGAGATATTTGTCTCCGGTTAATTAAACCGAAGTTTCCACGGAGTTTCTCGGAGCTTCTCCGAAACGGGGGAAAATTGCGCGCTTTCCGCGCGCAATTCGGGTTAATTGGAGATCTCATATCTATTTGCACAACCTTCTCATTAACAGAATGTGGCCGCGGGGCGCAATTACCGGCGGTTTTCCGTTTTACGATCCCGAAGGCGCGGATCTCCGGTATTGACGGAATTATCGTGTGTGTGTGTGTGTGTGCGTGTGCGTGTGCGTGTGTGTTCCGCGCGATATAGCGCGCGCAAAGCCAAACAATTCGCATTTGCAAATAAACCTCACGTCCGCCGATGTACATAATCGCGCCAACTCGCGCCGTACCGACGCGCGTAAGAATCGCGTATAACCACTTCTTCGGAAACACACATACACACACACTAGGCCTTGAGATAAAACAGTCGAGAGAGAGTGTGACTTATTCCGAAGTTACTAGATGAAGCATATATCAATATCTTGTAAACAATCAGGGAAGAGGAAGAGCGATAATGAGGAGATGAAAGATGATCTCGTCAAAAAGCGAGACGAGAGAAAGAGAGAGAGAGAGAGAGAGAGAGCGCGGAGGAATCTTATCACGCGCGAGTCACGTAACTTTATTACGTCTGGTACGAGAAGAAGACGCGGAATATAACCAAATCGCACTGACTCGATAACCAACTTCTCGCATTTCGATATAAACTGTCCGACATTCGTTTCACCTTCGCGGTAATAAATTATTCCACTTGGTCGTTTACTTTCGAGAAAACTCGTCGCTTTGCGAGATAGAGAGAAAGAAAGAGGAGGTTCAATAGAGATTCGAGAAATATTTTAGAGGTTTGTTTCTAAATACAGAATCGTCGTGCGAGCATCAAGTTCAAGCGCGTAGGGGGGTACAAGAGAGAGAGAGAGAGAGAGAGCGAATAAACCGCTGGAGAAAGAAAAGGACGTAGTCAAGCTAAACTAGGCAGATAGGTGGTATAGACCTAGCCGACAGGGGCATCGAACTTTTACTCTCAACCGGGAGAGTTATGTACATTGCGCGTACACACACACACACACACACGCACACAACAAAATTGTCTACGGATCGTTCGATTACCTCACCTCGCGGTCGCGTAGAAAACCGCGTAATGCGACTCTCAGACGGGTCAGAGACGGGACGATCCTTTAAACTCTTCGAATTTTGTTAAAATAAATTTCGAATCAACTCTTCTTCGGGATCAACAGTTTTCGAATTGTTGACAATTGAAACGTAGCATTTTTTACAACAAAAAAAACTGAGGAAAGAAAACGACAATTAATTTTCTTCCCCCTTTAAATTCCACACAAAAGTAAATTTTACTTTGAGCGGCAGAAATTAAAAGACACAAGAGACACGTAACTCGAGAATCGCGATGGTAGAGAGGGGAATCCGGTGACAGTCGACACTCGAGTGGAAAATCGATTTCGAATTAGCTGAATTATAACTCGAGCGCGACGCGGAGACGACGACGCCGAGCGGCGTATATCTCTTGAAATCGTAATTTCGATTATTAAAAGTCGGCGCTCACATTAACGTTGATAATGTGTGTAAACACACCGGGTGGTACACGAGCGCAATAATAACACAACGCGCGCGACCTCACGGATATAAATTTTTCTCAACTCCGCAAATCGATATCGATTACAATTTCCGTGATGGAGCCGACAACACACTCCTTCGATTCCGGACCCTTCGCGTGCGCAAGGAAAATCGATATCGTCGAGACGACTTTATTTATATCCGACTTGTTGTCGGGCGTGTAACAAAAGTGACGGGGTCGCGCCACGTGGAATTGATCGAAGGTTGTGTCTTCTTTTTTTTTTTTTACCAGGCGCCATTATTACACCAGCGCTCGATCCCTCAAACAGTTCCCGTAGTATTTTCTAGATATAGATAACGCGCTTATATTTACACACGTATATCTCTCCGTCGTGACACCGTGAGACCAAGAGATCTATCACTAGAACGAGCTTCGTTGTTTGGCCCGATCTAGTCGCGCAACGCTATTTATACAAGATGCATGTGCGACTTTTGACACGAGTCGCTCGGTACTACGAATAGTATCACGTCGTTTTCACACATTCGCGAGATATCCGTCGGGGATATCGGGGAAAAGATGTTATACGCGCAAAAGTGTTCTTCCACGAATCCCGAGAATTTTTTACACTAGAGAGACATCCTGTCCCACGATCTATTTCGCGACAAATATGTGATATTTGATTTGTTTTTTTTTTTTTTTACGCTGCGGTGATTTTTATCTTCGCGCATCACACACACACACACATACACACACACACTCGGCGTCGTTGAGAGATAAAACAGGTGGATTCGCGTTAAATTTAGCGTCATTGTAAAAGTGGAACGGAGTAATAAACGTATTAACATTTTCTTTTACGATTTAAATCGCACATCGTGTCGGTGCAAAACCAAACTTGCGTATATACGAGAAAAAAAAAACGCGGTATCGTGCGGTGTTCGCTTGATTGAAACAAAAATTCGAATAATCAAAAGGCGTCTTGCCAATTATTTAGCTTGGCTCGCGCAAAATCGGACTAGGTGCGTAGGACAGGCATCATAAAAGATTAACGCCACCGCAGCTGAACGCGGTAAAATAAGATCCCGGCGGCGGAGCGTCGCGCTCTCCGGTTGCTCTCACGTTGCGGAATTTAAGATCTGTGTTGTGCGCGCGATCGTTTCGAGTCCTTGCGCCTTGTGGTATTTAACGCTGGATTTACGCGCGGTAATTCGCGCCGAGACCGTCGTAATTCTAAAATTTTCGCGTTCACTTTTCCTTGAGTTCAACGTCGCGCCGCACACAACGACACATCTTTCCGTTAACGTGTGATTCGCGCGAAAGATTACAAAACTGAACATTTGCAATATTTATAAATAATTCACGTCAATTGTGTTAGTTAAAAACAAATTCTTGTGCCGTGCTTCTCGCTTTGTTAAAAAAACAAAAAAAAAAAAAAAATATTCGTTAGTCGATGACGAGTGTCGCAACTTGAAGCAAACACGGCGGTATTCAAATTTTGACGAGCCTCAAACCCCCGCCGATTTAAATCAGAATCCCGTGCGACCGGGAGAGCAAGACTTTCCTTCGGAGCGCAAAGCAAGAGAGATACATAAACCCGATTCGTCTCGTACGTCTATGTCTATTCTTACGTTCATAAGGTTATTTACACTCGGTGTCTGACACCATTTTCGTAGCTCGAGGCACGGCACCCGGAGCCAAGCTCGGGACTATTTGTCCGCCAAAAGTCTTGGCTTAACGGAGCGCGAAAAGTGTATTTTGCGTTTTGCGACAATCGAAACTCCCCGGTCGGATTGCAACGGTCGATTGCGTTCGAAGCTCGAAGCTGGAATTGTTTTTATTTATGTTTTTATTTTTGTTTTGTTTTGTTTTGTTTTGTTTCCAAGAAAACTTTTCGAGTTATAGAAATTGTCAACTTGCATCATTTCGAAATTCTGACACTTGAGCGCGAGTTCGGTTTTATTTCAATCACTTCTTGGCAACATTTATGTAATCGTTTGAAGTATTTGTCTCTGTTGCAAATAAACTCTCGTCATTATTTGCGCGCGATTACTGTCTTTTGCAAAATAAATTTGTTGTACAAAAATTTTATCGAGTTTGTCATTTTTCTGCGCACAAATATTCTTCTCTTATCACAAATTCTCTAACGCAAATTCACATAAAACGCACTTTATTATATCGCGAAGAACAACCGCTGACAAATGAGTTCATCGTTAAACAAATTGCATCTTTTTTTTTTTTTAAAAAAAAAGTTATCATTTTTTCAGCTGTGCATCATCATCACATAACAGATTGTCGCACGTGCTGAAACTTGTTATCGGTCGCATATCACACACAGGCTTACCCTTTTCTGAAAAAAACAGCAAGGTGCGCCCTGGCATTTGCTCGAGACTCGCCGCGAGACGCGTTTTTTTTCGTGATAAGCGCCGATAAAGCACTCGTGAATTACGCGAACCGAGCAACGCGACGAGCCGAAAGAAACTGGTGGACGGTGGTCGCGGCGGCCCCACCACGCGCCGGTCTCCCTTCGTCGCCCGATACTCGCCGATGAATGTAAACATACGCGACAGCTGATCGCCACCGCCGTCGTACGCTCCGATTCCACAGCGTCCGCGGCTAGCACGCGAGCCACGCGTATCGCCCCCGAATATCCGAGGCGGTTATAACGCGATTATAAATATATTTCGTTGAATCATCTCGGAAACATCAGACGTAAGACACGTTTGTTTAATATTCGAGATTGTGTAAACTTTATGCCGAAATGGCACGCGATAAAAAAAAAAAGAAAAAAAAAAAAAGTGATACAATAATCGTCTGTGAAACAGAAACCTCTGTCGCAGAAAAATTGAGAACACTTGTTTTTTTTTTTTTTTTATCAAATATATAGATTTTCTATTTCGAATTTAAATCGTAAAATTATATACACTGTGTGTTTTAATTAATCATTAAGTTGTCATGTGGCCTCGTCGTAGCTTTGGTTTCGGTGGATCCGTCAATATCAATCGGAAATCTAACGTTACAAGCTGCAATTTATATTCATCTCAACTAATATCGGTCTAAAGGAATGTGTATAACATCACAACTACGCACATATTCGAGACTTGGCTGGTAAATGCGCTGCGCGATAACAAACGCGCACATAACGCGCGTGATACTATCAAGTCACATTATGAGAAAAAATTAAATACTTTTATTACGCATACAGTTTGTACTCTGTTAAATGTGTAACGTGAACGATAAAATCTGTCTATAAAAAATATATGTAACTTCACAAATGTACTTATGCTGACAGCGTTACAATTTGCACTGGGATTACAACTGGACTTAACGTGATACTTTAAATTAAAGTTGTAAGTTTTTTTTGGAAGGAACAACTAAACGGCTAAAACATCGTTTCTCGCTTTTGTATACGTAAAATTGTTACATAAGTACACAAAATCAGTAGTTAGATTACCGAAGATTAAGTGTTTGACAAATTCAAAGCAAGAGAAATACTTTCCCAACTTTGTCTCATCGTTTATCCAAACGTACTTTAAATATCTCGGTGTTGAGCATTTCTTTTTAAATTTAAAACCCGTGTCCCGCGTGCGACAAACATTTGTGTGTGCTATTTTGATAACAATAATGTTACGACGTTCCGTTATTCATCTCTCCGAGAGGTTCTATGCCCATAGTCCAGATTATTGGCGTGTCCGTATCCACGGTTACTTCGGAATTGCTATACGTGTTCGAAGTACTTACTAACCCGCCGAACTCCATAGTTCCGTTATCTGGAACGTTAAAAAGAGCACGTTGAATCGTCACAATACGTCACATACCAAAGATTAACCCGTTCAAGGACGATTTTGTCTTCAAGCGGAGAAAAAACGCAAGAGAGAAACATACACGAGAAACATACTTAAATTCCATTTCAAACCAGTCGTTGTTATGCGACTAGCTGGACATCCAAACGGCAGTAAACCGCACCAAGATTGTTGCTGCACCAGAATTTCCGGTATACGTATCTTGTGCAAACCGGGTCTTAAAATCCACGTTAAAGAATTTCTCGCAAATTGTATCACCTGTAAAATTATTTTGTTCTAAAGATATTTGACGACAACACGTGCACACACACACACACAGCTTTGTTTTTCTAAACACACTGGAAATTCAAGAATTCTCAATTAAAGACAATCGTATATCTCAAATTATAAAATTGTTTTCAAAACAAAGAAGGAAATAAACACACTTGTGACACATCACCTTTATATCACCCACAAGCTTATCACATTTGTACAAGGTATTGATATTGCCAATGATATGATCAAATCTCCCCGACGTTTCTGCAAGCACGTATATTTCATCCAACTGTCAAACACAATACTGTTTTTCTTTACAACATTCAAAAAAAAAAAAATACATACTTCACGAAAAATACAAAAAACTTTCAACAATCACCTCTAGATTTCTTGTCTTGGCGTAATGTCCGACTTGCAGCAGGGCTTTGGTGTAATCTGTGTTATCTTGATCAGGTGTCTGTACGACAACAGATCCCATATTTCTCAGCTTGTTCAGAAGCGCGTGCGAACAACTATCCAAATCCCCCGTAATGAGACCGGGCACGTATTGCTCGTGTTCGCCACTGATCAGATCTATCTCTTGCTCCTCCAAGTATCTGAGCCATCTGTGGGTCCCGCCGTCCACGGTAACGGTGATTTGAGCTGGTTACAAACAGCTACGTAAATTAAACACGTAAAAATTACATCGCTCTTGCGGAAGTTCTATCGATAAAACCGTTTCTTCAACCGTCGGGTGTGAGACTCACCGTTTTGCCAGAGTTGCAGCAACACGCTGTGCTTCCAATATATCGGACAGTTCAGCACGACAATCGCGTATTTGCATTGCGTGCCATGATGAAACACATTGATCGGATCCCATGACGTTTCGTTGCGCTGCGATGATTCCGGTTGCATCCCGCGGATTCGGACGACGCAACGTGACTAAAATCGACGTAATCCGCAGATTGAGGTTAAGAAAAAGAATTTCGAAGGCATGTGTTTACGTAATGTGCGACATCGGTTTTGCGGCATTTGTCGCACAGGCTTTTTATCGTTATATGAGAAGCAAATGATATAAAGGAAGAAGAGATAGAGAGAGAGAGAGAAGCAGTGTCTATTCTAAGCTCTCTTCTGCCTGCGTTCGTTCTCTTACGTAATCGTTGTTTGACCTTGAGCGGAAATTCAATTTTGAAGCGGCGTTGGGAGAAAAACGCGCTGTTGACGTTCGAAGTTTCGCGCATCGCAAACAAACGCTCGATCTCGCATCTCTTCGCTACGTCCGTCAAGTTGCGCGAAAGACAGTTGGACGAAGTTTGACGGTTCCGTGTCTTCAATACATAAAAAAAAACTGTGTTTGATACACGACGGAAAAAGAAAACTAATAAATCTATTTTTGACAGAAACCAAACGCTTGAATGACTCACCCCGCTCCTTTCATTTAAAAAAAATTGTGCGAATTCGCCACTCGATTTAGAAAAAAAATCAAATTGATCGAAAGTCGAATTCGCGTTGGTGGTCTTCGTGCGAGAGACAAGTTCTCTCTCGCACGTGGGTGGGTGGTGGATTTCCTCTCGTACGCACGCGTCGCTATCGATCATATGTTTCTGCAGTGCAGAATCTGCACCTCACCTTCTTCCATCGTTTGCGGAAAATTGCGCCACTGAGTATGTTGTAATTCGACCGCTCTGCCGCGTTTACAGCGCGTATGATATTCCTCGTTAACATCTTTTGTATCGCGATTGACGAGCGTATAAAATTTTTGTGCGCTGATCAACGCGTGTTAGATTTTTTTTTTCCGTATAAAATTCCAACATTGTTTTGTTTGCCAAACAGCGATCGATGGGTTCGAGAATTTGGATGTGGAAAAATATACCTGGCGTTCCGGGCAGATGCAACGACGTGCTTTACACGCTGCCGATGTCGCAGCCTACACGCGACATCCTCGTGTTCTTTGGCGGCGACGTCCAAGTACGTGAGAACCAAGAACCAAGTGAGACCAAGCGTGGTGGTTATTAATCACTGGTGGTGGTTTATATTATCAATCGCAATAATTTGTATCCGTGTATTCTCTCATTTTTCTCATACTTGCCAACTGTCGTGAAAACACATCTGATTGTTTATAAATTTCTCACGTTTAATTATCGTAGGATATTCAAATAAATATGGAAAAACATCCAGACAGTAAAGAATACGTCAAGTGGAGTCTGGACAACACGGCAATCATGCTCTCAAAACAGTTTCCTAAATGTCATATATTTGTGGTTCGCCCATCCAGGTAAGACGCAAAATAAATTCATCTCGGTACAATAACACACAAATTCTCTTAACTAGAAAAATTGTTTTTCTCTCTTTTTTTCCAGAATGACAATAACCAAGCACGCGGTGTTCAGTTGTTTCGACAACTTTGTTCCGGGAGACAAATACGGCACACCCTCATTTTGTCCCATGCACAAAGCGTTGAAACACACGAAAGAACTTCTCCTTTGTTGCTTGGAACGTGTTAAAACATTAAACCTGGAAGAGGTACCAAAAGATAATAATAATGCAATTGATTGAGATTTACGTTATTTTTGTTTAACGTGTGTATGACAATTTGTCTTTTTATTTAACAAACGTTCCGACATATTTAGACTACTTGAGATATCAAGAGAGCACGTAACAAAATTTCTCAATATTGGTTTTTAGGACATCGACGATTTTAATATTGAAACAACAAATGTGAGCCTAATGGGTTTCAGCAAGGGTTGCGCGGTTTTGAATCAATTTCTTTACGAATTTCATTATTACGACGAGAATCCGAACACCGACGGCAATACGAGGAATTTTATCAAACTTATCAAAGATATGTGGTGGCTGGATGGCGGGCACAACGGTTCGAAAAACACGTGGATTACGGATCAAAATATATTACGATCTTTCGCCAAATTAAGTAAGATAATCCGAGACAGACAAATATTTGGAAAAAATTTATGTACGCAAGTGTTTTTTGATATTAAAAATGTTTTACATTTTTGTATTTCTGAACAGGAATAGACGCTCACGTACACGTCACCCCGTATCAAATGCAGGACTTTCATCGGCCGTGGATTCACGCGGAAGAAGGTGGGTTTAACGCGACTTTGAAAAAGTTGGGAGTTCCCGTACAACGGACCTTACATTTCGCCGATAGGGAGCGAAGTTTGTCATCACACTTCAACGTTCTTACGGAAGTTAAGAGTAACGTAGGATAAAAAAAAAAAAAAAAACTTACACCTCCTTTCTCTATATCTATCTCTTAAATTTACCAATTAAACGTCTGGTTCAATTGATCTTGAAATTGATATATTGAGCAACAGATCGTAACATTTTTATTTAATTGAGAAGAGTGTATTTTATATAAATTATACAAAATAATTTACTTAGAGGTTGTGTAATCGAATATTTCCGCAATTTGTGTACGTATGTATAGTCTCGCGATATAAATAACTAGATAATTATCGTCGTATGCACAATTGCAACACGCTCTCTGCTTGGATTCTAATGTGAAGGAAGACTGCTCTACGCTAGTGTTAAGGAAATTACGTTATGAGAAACATTGACTTATATTCGGTGCTCTTACATCGCGAGACTATTTTGTTCCAACTATAAATACTCTTAATCTAGTTAATAAGTAGCAACCAGTTATTAAGTAAAATGTGATGTGTTATGTACAGTATTACGCATAAAAATATTACTATATATATTTATACTATATTTTCATAGAAATTCTTATTTCAATATTCTTTTTATTTTTGTAGTTTCTATTAATATCGCATTTAGTAGCAACATATTCTAAAGCAAACAACTGAGATTAAATTTGATATATATTATAGAAAATTTTAAGGATCTATCTAATATATATTATAGAAAATTAAAGATCTATCTAATATATAAATAAAATAACGTTAAAAGAAATCTCGTTATGTACATGCGAAGAATTCTGTCTTCTCGCATATAACTGTATTACATACTCACTGTTACTCTTCAAGGTATTTTTGATAAATAATATACTATGTGCGTACGCCGGTTTAAAAAAAAATGTCTGTTATACTATCTCCATACAACTGTTTGCTTAGAAATATTTATATGCAAAAAATAAAATAGAGAAAAAACTTGAACTGATATAACAGAGTGTTAAAAAATTAATTTTCTTCTAATAAAATAGTTAATTGAATTTTTACATATGATAAGTGTGATTTTAACTTTGCAAACTTTGTTTCGCGCGCGTTCTAAAACATTCTCTACCGCTCGAATTGTTATAATTTTCGTAAAATTCTAAAAACACGTGTGATTAGATAATTCTTACCTATTACTTATATTTGGTTGTTGCTGTCTTTGTTGACATACAAGTCTGTACACAAAAAATAACAGCACTTTGTTTCAATCTAATTAATAACTTTCTGTTCTCATTAACATTTGTTCGGACATTTAATTCCGTGAAAAACTACACTTCCTGATTCTGTAACACACAAATAACAAATTTCAGTGGCAAAAAGATACGCAACACGTTCCAAAGTATTAAAAAATATTCATAAAAAAGGTATTCTTTAATAATTACATTAAATAATTATATAATTATTATTCTATATAAAATTATATATTTCTTAATTTTAATATAAATAAAGTAGATCAGATTTTAATCAACCATTACCTTTGACTTCATACAACACTAGGGCTTCGGCCCATTCGTCCGAACCGTCGCAACAGTCACAGAATCCATCATTGACCTTGTAGGACGGTATTTTTACTGCAATGTAACACGAATTGTTGTACATCCTATAATTCTTAATTAACATAAATATTACAAGAACATAAAATCCAGAGTTGCACGATATACCTGCTGATTTCTTAAAACTCGTTTCACAATAGAAGATACCGTTGTTGCACGCATTGGTGCCTGGTTCGTCGCTGCCGTCCGGACAGTCGCAGTAATCGTCGTTGATTTTCACAAAGTCTATCTCGTTCTTCGTGGAGAAACAAATGAATTTCCCGTTGACATTGGGAAGATACTTGACGATATCTTGGTCCCGCGTGCCGCGCAACGACACGGTTCGGCCGTTTTTGTCGCGCACGAGCTTCGAGTGTTGCGGCTGGTTCCACTTGGATGTCTTCTTGCCGACGATCACGCGATGAGTGTCTCGCAGCGAGCCGATTATCAGTTTGCCCACATTCTGCCGATTCAGCTTCGTGCTCAATTGAAGCTGATTGATCACGAAAATCGCAGAAACGATCAACAGCAGATACTTGATTCGCTTTCGCAGGAACCAACGTACCTTGGACACTATGGCTTTCATATCTACCGGCTGATCGACCTCTTCGTTTGTCTCCTTTCTTCTTCTTTCTAATTTAACGCGTCTTTAGCCTCTTGTTGGTTCTTGCTAATTGACGCGCATTACCTTCGTCGGTTGTCACAAAGTGGATCCTGACACGAGCACACGACGTCGTTGCACAACGTCTCGTATGTCAACAAAACACCGAACATCCGATACGAGACTATCATGTTGTACTTTGTGCAATGTTGATCTTGCCGGACTCGCCGCTAAATCGGATGTGTACGCATACCAACAGCTGTTTCGCAATTTGCATGTTTTTCCAACCGCGTCTTCGTGTTGGGACGCGGACAGCTTTATTTATGCAAACACGCACCGTACACAGGGTGTTCGATAAAAAAATCTTCGCTATAAGTGCACACACGGACCGAACAAGTGCAGCTACAACGAACCACGTGTAGCTGGAAAACGTAACCTCTTACTTGTTCCAGAATTAAATGGAAGAGACACACACAGTGTCAATGTTTACAGGAGTAAGAACGAATGTTTTTTTTTAAAGACGCGGTGTAATTGGCTTAACAGAGCACGTTAAGTTTTGTCCAAGAAGAAAAAAACAATTTGCACAGAATTGAGTAAATAAAAAATAATATATAGACATATATGTAATTGTTTATTCTTTCTCTATGAGATTTTTGCACAAGTTGTATTGTGCAGCGGTAGATATAGCATTTAACAGATCGCCAATTAAAATGGCAAGTCAGAAGAAAACACCGTTGAGTTTCGAAATATTGGCCGAATGTCAAACTACAAAAGCGAGAACTGGCAGAATGACGCTCGTTCATCACCACGTGGACACGCCGGTGTTCATGCCAGTAGGAACTCAGGTTTGTAAATTTTTTTTTTTTTCACACTTCTGCCGAAGATATATACAGGGTGACTTGTAAGAAAAGTGTTCGTCTCTCTTTCCCTACGGAGAAATTTGTTTATTTTAAATGATAAACTTTTACGTTGTCTATACACACGATCAAAGTTCAATTTGCATAACTTTACACATAAAGTTTATACAAATCACTTTACTTTTAATTAACAAATATTCTATAAATGTTGTTACAGGGAACTTTGAAAGGGTTGTTACCCCAGCAATTGGAGCAACTGGACTGCCAGATCATTCTTGGCAATACCTATCATCTTGGAAACAGACCTGTAAGAACAGAATATTGTGCATTGGAAAAACTGTCATAATTAATTTAGAGAGCAGTTTCACAATCAAAGTTATATAACACAAGAGCTTTGGGTTTACGTCGGTAAAATTAAACAACACCAAGATTTCACTTTTTAATCAATCTCATTCTGACGAGTTCGCACGTTATTCTAGGGCGCGGATATTCTACGCAAAGCTGGGGGTTTGCACAAATTCATGAACTGGAAGAGAGCCCTGCTAACAGACTCCGGTGGTTTTCAAATGGTTTCGTTGTTGGAATTAGCTGAAATAACGGAAGAAGGTGTCAAATTCAAATCGCCATACAACGGTACGCTATGCACAGTCAAACATATATTTTCAGACATCAGTTTAAACAGATAGATACAGCTTACATACAATAAACCTGTATACAATACAACGTTCCGCAGAATCCGAGTGTATGTTAACGCCTGAACATTCTATTCAAATTCAAAATGCGATTGGCGCTGACATAATAATGCAACTCGACGATGTAGTCAAAAGCACCTTGACCGGGCCAAGAGTTGAAGAGGCGATGCATAGGTATAACACAACTTTTAAATATCTCTTTTCAAATAATAATACATATTTAAAAGTAATCTCCTAAATTTTTTTTTACCAAACACTATCTACAATACAAATCGTTTCAGAACAATACGCTGGATGGACCGTTGTTTGTCGGCACACGAAAGACCTAGCGAACAAAGTATATTTCCAATTGTGCAGGGTGGTCTGAATCCCGAATTACGAGCCGAGTGCGCGCGCCAACTGACTAAGCGAGAAGTGAACGGATTTGCTGTGGGAGGTCTGAGGTACAAATCATCAAGGATTACTTACTCTAACAATATAACAAATTCAAACAAGAAATAAAAATCTATATTATATAACACATAAATAGAGATGCCAAAATTGTGCGTGATCTACTACGTGATTTCTATTTTTAACGATTCTTACCGGATTTCAGTGGCGGTGAGAGTAAAGACGAGTTTTGGAGAATGGTCCATTTGTCGACTGACATCCTTCCGAAGAATAAACCGCGATATCTCATGGGTGTTGGATTCGCGGTGGATCTAATTGTATGCTGCGCGTTAGGAATCGATATGTTCGATTGTGTGTTTCCGACCAGAACAGCCGTGAGTATCTTTTACAGCACACATTAGAGTTTTTCTTAATAAAATGTGGAATTTTTTTGAAATAACATTTTCAGAGATTTGGCTGCGGACTGGTGAAAACGGGACAGCTTAACTTGAAGCAGGCGCAATATAAGAAGGACTTGAGACCAATAGACGAAACATGCGACTGCATGACCTGTAAGACCTACACGCGCGCTTATCTGCATCACATCGCTACTGTGGAAACGATATCGTGTCATCTCTTAACTGTTCATAATATCGCGTTTCAAATGAGGCTCATGCGAGATATTAGAAACAGTATAAAAGAGCAAAGGTTTTCTAAATTTGTACAGAACTACATGCTAACAGTTTATCCTGACAAAGACTATCCAACGTGGATAATCAACGCTTTGAAAGCGGTCAATATTAGCTTATTGTAAAACCGACGTTTCGAAAGCACAATTTTTTGTGAAAATTTGTTTGGTATTTTGTAAAGATTTCTCTTTATAAATTTTATTTTTATTGCGTACTGCACATCAATACGTGTGATATAATAAGTATTTATGCGATCTTATGTATGTGTAGATAAATTTGCGACCACGTGCGTTGCTATTTTACACAACAAATATGACGCAGACTTGGTCTAAAGAGCACCTAAGCAATGTTTTATTTTTTTTTTTTTTTTTAATTTTGATTGAGAGAATCTTCGATCTTCTATTACAGGGACCACATACACATCGATATAGATGATAGTAAAATTTGCCTAATACTGCAGTACTTAAATAATAGAAAACAAAATAATCATTAAAAGAGATACTTTACAAGCCTTATACCTCTTACTTGGAATTTTTTCTCTTTCTACTTTGAGGGAAACAGTAGAGAATTAGGCACGTATCGCGGGTGCAAATAATATTAATTTCATCACATGAAGTCGTCCGAATCGTAGCCACTCATTTCTGTGTTCAAAGTCATGTTGGATGAATTAAATAGAGAAGTGTAACTCCTGAAAAACTTTAATTGCTCTGTATTTATCAAACTGTAATAGAAAAAAAAAAAAACAAAAAAAAAACAAACAAAGTATTAGGAATCATAATGTTTACCTAATCTCTGCCTCTTCTTTGCAACGCTTCTCTTCCATCTTTTCCAACTTTTTCTGCTCCTTTAGAAGTTTCTTTTTGTCCTCGCGTTCATTTCTATCTCTCTCTTCTCTCTCGGCTCTGAAGTTCACTTCTTCCGAACGTTTCGTCTTCGTTAAACGATTTATAATGGCATTTATGCGCTTGGCAACGCGAATCTTGCGAACATCCTTGTCTTTGTGAAAACCAACCTGACCAACTTCCATGCCTTGTGTCTTTTTCAAATTCGACCACATTGTGTAAACCACATCAACATCATTTGTTTTGTTTCCCTCAATGCTGTTCGCCTTCACCAATTGTGCGGCATCTTCCAACACCGTACTAGGAATGTCATCTATTGTTTGACCCTGTAAATGTTGAAAAAGAAATATTTTGTGCGCAGGTTTTCTTTTATATTATATCATCAACTAAGTATCTTCAATTAGACTCACATGTCTGAGTCGAAGGTAGACGTGAGCGGAAGAGTATTTATCAACGTGAAACCACACATCTTCGGGCCAGCCCCATCTGATAAGATCTTCATCTAAAATAATAATTTAAAATATATAATGTGTGTAATCTTATTTACCCCGATGAATACCCCTTCAGTATTTTCTCTACTTACTTTCAAACTTGTCAGCTCCCATAAACAATGTAATGGGTGGTTGCACCACTGCAATTCAAGATTTAGCAATCGTTAGAATACTCGTCTAACCTCTCGGTGATAACCAAGATTTAAAATTAATTGCAATACGCAATTATCAATATACGTACGTACGCAAAATATCTTTAGTTAATATAAGTAAATATAAAATGTAATCAAGTTTCGACCTTACCCTCGCTTATGAAGTAATAAACCATTGTTGAGAAGAATTTTGATAAAACCACGTGTGCGCAGCAAAAAGACAATAGGTCATCAAGAACGTTTTTATTTGTATTGCTGATAACAAGCAATGACGAGTTCACTTCGATGTCGTTGGGAGGTTCGGTCAAATTCTTGCTCTTGTTTACTCGCAATTGGTTGATTTGAGCGAAAAACCTAACCTTAACCTAGCCGTACGCGTTACCGCGGTTACGACGTCTTTCGTCAGAGAGAAGACTGAGAGCTGCTGAGAGCGGCCACGCCATTGTTGTTTTTTTTTTTACGACGGTTTCCAGCCGCTACTTTCAGCGCCGGGTTCCATTTTGCGTGGAACTCACGAACTACGAAACGAGTTCCACTTTCAGTCGCGTACGATAAAATTGTATCTCGGTTAGAGTCCGTGCTAGATCCACTTTACTGTCGATAAGTAGAACTGCCAACACACTTTAGACCCGGTTTCACAATTCGCGGTTAACTCGAATTAACCGAAGTTCGACTTGCTGAGCTCGGTTTAACGCGTTCAATCTTCTTTGTCAAATCTTCTCTAACCAATCACAGTTCATATTTAGGAAGAAAAGATGCGTTACGCCGAGTTCAGCAAGTTGGGCTTCCGTTAATTCGAGTTAACCGCGAATTGTGAAACCTTAAAGAAAGTGATTATTTAAACTCGCGCACATAGCACGGAATAGAACCGCACGCTGCGGACATGTCGCACCGACATGTCGCTCGTAAACTGGCTGCGTAGTTCCAATGTGTACCACCCACGTTGACATGCGCTAGTTTACGGGGCGGAAAAGTTATTACACATTCTCTTACGAACCTGGCCAGTCTCACTCTTCTCTCTGGAGCCAGTCAGGATTTGCGAGATCAGTACACATGCGCGGGAACCTGCGCCTTTCATAACCTGTCTGATTGGTTGTGCGAGCAACAATAAGTTGCAATAAGTTCTCGTTCATTCTTCGTTGCTTCGCCGTAATTTTTGACGAGTGTGCTGGTTAATATCGTCACGTAATAAAAAAAAAAAAAAAACATTTCTCAAAGAATGGAATATTCAGGAATCGGAGACAGTTTACTGATACTTCGATTCGATAGTTAACTGGACTGGAAGAAGTGCAAGGACACACACTTTGACAGCTCGTCTTCTTGTTCTCTACTACACGGCGTGTACGTGCGAGTGTCTCGAACGAACGTTTCTTTGTGTATTCGCGGAAAAAAAAAATTTATACGCGACAAGTGCAGCGAATTATTTGTTCGAAAAAATTGCGGATAGTCTCTTCGACGTATTCCAGTAAAGTGTTAATTGTTACATCCCGGTCTAAAAGTTGCGAGACGCAAAGATAAAAGAACGATTGAGAATATCTTATGACTTGCTGGTGCGCACTGGTAGTTGTATCAGTTGGATAATCTATCAATATAAATTTATATTCGTCTCGAACACGTTTTTAAACACTGAGTACCAAATGTCAAAGTTGAACAAACTCAACCTAAAACTACCATCCGGCCCGATAGAACCAGTACCGCAGCAATCGCCATCGCCGAAAACGGTCACATCTCTGTCCACGTACTCAGAACCGTCAGTGATACCAGAGTAAGTAGACGAACTGATGAATTTTAATCTAATTTAAATTCAAATTACATAATGTTTCCAACAGTTGCACTCTACTATATTAGTATATTAGTTTTTGTTATAATTCTTTTGTTTTTTTTATGATTTATAAAAACAAACTTCGAAACTGTTGTGTTTCATTGTAGCGATGCAAAAACCAAATTGGGCATAGATGCCATCCAAGAGGAATTAGAAGAATTAGAGATGACAATGGACGAGGAGCAACGAAAACGATTAGAGAACTTTTTAGTACAGAAAGACAAGGTTGGAGAACTGTGCGATGAGGATTTTGAAAAGTTAGGCGAATTGGGCGCTGGCAATGGTGGGGTTGTTATGAAAGTCAGGCACAAAAAGTACGGCCTCATAATGGCAAGAAAGGTCAATATTTTATTTAATAATTACTCTTAATGTTTTTATATAAACACACATCTTAATTATCGTATACTTCTTAGGATATTTATAAGAGACATTCACTATTTTTGCTTCATTTTCTTAGCTAATACACTTGGAAGTAAAACCAGCCATTAAGAAACAAATAATCAGAGAATTAAAAGTGCTTCATGAATGTAACTTTGCGCACATAGTTGGATTTTACGGCGCTTTTTACAGGTATCTTATAACTTTTTTCGATTTTTTAAATTATTTTTAGTAAATATGTTCGTATATAAAACATAAATTTGAATTCTATGCGCGATTGTATAAATTACAGTGACGGAGAGATTAGCATATGTATGGAATACATGGACGGTGGATCGTTAGACTTGATACTGAAAAAAGCAGGACGAATACCCGAAAACATCCTAGGTATAATTACATCTGCTGTAAGTCAAAATTTTTATTATCAACAATTATGAATAAGAAGAAGAAAGAGAAGAAGAAACTTTGAAATTTTTTCACAATCTGTAATCTAACATGAATGATCTCTATGATCTAACGCTACAATCGCGATAATACATGTGTAAAATAAATTCCGTGCAGAGAAACACGTGTAAAAAACTTACTGATAACGTGCAATTGGTGCATATTGGACAAATCTTTTTCAACGTGATGAAATCAGGGAAAATATTGGATAGGCAACGTTTCAATAATACGTTTCCCTTTCCATAAATCCACCTGGAAAGTAACGAATGCACAAACGTCTGAGTTCATCGTAAACCCAAAGAAACAGTCCAAGCGGCAAGCAGGGCCAGTACCAATAAGCTTTCAGCGGCATAGTTTTTAGCACGTATTCGGTGCTCGGAATGTAGAGTAAAATGCCCGTTAGAACCGCTTCGAAGATGAATGAGAAGTTGACCATCCAGTTGGTCATTCCTTGTTGAAAGATCGAATTGCGTCTGGTTTTGCACATAACCAGATCTATCATTTGCGTGATAACAATGGAAAGGAAGTATCCGCTCTGCGCTTCCATCAATAGATTCTTTCTGTTCTCGTAACTCCACGTTTGTCCCCAAGAATCTTGAAGATCGTTGATGGACGGATTCTCCCAGTCTCTTCGCAAACCTATCAGATCTTTGGGCATGAACCCGTTCATCATGAGCACCATGAAGTAGGTGTAGAAACCGGCAAACGATTGCGTCATTCCTATTTGTCCGTAAGTAACGGATATCAGACGTTTGTTCACCAGTTTGTCGTACTGAGGATTTCTTGGCGCTCGGCGCATTATGTCCGACTCGGCTTTCTCATAAGCCAGAGCGATGGCGGGAACCAGATCGGTGCCCACGTCGATGCAGATGACCAATTCGATGACCAGAGGTAAAGGAATTCCAAACACCAGACTGCTCAACATCGGTATCATCTCTGGCACGCTAGACGTTAACGTGTACGCAATTGATTTTTTTAGATTGTCGAATATTATGCGGCCCTCCTCGACGCCGGTCACAATCGAGGCGAAGTTGTCGTCCATGAGTATCATATCCGCCGCGTTCTTGGCCACGTCCGAACCGGCGATGCCCATCGCGACGCCTATGTCGGCCTTGCGCAACGCCGGCGAATCGTTTACACCGTCGCCGGTCACGGCCACGATCTCGCCCAGTCGTTGACAGCTCTCAACAATCAACAGTTTTTGTTGCGGCGATGTTCTCGCGAAAACTATCTCCTCGTAACGACGTATTACGTTGTCCAGCTCGTTCGCGCTCATGTTTCTCAATTCGCTGCCGGTTACGATTGTCGCGCCGGTTTCCGCGAGCGATTCGGTTATCTGCGTGTAAGATTTATTCAGCAAGATGGTTCTCTCGTATCGAGTCTGATGGCTCTCGCTTATGATACCAACTTTCTTGGCGATTGCCATTGCTGTCACAGGATGATCTCCCGTCACCATTATCACCTTGATGCCGGCGTTGCGACATTTCTGTACCGCCTCGAGTACACCGGGTCTCGGTGGATCTTGCAGACTCACCAGTCCCACGAATCTGTATCCCTTCGTAGGAAAATTGTAGGTCTCGATATTGAACTTGTAATCCGGTCCGTATTGTCTCGCGGGCAGATGAAGATCGCAATACGCTATTACGCGTTCGCCGAGATAACCCAGTTCCAAACAGGCTCGACGAGATATCGCGTGATCGTTGGCGGTCATGTCTTTTATCTCGCCTTCCGTCGTCAATATCGTCGTGCAATTATCCAATATCACTTCCGGAGCGCCTTTCATTATCATCGTGTAGCCATCGGCGTCCCGATGAATCGACATGTGATACTTGCTGACGGAACTGAACGGGATTTCGGCGACCTTCGGATAAGCATCGCGAAATCTCTGCGTGGGATGAATGTGCTCGCAAAAATTGAGAATGCCAGTCTCGGACGCGTCGCCGATCACCTTGCGCTCGTTAATGGGCAGCGCGAGAGACTCGGCAACGTATTCGGCGCGTAAACAAAGAGTAGCGACTTTTAGCATCGTGTTGAAAGCGGGTTTTTCCATCAGCAGATCCTTCTCAACGCCGATTCTCGCGCCCGGTGGAAAATTGTATCTGGAATGACCGAACCACAGATTGGCCACGGTCATCTTGTTCTGCGTGAGAGTGCCCGTTTTGTCGGAGCAGATCGTGGACGCGGAGCCCAGAGTCTCGACCGCTTCCAGATTCTTCACCAGACAATTCTTCTCCGCCATTCTCTGAGCTGTCAACGTTAACACCGTTGTCACAGTCACCAACAATACTTCCGGCACATTGGCGATGATTATTCCAAGCAGATATATAAACGCCATTACGACGTTCGGTTCAACCAGCAACGACAATCCGAAGAAAACCAGACCGCAAAGGAGCGCGACAATTGTGATGATCTCGACGAAATGTCTGATCTCCTTAGCGATCGGCGTTTCGATTTTGACGAGTTGAGAAGTGAGACCGGCGAGACGACCTATCATCGTGCGATCGCCCGTAGCGATTGCAATACCCTTGCCGTGGCCCGCCACAGCGAACGACGTGGAGAACGCCAAATTGGCGGATTCTACGGGATTTCGATCGGTGGGATAATCCGTGCGCGCCACCGGTTCGCTCTCGCCGGTGATGCTCGAGTTTTCAACCCTGAGCCCGTGGCATTCGATTATTCTCATGTCGGCTGGTATCTTGTCACCCAGTTTAATCTCTATCAAGTCGCCCAGGACCACCTCCTCCGTGGCTATTTGCTTCTTCACACCGTCGCGAATCACCGTCGCGAAAGTGGGTATCATCTTCTCGAACGACTCCATCACTCGCGAAGTCTTCGTCTCTTGCATGTAAGCAAATATACCCGAGGTTATGCATATGAGAACGATGATTATTCCTAACCACGCGATACCGACGTCCGGCTCCTCGACGAAGCGAGTGACGCCGTATAAAATAAAGCACATGATCGCACAGACCCAAAGCAAGGCGGCGAATCCGTGAAACATGCACTTGAGGAATTTGAGATATTCGGGAGTAATTTTGGGCGGGGACAGGGCGTTCGGTCCGTCTCGAAAAAAGACGTCACGAGCCTGTTCCTCCGTCAAACCGGTCGTCGGGTTCGTGTGCAGTTTGTGGCACAGAGTTTCCAGGTCCAGCAAATGATCGACAGTCTCGAGCTCTTGATGCAGTTCTTGTATTTCCTCCTGAGTCAGTTTCTTTTTTTGCACGTGTATATGTGAGGATGCGCGCGACGGCAGCTGTCCATGGGGATTGGCGTGCGTGTTCGAAGAGAGATCTTCGCTTGCCTGCATCTTTTTTTTTTTTTTTTTTTTTTTTGAAAGAAGAAGTTTTTACAAAATCAATCTCGCTTAATGTTTCTACGTGGAAATATGCAACTTCGCACGATCTCTTTCTTCTATATTCATATGCGACATTTCGAACGATTGTTTCGTTGCCAACTCTTTGAATGTAAATTTGTTTCAATTGTTTCTCGACAGGTTTTGAAAGGCTTGAGCTACTTACGTGACAAACACGCTATAATGCACCGAGACGTTAAACCGAGCAATATTCTAGTTAATAGCGCGGGTGAGATCAAAATCTGCGACTTCGGTGTCTCCGGGCAACTGATAGACTCGATGGCCAATTCGTTCGTCGGCACACGGAGTTACATGTCGGTAAGCGAATAAAGTGAGAATTAGATATTCCGTTTTCTTTTTTTTCGGTGCGCGCGTGTGATACGCGCGAGCGGCCACAGACGGTAAAAGTGTCTCTGTAAATTGCCTTTGGAAGTTGCACCTTTCACATTGTTAAGATTTATTCTTGTCTACCGGTGCAACTTCACGTGCACATTTACGCCGTATGTTTGAGAAAAAGGGATAAATGTTGAATCGCAGCCCGAGAGACTTCAGGGAACACATTACACAGTGCAAAGTGACATCTGGTCACTCGGATTGTCGCTCGTGGAAATGGCGATAGGTATGTATCCTATTCCACCACCGGACGAAAAGACCATAGCTTCCATATTCAGTTCTCCGGCGGCACAACCGACCGCGGAGACTGTAACGACCAACAACGCGCAGTCCACCCCAACACAGTCACCGGGACACAGTCAGTATTTACGCGTAAATTAAAAAATTGCAAGAAAGACAAAGTTGTTGTTAATCAAACAAATTAATCAAATCTCAATAGATGCAAGTAGTCCAAGGCCTATGGCGGTGTTCGAGCTGCTGGAATACATAGTCAACGAGCCACCGCCAAAATTGCCACCTGGAATATTCAGTGACGCTTTCACAGATTTCGTTGATCGATGCTTGAAGAAAAATCCAGCCGAGAGGGCAACTTTGAAAATGTTAATGGTACGTCGCGGTCTAGAAAAAAAATTATTTATCGGTTAAGCTTATAACTACACAGTAAAAAAAAAAATGTTAATTTTAACATTTTTTGCATGTCCCAGGAGGTCCACTCTAAATTGTAAGTTAAAACAACTTATTCGTTGTGAGTCACTTATTGACAAACTAGTAAAGTTAAATAATTGACACAATACTTTACATTTATATTTGTTATTTTGACTGTAAGCGTGATGTAAAAATAACATATAAAATAATTAAAATTACATAAAACAGTAGTTACAGTAACTCGTAAGAAATGTTAATAAAACATTTTAGTTTGTACAATGTGGCCACAGATTTTTAAAATTTTTTTTGTATGTTAAATTGACTTTGAGACATCTAGATTAATTGAAATTATTGTGTTAAAAGCACTTAAACAATATTCCATTTTTAAATGACATGCAAAAAATGTTAATTTGTGAAGTTAACATAAATTTAACACGTGAAAAGATTAAAAAAATAATAACATATCAGTATTATGTTAATTTTACATTGAAGTAATAATCAAAACGTCGTAACACAAGAAAAGTTCTACATTTTGACGCACGATTTTTTACTGTGTATAAATCCGCCGTCGCGTGTTTCTGTATTTTAGAATCACGAGTGGATAAAGAAAGCGGAATCGGAGAACGTTGATTTTGCCGGATGGGTGTGCCGTACAATGGATTTGCAACCGACCACGCCGACACACTTATCGAGCGTGCAGTCCTGAATAAATGTAACTCTTACATACTTGACTACATATATTCGTGTTAGCTCCTACTCCTAAGTCACTTATTAGTTATTTAAGTTTCCATTCCATCAAACGGTGGCGTTATCCTCTTTTTCTATCGTCATGTGTCTATTTGCGAAAGCTGATATATAAATCGGAATTCGATGGGCATCAGATCTATTGAATGAGTGTTACGACTTGACTGTGTGAGAACCACTGTGAGTGATTCGAGATTACAGGGATTTGAACGTAGTTGTAAGGCACAGTTAAGATTAAAAAAAATTGTTTCGAATCATCTCTATATCTCGGTTGTTTTCTTGGTTTTACGAGGGGGGGAGGGGAAGAGGCGAATCGATTAAACATTAAAAATGTTTCAAAAGAATTTCCAAAGTATCACGTCGCGCACGGATGTGTACGCGTATAAGTGTATTTCTAACTAATTCGCACGGACGAGAATTGCATTCTGTCCCAATTTTTCATTCGCTTGGTGCAAGATGTGTTCTTGTCGTCCAAAGTAACTTTACACATAAATACGCCACTGTGCCAAATTTATTAATTTTTACAAAGTTTTCCTTGTGTGTATTCTTCGTCTTATGCCTTATGTTTAAAGTATGTAAGATGATATCAAGTATTGGATTATAAGTTTATCGTTAGAGAAAACAGTTATGAAACAAGAATTGTGTTCCCCCGTGATACGATATTTAGGATACTCAAATACGAGCATGTGTGTGTAATTTACAATTTAAGAAAATTTAACTAGAGATCGAGTATATAACATTTGTACCTGACATCCATAGAAGCGTTGTTATTTGCACGATCAAAAAAAAAAAAAAACAAACAAATTTACACTCTTGTCATATTAAACTTTTTATATTAACGTATGGCTGCGATTTCTAACACACAACTTTGTAACTCAACTTCAATTGTTTCATCGTGTTTACACGCACACGATGAATCCAAAGTTCCTTCATATAATTTAACAGCGTGTATATGACAATTTATCTTGTTCGTAAAAAATCGTTTTTTACGATACGCGATTTAGATACTTCAGATTCCAATTATAAATTTGTACGCACAATGCGCGCGCGCGCTCGCTTCTCATAGATTTACATATTATGTCATTATGTAGACGGAAAAAGCATTTCATCATTGTTTACATTCATAGCATATAAAACTGTTATCTTCTTTCCTATTATAGCAAAAAAGATATAGATGATAAAATTGGCGGTGGTAAATAATTTCTCGGATCAACGGATTTGTAAAAAAAAAAAAGATTTCTTCACAATCGCGGCCGTACGTAAACAATGATCAAGTATTTTGTACATGATTTAAACTACGTTTATATATACATTTAGTAGATAGTACTTGAATTTATAAATCCTTTTGCTGTGTGTGTGTGTGTGTGTGTGTGTATGTGTGTGTGTGAACGTGTGCACGCACGCGTTTGTGTAGGTGTGTGTATGTGTAAATGAACAAAGAATGCTTTGATACTTTTTCTTAGTTTTAAATGCGACGAGAACTAAATCTGTATAGATTTTTTTGTATTATTAGTTTAAACTCTAAAACGCATGTACAATTTTATAGTAAGATATTAATAGAGCGAAGTAAAAAAGTATCTCGCGCACACAGTTTCTATATTTTATTGACAAACAACAATATAATGTAATAAGAATAATAATAGTAAAAGGGGACAAACACACACAAAAGAACGTTTATCAAAACCGACAGCAAAAGGATTCATTGTTTTGTGTTTGATCATACACGCTCGATCGTTTTTTGCAGGTTTTATAAAGTGCAATTTGATTAAAAACTGCTTTGTCTTATTTAGAAGAAGAGAGAGACGTATGAAATAGGTACTTAAGAATCAAAGTAAAAAACTTTGAGTTTTTCAATTTAAAAAAGTAGAATATATAGGATTGTAATATATATAAAAAAAAAAAAAAACGAGCATTTAATTTTATAGTACTTAGATGAGACTATATTGTTATTATTTGTGTGGAAGTTAATAAAACAATTCAAATTGTATACACACACACACATATATTTGTATACGTACATATATATATGTATATGCATTCCCAGATAGCCAACTGAGTGCAAGTTGTTGGCAACTTGCCACAAATATTACTCATATGTTTTCAGCAATGTAACAAAAGGGTGTATCCTCTTTTCAGTATGTTCTTGCCAGCAACAGTTTTCAAAATATAATAACAGCAAGTTCCCAACAACTCATCGGCAATAAACTTATATTATTTTTCTCAACTTATGAATAAAAATTATTGCTCATATATTGCTCACATATTGCTGACTCACATGTCATAAACATTGGCTACAACAATTGATTGATAATAAAACTCAGCATATTGATACCGAATTGACAAAAACATTTTCGTTGCGTTAAATAAAAACAACACAACAGGAATTGGCGAGCAACTTAATCTATACAATGATTTGCTTTATATTGAGTTTTCACATTTGGCTATCTGGGTTCTCTCTCTCTTTCAACAAGTCACAATTATCGTAAACAATGCAATAGAATGTCGTAAAACTATATAAATGAATAGCTTATTATTATTATATATACGCTAAAATTGTAATAATCAATTTATTATTGATTATAAAATTTTTTATGCGTATTTTTGTAGATGAAAAATCTACAGGTTGGTCCTCACGTATTGCACATAAAGTAATAGTCATTTCAAAACTTGATTTAAACATCACTGATTGTTGACAAGTATATCTACCATAATACGTGATATATATTGGTTTTGCAAGCCGAATAAAATATTTATCGGTGTGTAACATGTAAAAGCGTGAAACGCTTATGGATTAAGGTCTCATATATTATGTTTAAATCATAAACTAAAATACAATAATATTGATAGTATAAGAGCAAACGCATATAATGTCGTGTGTTGTAAAAAAAAAAAAAAATTGTCTTCATAATTTATCATAGTAAGTAAATTAGTCGCGCAGAAAGAGATATACAATTGTGTGATAACAGTTTATAATAATTAATAATCACACTGTATAAAAATTATATAGAAAGCAGTTTTATCAAGCGGTGACCCATAATTTTGCGCAAAAATCGTAATTTTTAGCAATTATAAAAATATGTGCGTAACTCTTGTTATTATAAAAATATGTGCATCGTAATTGCAGTTGTATGAATTCATCATTTATCGATAAATGTTATTAATTATAAATACAACAATAGAATAATGTATTTTATGGGTAAGAGTGTAATTGTTTCCCTTCCGCAGATTTTAGTATTTCGAAATCCAGAAGTGTAGATTAACACAGATTTGTACAAAAGTGTATTTGTATTATTTTTTATCACAAGAATAGTTTTATATTATTTATATAATTAATATCTTTGAAAATACATAGACATATATAGAAGTAAACATGCGCTCAAAAGAATCACAGTCGATGGTTAATATGTACGTATATATGAGTTCATGAGTTTGATTTAATATTTTGCGACATATATATAAAAATAACACTCACAATATACTAACAATTATATAGGATATTTATTCATTATACACACACATACATCATTATTTATATTTTAGTCAATTAGTACCTAAGTAAGTTAACTATTATATTAAAACGTGCATTAATTCTCTGATATTTATAGAAGTAAAAAAAAACAATTTATCTATAATTTAGTTAAAAAGTCGATGACTCAATCTTGTAATTTTTAGTTAAAACATTTAATTTCTTCAGACATTTTAATTATTGCCCGACTAATTTTTATAAAACAACTTTTTCTGACTAGACTTTTTGTATACTGAGTATTATCTGTAAAGCTCCATAAAATTTCACTTTTGTCTCCGACGGTTGCTCAATCGGAATATTCAATCTCTTCACTCTCTTCACTCTCTTCACTTTCTTCACTTTCTTCATCTTCTTCTTCCATTTCTTCTTCCACTTCTTCTTCTTCCTCTTCTTCAACTAGTTGATCTGGCAAACTTCTTTCTATAATTGACAGATCGTTTTTATATAATTCGATGTCAGAAAGATTAACGTTAAATATTTTTAACCGCTGATTATCAGGATAGTTCTGTCTACTTGTAATGGCAGTTCCTCCGACATATATATTTAACGTTAAGTTATTGCGTCGGTTTCTGGTCATTTCATTAGCAACCTCTAGAATATCGTTATTAACTTTAGCGCAGCCGGAGAGATCTAATACTTGTAAATCAGGCGATCTTCTAAGTACTTCTTTTATGCCGTCACTTTTAATATATGTACATCTTCGACATTCAAAATGTGTTAAACCGTGTATGTTTGACAAACTCTCGTCAGTAATATTTACATTACTGAGAATTAACTTTTTTAATTTTGTTAAATGAACAAACCATCTAAGTTCCTCTTCTGTCACCGTTTTGCAACCTGTCAGATAAAAGAATCCATAATTAAAAAAAAAAAAAAAACAAAGAAACAGCAAGAATAGAATGCAATTGTAATGATAATTTACCTGCTATGGTTAGAAAGGTAAGTTTTCGACAATGTAATGCCAAATTTTTAAAGAAAGCGGTTTGCAAATTGATAACGTATATAAGTGTCAAGTTTGTCAGATTGACGAGTTTTTTAGGTAACTTATTTAACAAGTGGTTGTCACTCATCGACTTGAAGAGGTTTCCATCAAACTCTAATGATTCTAAAGTTGTACAATTGCAGATAGCCTGTATTGTCCTACTTTGTAAGCGAGAACAGAAACGTATTTCAAGACAAGTCAACTTCAACTTGTTTAATGCCTGCGGTATCGGATTATAGTATTATAAATCATATATCAATCAAATATATCAAGAACATAATCAAAAATCAGTTAAACTTACATCGGCAAAACGGTTATCTTGAAGTTCTTCGCATCTGTTCACTATCAGAGTAGATATCTCTTCTGGCCGCAAAGATAGCAAACAATGGCCTGTAATGTTGGTTCTTTTCAGAGCTAGATATTCTAAGTGTGCTCTTTTAAAAACATTCGTAAGTTCAATATCACAGGCGGTCAGTGTTGTCCCCAAGGTAAATTTCTTCAAATATTCACATTTAACTGCTAAAATGTCTAAGCTTGAGCTAGTAATTGTTAATCCAGAAAGATCGAGAGTGTCCAATATGGTACAAAAGTTTGCAATGACGGACACCGTACTTAAACCTAAACAATGAAATTGATACGACAGATCTAGTTCTCTTAGAAATCGGCCACATCTCTGTAAAATTCGACGAAATGAAGCTGTTCGAAGTGAGTGAACGTTCACACCTTCCCACTTTTTAGATGTAAGGCTTAATTTTTTTATATCGATCCATGCTTCTCGCTGTTGTACTGCTATTTGCCAGTATTTACAGACTGTAAGAATAATAATAAATAAAATAATACGCAAGATTTGTGCCAAGAGATGAAAGCGAAAAAGATAAAACTATGGTACATAATATACCTGATCTCTATCTCGAATTTCTTACTTTTTTCATACTTTGTAATATGATGAAAATCAGTTGTTCAGAAACATAACGCGAAAAGTTTTAAATATCGGAACATATGTTTTGGAATATCCAAAATAAGTTCGATATATTACATAGATTTAATTAAAAACAAATAGTGAGTTAGTCGAAAAGTTTGTAACGTTTTCGAATAGATAGGATTTGGTGCTTTCCAGCTAAGGTACACAGGCGACGCTGTGTACCTTAGCTGGAAAGCACCAACAATGGCTAAGGTACACAGGCGACGCTGTGTACGTAGCTGGAAAGCACCAACGATGGCAACATGTTCGAGACACGAAATGTCGCGCAAAAACATCAAATTGAGCGTTCACAGAAACTAAATTATTATTATCGGTTAATATCTTTAAATTCTATTAAAAAAAAAAAAAAAACGCTATGTACTTTCCGAACAAATATATCAGTCTACATGATGTATGTGTATTTTTATTACATATGTATATATCAAAGTTCTAACAAATTTAACACAAAGATTTTACCTTCTTCCATAATCAATCTATGTTTAAATGGCAAAAGTGAAAATATGGGAGACAGTACGTCAGGCCTGTACAGTGAATTTTCTATTTGTACGGCTATTGAGCTTGATAAAATTGATGTTTCAGGTGATAGTGGTTCTGTTTTATAGACTTTATTCATTTTGTTTTCTATATTATCAGGTTGATGCCAAGAATCCGCAGGCAGTACCTTCAAGTCTCTGTTGTGTAATCTTACTTGTTTGGATATTCCATTTTCCAGCGCTCTGCAAATGATTTTATTAATTTGAGAAAAAATAATTGATATGATTTTTTGCTAATAAAACCTCCTTCACAGAACAGACTTACTGTTTTGCATCTTCTACTTTAAAAAATGTGACAAATGCGTAGTTGCTTTTTTTATTTCTACGCAAATAACAACTCTCAACGTCTCCGTACGTAGAAAAGCACTTTTGCAAATCTTTAAAGGTACTCTACAAATGAAACTCCGAATGTCGATATATGAAGATTCAAAAAATCAAAATAAATACGTACCCTTTGAGCCAAGTTGCTGACGAATAACTTTCGTACCGGCACACCGTCTATAGTCGCTTGCGAATCTGTACTTTCTGGACAAAGAATGTTATTGTCGTGAATGTCAACAAGTGTATAACTCTCTCTCTCCAAATCAAAACCGTTCAAGGACGGTGACATAATAACAAAAATCGTGAAGATAAAGATACCCTAGATGTGTTTACCGTAGTCCGACGTAGCCATGAATAAGCGACGAAACATCTGCGTGTAATTATATTCTATCCAATCCATGTTCATCGTGATTTCTTTATTTTGCCGTGATCACGTTCTTTGATAAATTTATAATTTTTCAGTCAGAGTTTTTAGATCTCCTAGATCTCCTTTTGTGTTTTTTTTCTTTTCTGATTATGTTTTTTTTTCTACTTTCCCGCACAATCAGTTTTGTTGGATGCGCGTTATCTTCGCTCAATTCTTTATGTCGTTTTTATGTGAAAACTAATAATATCTTCTTTGATAATAACTTCGCATAAACCTCTGTGTTCCCGCAGCAGTCAGCTGACCGGTTTAATTTGATGCTCCCTGTGGTGACTCAGTGAAGAAGTCAGCTGACTGACATGTAGCCGTTTTCATTACACTTGACTTATTAAACACAGGATCAGGATTGAGATCGGGGGTGAGGGTTCGATCAATCAGAACAAAGTTCACCAAACTTGAGATTGGTTTTCTTTTTTTTACGATTGGTTAACAATTCCAACCCGACCAATAGAGGTGTAGCAGTTCGATGGTGTTTCATTCCAACACTCTCTGTTCAATGAGAGAAGAGAATCGGATTGAATGAAAACTCGTCCGTTTTGCGCATCTTCCTCTACCAGAAAGAACCTTCATTCCACATTGGCTGTCAGCCGGCGTCCTGCCCGGTTACGCGTGCAACGTTGTCCCTACTTTGCCTTCGCTTTTCCTTGTGCATGAACAGTTGTAGGATTAACTTGGCGTAAGGAACGATCATAAGGGTAGATCAGGTTTAAAATATCTCTCGCATTGGTCGATTTGCCAAACACGACCCAATGGAATTGGACAATGTGGACATGACCTGTGCTCGGGATCGTAGCGAGCGCCAAGTTGAACTTGTTGTAAATTTATTATTACTACCTCGTGGTCCTCGAACACGTGAAGTGAGTGTAGTTCAGTTACGTCAGAGATTTGAAAATTTAAACGTTTGCTAGGTTTGTTGATGTGGCGATTTGTGTTAATAGTGACGGGTGTGCGGGGGCCATCAATCAGCAGAAACATTTTTCGCCCATTGTCGCATCCCGACGTGACGCATCCTGTCGAATAAATCGCCGCCGGGTTTGATAGATTAAGGGGCGATAGTCGCGATACCAATATTGGGTTATAAATGTTCGAACGCATCGGATTGATAGAGATAAAGGATCGTTTTTCTATATAAAATTTCCGTTCGTCCAAAAGATAAATTTGCATTACGTGGCGTCTAAGCACAGGTATCATCTTCTCGTTTCTCGTTTACGCACTCTTATCGCGGTTATTTCCGTTTGTTCGATCTCTTCTTCATTCTCTGCTTCTCTCTGTCTTTCTTTCTCTCTCTCTCTCTTTCTCTCTCTATTTCTCTTCTTCTCACATCACTGTACTACAAGATATTTAATGTTTTTCACGAACCTCTATATATAGCACATTGTTTACTAGGACAAGTAGTTCCAATGGAATGGTATGCATATCTATCTTAATTATATTCTTATGCAACTCTTAGAGATTTCTTTCTAAATTTTTTTTTTATATGGAGGGATTAATTTTTCTTTCTCTTTCTGTCTCTCTTTTTTATAAATATAATATATACCTAAATAAAATTATCTGAAAAATTATATTTATATTTTTGAGAGATATTTATGTTTGTACTAAAAATATTGTTTTACATATATGCTCTTATGTATACTAAAAATATTGGTTTTATATAATTGATACTCTCAAAAATATTAAATATGTACGTATAATAATTATTATTTATGTATATTTAACAGCATTTAACATTTTTTTTTTTACAGCTTTACATAGTTAATATTATTAGATTGTATTATATATGTATATTACACACAAAAATTACAAAAGAGAAAAATCACTTATCAAAAAACTATTGTGTGTAATATATGTACATATATTCCTTTGCGCTTGCAGACCTACAAGTAAGACAGACCGGGTCTGTGAGACCAACGCGACTTTGCAATCGAATATCTCTGCAAAACATCAATATTTGTTCAATTTTGTTTGTTTGTTTTTTTTTTTTTTAATCAAAAGTTGGAACAATTCCGCATTGATAAAAAACACAAGTTGAAAAAAATTTCTAGTGGTTTCGAAGATATAAGCGTTAAAAAGAAAATTAATTTTTTATAGAAACGTCGATGCGTAATTTTTGCATGAGTCTGGGAGACCCATGTCTGCAGGCAAAGGGATATATATATATATATATTATAATATACACGATATTATTTTTTTACAAATGTTTTCTATTTTATAGGAAGCTGTGATAAAAAAAAAAACAAATTATATTTTACGTACGATTTAACACTACTTGGAGACAAAAAGACACGTATCAAATATTTAGATAAGTAAAGGAGAAGTACAAGTTAAAAGTTTGAAACATATATCTTGCACACAAAGTTACATGTTTAAAAACTGATATTGGTGGATTGAGAACATACAGGCTGTTTATCTCATGTAAATTTTTCTTTCGCAAAGTGCTGGCATATATGCGTAAGACTAACTTGTTGATTTAATATAGTCATTAAAACGTATAAGTTATAACTGGTTTCTACATTTCTGAAAATACATAAATTAGTATTTATAACTTTCATGACAAAAAATAGACACTGTAAATATAGTGTCTCATTGAGCTTTAGCTTGTAATCTTGCATTGTAATCTTGTATTAAAGTCAAACTCTGTATGAATATGATAGATTTCTAAAAAAAAAAATGCAACATATCTAACTAAATATAATATAAACTAACTGAAATTAATAGCAAAGCAAAGAAAAAAAGCTTATAAAAAAAAAGAAAAAAAAACTATTAAAGAAGTAACACAAAACACTCACCAAAACTATATATGTGAATTTGATAAAATTATAAATTATTGCAAGATACACTAAGTAATATAAAATATTTCGTGCCTTACACATATTCTCAATCAACACAATTACTAATGAGGGCAACTAAGTGCAATATACTACTTTAGTAGAAATTAAAAAAGAATTTGCAAGTCTCCAAGAATCACATCTTGTACTTGTCTTTTTTTGACTATGTACCATACTGTGTTTCCATCACAAATGATGGTGCAACTAACAAGTGGACAACAAACAAATGGACAGTGTCCATCAGCGCAAGCACACACAGTACATATTAATGGTGCATTGCATCAAGCTGATTTTGCACAGTATGGTCCCGATATTTCTGGACACGGCAGATATCGTATGATGCAGGTACATGTGAAGATCTTTTTAATTTATATTTATATATATATAAATATAAATATATAAATTAAGAAGATTTTAACCGTTCGCCCCTAACGCTGGCTTTAGCCAAGCTATTGGAATTGCAATGTTCCAATGGAACATTGCAATTCCAAACGCCGAAAAAAAAAACTAAATCTCGTTTAATGACGATGCTCCAGCGGAGTGGGTCGCCGTAGCAAAAGGGTTAATTAAAAAAATGAAATTAATTAAAAATCTTGATACATAAGTATATACATATATATTTATGTATATACTTATTTAAATATGTATATATCTATTTAAAAAAATATGTATATTTGTTAGAATACATGTATTTATATATATATCTAACTTATATTCTACTTATATTCTATATATATATATATATTCTATATATATATATTATATATATATATATACATACATATTTGTATATACTTAAGAATATAAGTTAGAATATAAGTAATATTTTGCAGACAGGATCCCACCCATTAGATTTATTACAACTAATAGGAGTTGATACGCCATCATTACGACATGTAGAATATATGCAATTTAATAGCAATTCCTCTTCTGCACATTGGAAAAGAGGAATAGGCGCATCCAGTGGTGCCGCAATTATACCATCATCAAACTATAATTTCAAGCCGACAAATATGAATTCAGCAAAGAATAAACAAGGCTGGAACAACAGAAATGGTAGAAGAAGTTCATATAGAAATTCTTTCTCCAAGTATGAGACTTACAATAGTGACAGCAGTGGATTTAGTTCGCGTTCGTCAACACCAAGCAAACATCAAATTGACAATAGTTTAACAGAGAGTTCAGACGAGCGGGACTCCACAAGTTCATTAAGAGGACAGGGCATGAAGTAAATATATTAATCATATGTTAAATATTAGCTTATTTCTGCGCATTATCAATAACAAATTATCAGTTAAAAAACGAACAGATTCCTTTCTAACTCAAAGTTTTTTAGGAAACATTACAAAATGCATTCAGACAACAGAGCAATCAATAAATCCACAAATGGTTTAATCTCCACAAATACTTCAGCACAACAATTTTATCACAGTCAACAACGGTCTGTAAATTATTATCACACTGCCATTTCTAATTCTAGATCTCATTTTCAAAATTATCAAAATAGAAAAAAGTATTTACCAGGTGAGTCTTTTCAGATATTTTTATTAGAGAAGTAATATATGTCTGCATATTTTCTATATGTATAATAATTTTACTTGAACTTGTCTGATCAAACTAGAATTTATTTATGTAGGTAGAAATGAAAATACACCTCAAAGGCCACCAAGAAATCGTAAATTTACTGAACTTTTAACGCCGAATTACAATGTAATGCCTAGAACGCCTTGCATAGCTCCTGACAGATTTCTTGCCAGATCTCATTTGGTAGAAGTGACTACTACACCTAACAACCTCGTTACAGGATCGATATGGGACAGTCTGTCGCAACAAGTTTGGAAGAAATTTATATCATGTCAACAAACAGAAAAGACTTATAGAACTAAAATGATGCTATGGAAGCAGCTTTATATTTATATTAGGGTAAACATAACATATAAAACACAAACACATTGTCGGGACACTTCAGAATAAAATCTGGAAAATATGACTATATATATACTAATTGATTTATTTGTGTGTAAAACGTTGGCATTTGTAGAGTTCGTATCCAAAATATGGTTTATTCTTGGTTGGCTCAACAATGAGTGGATTTGGTTCGGATAATAGCGATGTCGACATGTGTCTTTTAGTGAGACATACAGAAGAAATGGATCAGAAGACCGAAGCTATAGAACATTTAGAACAAGTATTAAAACATCTAAAAAACTGTGGTATGTAAAATCATTATGTTGCTGTTTTTGAAAATTATTACTTTTAAACATTTTACGATTCCGCATTTTAATGACAAACCGATACTTTTATATTCCATTTCTTTTTCATATCTAGAATTTATTCACCAAATAGAGCTTATACACGCAAAGGTGCCTATTATAAGATTTTACGATATATGGCAATGCTTACAAATTGACTTAAATTGTAATAATGCTGTCGGTATTAGAAATACTCAACTATTATATTGTTATTCAAAACGTAAGTTAATTCAACAATGATATTAATACACTATTTATGTAAGAAAAGTTTTTCCCTTTGTATGCAAGTGCTTTTGTTTGTTTTAGTTGATTGGAGAGTAAGGCCATTAGTAATTGTCATAAAATTGTGGGCTCAATGTCAAGATATCAATAATGCAAAAAAAATGACGATATCCAGTTACTCTCTGGTGCTTATGGTGATACATTTTTTGCAATGTAAGCATGACACACTGTGACATTTGGTTTTTTTTCCAAAATATCAGAAAATATAAACATGACTTCAAACTTCTTCATAGGTGGTGTCAACCCTCCAGTTCTGCCATGCTTGCAATCGATATTTGTCAGCAAATTTAGCTCGCAAACGGACATCCATAGTATCGACATTCACGAGGATTTAAATATCCCATTCTCCATTCGTTTACCTGAGAATCGTCAATCTCTCGGAGAATTGATTTTAGAATTTTTCAATTACTACGTCAAATTTGAGTGAGTAATAGAATTGTAGAATGTTCAGTGTAGATGTTTCAACACAAACGATACTAATTTCGTATATAATTCAATTAGTTACAGCAAATATGCGATATCTGTTCGTTTGGCGAGCAAAATACCAATAGAGGAATGTCGTATGGCGCAGTCTCTCAAAAATGATCCCCATCAGTGGAAAAATCTATGTATTGAAGGTGATTAACACTACACTCTCTTATTTTTCTTTCTAATTACCTAATTAAATGCAATTACGCAATTACGTCTTTTTATGAAACTTATGAAAAATCTGTTACACAATTTATAGAACCATTCGATCTGACTAATACGGCAAGATCAGTCTACGACTCGGATATATTCGAAAAAATTAAGAAAGTATTTTGCGTCACGTATCAAAGACTGAAAAAATCGCGAGATTTGAACTGTATATTTATCCAGGTATAACCAAAACCTCATTTTATGGATCTCATGACATAAACTGTGCTTTTTGGTGGTAGCACAGAAAAATTTATATTTTAGCTAATGTAATATTTAAAGGCGTGCTGTTTTGATGAACAAGTTGTTCAAACGGAATCGAAGGCGTTGTGTTAAACGGTTAATGGCTTCCTGATCTGATGATCTGAAATAAAGATGCAAAGTGGAAGAAAAACTGCTGACATCGTGTTATACGATTATGTATCTTGTGATATCAAACTATATTTTCGAGCAACTTTGCAAGGTACTCAAGACAGAACTTCACACACACACACACACACGCGCGGGCGCGCGCACAGCCTCGTTAAATTTTGTACGTTCTCTTTCCGGAAGTTGCAACGATTATTATATAACATCTTGTTTGTATATAAATATATATGTGTGTGTGTGTGTGTGTGTAAAAAAATCATTGTGTTCGCTCTAACGTGCAAACATTTTGATATGAAACACCCAATGCACGAATATCGTTCCTAACGTAAGACATTAGAATTGCGAAACGTGCAATAAAATCTATAAGGTGTGTTACAGCTTATAGATTTTATCATCTCTTGTTTGAATCTTTCTAAATCTTCAAAAAAGTAACTCTGTGCGTTAATAATCCACACATCAATTTCTCTAAAAAAGATTTGATATTTTTATATATATATGCATACACATGTATGGTAACGCCATAAAATTTATTATTGTAACGTTTGTCATGCCAACATTATTCAACATAAGTTTTTCACAAGTCTATGCTCGTCACGATTATGTATAAGTCTTCCATATAAGTTAGCAAATATAAAATCATACGAAGTACCTTGCTCTTTGATATTGGTAACGTAATCGCAGAGCACAGAGTGATATAAAAATAATTAAACATGTATATATATATATTTTTTTTGGCGTTAAAACTATATTATCAGACACTGCACAAACAATGCATAAATATCAACGCACAAATATAAATTTTCAATAAAAAAAAGTGTTTAAACTTATAATTTGCCACGAAACAAATGTGTCTGATAGAAAAATACCATCCTATAGAATTGTATACGTAAACACAAAAAACAAAAAAAAAACAGGAAGCAGTACTTATTTTTTGTACAATTGTTATTCCTTACAAAAAAAAAAAAAAAAAAAAAAAAAAAATCCACATGAGCATAGACTCAAGAAAATATATAAACTTTTATTATTTTTTTGTAAAAATATGAAAAGCCAAAAAAATGAAAAACATCTGCTAAAATTACAAAAAAATGTTATTGAAGCAAAGTATTTACGTTTATACTATTTGGTTCAGATATATAATCAATGAACAATCGATAGTGAAGTAGCAAGACTGTGTTTCTTTTAAAAAGGATTTACTTGTATTATAAATATAGATCCATAAGAACAATTTTTGGTCAATCGCACTAAGATGATGAGTAATCTAAGATATATTGACGGAATTCTAATTTTCTTGTCACTGGAATAATTTGAGTTTGATATTTTATTATTTGAGTTGGAAACAAACAAAATGTAAAAGTCGGTAACATATAAAATACATTTATTATTCATACAAATAAAAAATAAAAATTTCTAATAATTTATTTATTGAAAGATCGAGAAAAACCAATAAACTTTTTTGATCTTTATTTTTCTGCACAATATTTCTATTTTTCCTGACAACAAGATCTTTTCTGTTCCAAGAAGATAAATTTTCTCCTAAAATGACAAATAAATAGTTTATATATAAACTATATTTTTCTGTGTAAATTAGCAAAACCTTTACAAACTTTATTTCAACAACCATTCATACAAAAATGGTCTAAAAATAAAGTTACTTTGCGTGCAGCCAATTGATATTGGAGGAAAACAAGAAATTGATATTACTATATATTTTTTTCAAATAATCCTTTCTAAAAGAAACACTCAAACTTGGTATTTTTCGTTATTCACTAAAAAAGGGGATCTCTTATATACATATATTTTTTCATTCTTTTGGTATTCTAGTGTTTTGCTAGTCTTTTTTTCTCTAAAATATATACAGCATTGTGTAATAATCTTAAAGATGGTACATGTGCTTGCAATATACATACATATATACACACACACACACGAGTAAATTCTATTATTACTATCTCAATTTTTCGAAAAAAAACTGTATATATAAGTAAAAAACTATATAAACACTAACAATTTTTTGTCTCACATTTCAAAAAAATTACAGAAATATCTACCAGCATATATTTGTTTCTACGTGTATGTGATTTCATTGTTTCTTGGCAGTGAAAATTAAATGATTTAACTTTTAGATGGTATTTGAAGAGATTCATGAATATAAAAGTTTTTGTGATATGCACCACATGTATTTATATGTATATATAAACATGTATATTTTTGTGTATATGTTTATATAAATATTACACAATGCTGTTCTCTGTGTGTATGTATGTATATATATGTATGTACATATACATATATATATATATATGTTAAAAGTTTCAATAGTTTTCAGTAATTTCATACAAAAAAAAAAAACCGTAAGGAAAAATTATATTGTAACTATATAGCATCAGAATTATACAATTTAAACATGCAGGTACATAGGAGCATATATCTCGTTTGGATAAATTTACAATAGTAAATCCTTTTCTGTGTTAACAACGTCAGAACATATATAAAAACACCTGATCTCCTACATTTATAAAATAAAAATAATCTTTTGTAATTGCAGTTTTCTTGTTAAATAAATACGTTTATACAAAGCATATATCTTGCCGTATAAATGTCTTGCATGTTTTCCATTTTGTTTGTTCAATATATTGTTATTTTGTTATCGTATGGATATATTTTTTTTTTTTTTTTTTTTTTTTTTTTTTTTTAAATAAAATGGTCTCATGTGACACGTGGTATCAGATCAGGTGACACGTGGCGTCATGAAGAAACAACCAGAAGATGTTTTCAAATTATATTTATTTTTCCATAAGAGATGTCAATAAATTTCAATATTATATAATCTGTAAATTATATATATATATGTATATATATATACCTATTTATATATATATCAGAACGGTGCGTTGTTGATCGGACAGAAGAAATGAAACAATTTTGGTGCTGTGTGTAACATAGAGTTATGTTAATTATCACTTAATCTCTATTGCGTTTTAATGAATTTATTTGGCGTAAAAAAAAAAAAAAAAAAAAAAAAAAACAACAAAGTCAGTACACAGAGAGCGTGAGAGAAACATGGTATGGAACTAGAAGCAGGGATATGGGGAAGGAAACAGAAAAGCATTTCAAATAAGAGTCTCTTATGTATACAGTAGAATGACATTCTATTTTTCCAGTATAATAAAACATTTCGAATAAGTGATGTTGCGAATTACTTTTTACCATCGCGAAAACAATGGTAATGTCCGAAACAAAGCGATGATACCAGTCATACACACAATTTTGCAATATATGACATATATCGAAAAGAGAGAGAGAAAAATAATCAAGACTCACTAATCCTAAATTTATAAATTGATATCGTTCTCCGCGCCTCAATCCTTTCGCTACGAAAAACTCGCGATTGGATTTGTCCAAAAATTTTTATCTCATGTGTGTGTTTGTTTGCCGTCAAACTCGGCGGCGGTTTTTAAAAAGTGATCAGATCACGACAAGCAAACCCTGAGGTCATTGTCTCGATAGAATATTACCAGAGACACTAGGGGGTAATACAAATCGTCATATCAAACTCTTATCAATTATTGCATATCACGCGCTGATTTAATCTACGTAAGTAATTTACGTAAAGTCAGTGTGTTGCGTAAGTCTCGTTCCTTGTGTAGGAAAACAAAATTATTCCCTGAATACGTAGTAACGTTTTTTTTTTTAAAAAACAAAAAAAAATGTACTCATCGTTGCGAAACGATTGAAGAGAACGATACGTAAAAAAGAAAGAACGAACATAAAGCTTTAGTAAGCTATGTTTTATAATGATTCTCGATCACACTAACCACTATATGTATTACTAAAGGTCTACTCTGGAAGAAAGCTTTTTTTTATCCGTACACATTTTGTCGATCCCTGCGGCAAATAAGCAATAGAGAGATACAACACATAAGGGGGGTGGAGGGGGAGGAAAAAAAAACTAATCAAAACATGATCAAAACCACCGGTGAATTTCTCAGGACCGTTTCTTTTTTTTTTTTTTGTTTTTTTTGGATTTGTCGGTCCTCAAAGAAAGGATGTTCCGTCTCCTTGATGGATGTCGATAATGCTCTCACAATGCCTGACGACGACTTGATTGGCGACTTTTTTTTTTGTTCCGTCGAAGAACTCTCGATGTGTGAAATTACACTCGTGCGTTTGAGCAACAGCTTTGTACAGTGTTGTTACAAACAATAAGATACGGGCCATGTACCTTATTCCCAGCTCGAGACATTTCGGACGATGGAATACACGTGTGTCCCCTTTAGATTTCCTTCTCTGCTTTTTTTTTTTTTTTTTTAACGTCGAGATTTGGATAAAATGGTGAAGAAACACGTAGTGTCAGTCCGGTGTGCTATTGTGTGGTGTCTCTAATCTGTGATCAACAGACGCTGCTACACGTAGGTTTTTTCATGAGAGGTTTTTCTTTGCCGTATACACGTTTTTGCTCTCTTGATTGTGATGCTATGTTGGCACACTCATCGAATTCAGTGATGAAGCGAATAAAATCTATTTTNTCGAATTCAGTGATGAAGCGAATAAAATCTATTTCAATTTTTTTTTTTTTTTTTTTTTTTTTTTTTTTTTTTTTTTTTAGATTTTTTTTCTGTTTGTGCTTTTAATACTAGCGTCACTCAATTCTCCGCGATAAAACGGTCTGTTTACGGTAAACGCGATGTCTCGATTGGTAATAGTCGTTCGTCGTCTTCCAGCGCGATGTCCGATTCCCGTTTTGTCCTTGTCACATTCTTTACTTAGTCAATTAGAATGGATTCTTTGTTTGTCCATCCACGGTGGAGTTCTCTAACGGCGAATTAGCTTACGAAATTAGCTTCGTTCTTCCTTCGCTCCTCTTTCTATTCCTCACGACGACTGCATAATATCGAACTCGATCATACCGAGCCGTTTTATCTCGTTTTGCGCAGTTAGTAAATTGTGGTTGGTCTCGAAAAAGAATTGGTCGAATGAGCCTTCATGGCATGGCAATTGCGTTGCTCAGCCGTACATGGATCTCTCGGCTCAGTAGGGCTGGGAGAACTGTCCTCCGGCTTGCGACTGACCTGACTGATAGAAACCACTTCGATCACCCTGATAAGTGGAATCCTGTGACAGCAGACCATCCATCTGGGATTGGAATTCGCCAACCGCAAACGAGTCCTGCGAGAGTTCAGCTTGGCTGAGACCAGGTTGCGAGAGACTGAATCCGGGTTGTGACATGCCCGGTGTCGTTCCCTGAGTTAACTGCAAACCTGGCTGACTGTACGGCTGCGTGTTCTGCTCAGTCTGACTGAGCTTGCCAATACGCGGACCGGTCTTGTTTCTTGCCGATGCGGCAGCTCCGCGCCTATTTCTCTGATTTTGGCGCATTTGGAAGAAGCGCGGCGGCACGTGGTGCATGTTCATAAACACACCTACCGGGACAGGCACGTTATTCATCGCCGCCTGTGCCCGCTCTGGACTAATATAGCTAATGGTGTCGTGAGTACGACTGAAGACGTCGACAGACATGTTCCTTTGATAATAGGAGTTCTGAGTGCCGTTCATTTGCGTGCCGGAGCGATCGTACACAGATCCCGGGATCAGAGCTTCGCGCGCGTCGTACATCGACGTCGACATAAAGTGCGAGCCTGGATTCGCCGAGTTGACGAGTTTCTTTGGCTTAGCAAACTGAATCATGGATTCTTTCAAATTATTCAACGGTCCTTCGACCAACACTTTTTGTTCCTTGTAGAAAGTTAACAGATGATTCCAGAGCGGCTGCTTCGAAAGCACCTTGGGATTGCCTACAATGATGATACCGTATTTCGCGCGAGTCAGCGCCACGTTTAATCTTCTAGGATCGTTGAGGAACCCTATGCCTTGATGTTCGTTGGATCTTACGCAGGACATTATTATGATATCCTTCTCACGTCCCTGAAAAGCATCCACGCTTGCGACCTCGATTTCTTGATACAACGCCGAATGCAAAGAACCTTGATACTGCATGTACTGGACGAGATAGGCCCGCTGGCCCTCATACGGAGTTATCACTCCGATCTGCTCCGGTTTGACACCACAACGTAAGAATCGCGTTGCTATTTTCTCCACGTTGGATGCCTCGGTACGATTCAAATAGGACGTGCCGCTTCCGGCTATCTCTTCTTGGCCTTGGGTGACATAAAAGAACATCGGCTTGTCCGGTACCGGCCAGGGAAAATCGATCTTGAGTAGTTTTCTCTCGTCGGCGCAAACGCCATTCTGCAGAGAGCCTTCGTAAAAGAAGTTGGACGGGAACCTCGAGAGATCGGGATGCATGCGATATTGTACTTCCAAGCGGAAAGGTCTGATTCCCAGTACTACCAATCTTTCGAAAAGAGACTGAGACAGACCGGCTCTGGCGGCTTTCTTGCACATCACCACTGGACCCAATTGACAGTGATCCCCGACAAGAATCAGTTGCTTGGCTCCGAGAACAACTGGTACCATGCACTCCGGTTCGGTAGCCTGCATACTCTCGTCGATCAGTATGGAGTGGAACTTTAATCTGTGGAGTCTGGGATCACCAGCGCCTACGCACGTGCAGCAAATCACATCAGCCGCCTCCAACAATTCCTTTTCCGCCGTTTTCTTCAAAAGCCGATAGCGTTTCTCATCCGCGCTCGACAATTCGCCCGTTTCGTCTTTCAGTTGTTGCAACTTCTGCAATTCGGTGTTCGTGTCCATATTTTTTATTTGATTGTGCAGCGCGAGGAAACTAACTGGCGAATCAATGGCCTCGCGTGATTTCGCGCACAATCGTACGACTTTCAAATTTGTCTTGTGTATCTTCTCGGTTAATTGATCGACAGCTGTATTGGAGGGAGCGCACACGAGAACCGGACCGCTTTGTTGTTTCGCCAATTGATAGACGATAGTGGCGCTTGTCACGGTTTTGCCCGTTCCAGGCGGACCTTGAATCAACGACAAAGGTCGTTGTATCGCATGTTTCACAGCGTATACCTGCGATCTGTTCAAATCCGGTAGATTTGGTGCGCTGAAGTGCTTGGGAACGTGACAACGGAATAAAACCTCGTCCACATCGTGACCCAAAAGTCTATGATATATATAAGTCGAAACAGATGAGTCATCCACAGCAAATTTACGTAATGCAGATTGCATACTGTAATTAAAAATAAAATGATAAACGTGAGATATATGTGTAAAAAAAAACTTGTTTTTATATTATATCAATATTATATATTGGCGGTATTGCGATAAAATTTCGCCGACAACACTCACCGGTCAAAGCTCGTGCTCTTCCAAATGAAGTCAACAACAAAGTTACTGGTGCATTCTGTCGGTGCTCCAGAATTGTTTTTCAACTCGATTCCCACTTCTTCTCCATAATTGTCGGGAATTTTAATCACGTGTCCGATTCCGGACCAAGGCTTATGAAGCTCTCCTAGATAACGAAGTCTCAGTTCATCCCCGTGCATCAGTTTCATATCCCCGTCCGTCTTGGCCAGCATGAAGTAAGCGATGGTCTTCTTATTCAATCCAACGTCCCAACGTACCTCGATATTTTCTTGAGTTTGCGACTCCTTCAAGCGTTTGTCGTAATCAGCTTCTAGCTTAACAAGAGGACCAAAAATATTCTGATACTGATATCCATCTTCGTAGCGCAACAGAACCTGCTGCGGTTCCTCGTCCACTCCAGGTTTCTCGAGATCTTGGAAAGTGGCCTCAACGTTGTCTCGCCACAATTCTTCCAATTTGTTAATTTGCTGCGCAGACATCTGTCTGGCTCTCAACTGTTCTTGATCGGATGGAATCTTAACTAACCAAGTCAAAAAGCATCGATCGTCGATCAGAGGTTTCCACTGCTCTTGATCCCTATATAAAATAATTTTCAAGAAACTATTTAATATACATGTACCATTTCACACGATATTAGAAATAGATTTATATATTAATAAATCTGTTTGTATAAAATACGTAATATATAAAAAAAAATACAGTAAGATAACTCAATTCTCACCAATTCATATCTTTTAAGGAACTCTGTGCTGCACATGGTTGGCGACAAAGCAGCACAACAACCGAATCGGCTTTAGCAGGAATAAAACCCAATAAAAAAACATTTCTCGTGGCGCAGGAATAACATTCCAAAATAGTTTCTCCAAGAGCACCATCTCTGTAAAAAACAAAAGTTGGTGAATTCATTTTTTCCCGTACGTTTAAATTTATAAAATAACAATATATCGATTAAATGTAATTATATAAAAAATTTACAAAGGTACAAAACTACACGATATTTGTCACGTGTTTCTAAATTCTAACGTTAATGTGTGAAAATATATATATAGAAGATAAATGCAGAGATAAAGATAAATAAAATAAAGATAAAAGAAATAAAGATAAAAGATAAATTACTACATATATATATACGGAAGATAAATTATTGTTAAGAATACATATAGAAGAATAAAAATTACTTGTGTAAAGTGACTTCCTTATGCTTGGCTCGAACAAGATGATTGATAATGTGCGATCCTGATGTATTTCCACGTCCGTTGCAAAACCATTTGCGACAGACGTTACACATAACCACGCAGGACGCCTCGTGGATGCCGCAATATTTACAAGCATGTTCGGGCAACTCGCGATTGTAGTAAGCTTCCTCTTCTTCCTCTTCGAATTGCAACTCAGCAAGACTCTGGGCCGCTGCCGAAACTACCGATGAACTACCATTGGTTCCATTTATCTGAATAAAATAAGAAACATGAAGAACAATGATCAAAACCAAAGATTTTATTGGACAAATACTTCTTAAAACAAAAATAGCTGCAGGTGCTGCAAGCAACAATATATAACGACATTAACTCTACGTATAGACTCCAAAAAAAATTTTGCCTATAAAAAACACACACATTTCACTTCTCAAGGCAAGGTAATTATTATTATGTTAAATACATTTCAAGCGCTTAAGATACCTACGGCATTTCTTTGAGTCTATTTGATCAAAACACGAAGAATTTCAAATTTATCGCAGAAGATATCAAAAACGCGTTAGCAAATTTTTTCTCAACTCGTGTCACGTTTCTAAACAGGAAGCACGTGGAAAATTCCACTTTTTATGTGTCGGAAATGCGCGCACACGCACACACACACGCGCGCGCGCGCGCGCACATGCATAACACATACATACGTACAAAAGAGTCGCTTGCGTAACTTTGCAAAATATTAATACAAATACACGTATACCCCCCTCATCGACTCGAAAAGGAGAGCGATTCGTTCCTCGCAACTTATGTGCTGAATCCGTGTTTTTCCAACGAAGTTGCGATCAAGGTCACGCTAGCGACACACGATCGTTGAGGAAAATCGGAGAAGATTTCGATACCGAAGGAAAGATAACGGAGGGGTCACAGGACAGAGATAACGCGGAAAAAAAAAAAAAAAAAAAGAGATCTCATTTATCAGCTTGTGTGTGCATTGGCAATTAAAGCCACACGCACCAACGGTGCAACACGCCAACAAGCGCCAATTGGCGCACACGCGGGGTGCTAGGTTAGGCCGCGTGGTGATCGTCGACGACGCGTGTCCACAATTTTTGATCAAACAAACTCGCACCAGGAAATACGCAAATATCTAGCGGAGAGACGAAACTGATTATATTTTTTTATATTTTTTTATTACGAACCTGAACGGGCTGGCTGGATTGCGTTTGGGTCGCGTCGTGTTGCGAAGCCTGGGTCTGACTCGGCGAGGGTAACGTGAAATCGGTGAAGTCGAACTCGCTGCCCTGGGTGTCCGCGCCGATCAGATCGGTTTCCTCGGTGTCGAGAAACGTGAGGGTCTGGCTACTCGGCCCGTACGCGTCAACGCTCATCCTGACGACACCTGATTTTCCTCGGGTTTCCTCTCGAGTTGTCTCTCTTCTGTGTCTCTCCTTCCTTCTTCTCTCTTCTCTCTCGCGAACGTTTCGCACACTCTTCCCCGAAATCCCTTTCCCGGGACGAGAGTGAAGAAATTTCTTTTTTTTTTTTTTTTTTTTATCAAGGTTCGGTGCACGTTTGTTACTCGTATGTAACAACGCGGGGCGAACAAACACACGGAAGCTACGAGAGAGAGAGATAGAGAGAGAGATATGTGTGTGTGTAGCGCGTGATAATATATACGCGTTTCACTTTGAGCGAGAAAAAACGGACACGCGAAGTGTTTGGTTTGGTTTCCGACAAAAACGGAACGTGTGTGTGAGAACGTGTGTGGGTTATACCTCGGGGATTATCTACGCCATACGCGTCGCTGCTGCTCGCACTTCGTCCACGGTCACAGACACAGTGAGCGCAATAGCTTTCGCGGATTCGTTACTCGAATCCGGGGGACTTCCTGACCTGACGACGCTCTCTTCGTTGTGTGCCGTTACGTCATCAGCTGATCGGGCAAGTGCAAGCGAGCGCTCAAACGGCACGACGGAATGCTCCTTTAGGGGGAAAAGTTATAGGACCCCGCGTTATAGACAACGGGGACAACCAATGGGAAAACGGAGTCGATCAACAGAGCTGACGTGTCATTGGTTGACAAAATCTCGTTGGAAGAGTTTGAAACGTAGAGTGCGTTCGCTTCGTCGGTCCCGTTTGTCTTCGAATTGCTCGTCGAATGTGGAACGAAGACAGAAACCGACAGACGTTCAAAGTGCACGCGACGTTCAAGTCCCAAACGAACGCACCTATAGGGTGCGGTCACAAGCAGGTTGAAAAATCGGGACGGCTCTCGATTCCGTATCCATGCGATGTAATGAAAATGACAGAAGTAAGCAGATTTATCACAATTATTGATACCACAATAATTGATCGTGGATATTTGAGCAAATTCGCTCACTTTTTTTAGTTCATTTTCACTACACAAACCGCGTGACGTCAGAAAATCGACATCCCCTGTAGGCGACAGGTCAATCGCCAATGAGAACGATTCCGATTGTCGTAGGGAAGTGCGGAAGTTGAAAGAATTTATTTACGGAGTCTGAAGTAACGGAAACTAACAGCGTCTTTGTCGTCCAAGTGGCGGAAACTGAAAACGTAAAAGCGCGACACGAGCGGTGACACAAGGATGAAAGAAGGAAAGAGACTGCGAAGTAAGTCCGGCTGTGTGTGTCACTTGAGCTAGATTTTTTAGAATACATTTACGCAACATTAACGCAAACAAAGGCAATTTTACAAACACGCATATTTTACGTAAGCAGATCTGCTATTGTATTCCCAAAGTAAGAATTAATTTCGTTATAAATTTAAATAACGTCTTCGTTTTTGCAGAAAAACTAGCATCGCGACGATGCGAAAAAAACAAAAAAACAAAAAAAACTACTGGCGGCTTCTCCTCCAGTTCTCGTTTCAAAAAAAAGTAAGTAGGTTTACACGCCAATAAATATTATTATTACGACGAAATGTTCACTTTTCCATAAAAAGATATCAGCGGAATGTCTGCCGTTTGAGTAAAAACCAAAAGTAAATCAAGGTAACACAACGCGTGAGAATAAAAAAAAAAAAAAAAAAAAAAAAAAAAACATCCTTGGCGATTTCTTCAGATATTTGCTGCGTTCCTTTTGTTTATCGTATCGTATGTATTTATTTATTGTCATTTTTGTTTACATACCTACTACATTTATATACAGGGCGGGTGATACACAATCGATTTATTTTTTTAATTTAAAAAAAAAAGTAAAACACGTGTTGCGCACGATTCAACGACACGGCCCCGGTGCGCATACATTTGCGAATGTATAACAATGATCAAACTTATACAAGTACGTTTATATTATAATACGCATTAATAAATACACACATAACGTATATATATATACAAAACATTTATATATCATGTTCTTCTTAGCGGTTTTGCGAAAGTTTCACATCTTGTACAAATTCATTTATCGTCACTTCTTGACGAGTCTCTCGACGAAATTTTCTACAAACTCTCTGAAAACTTAATGATACAGAGTAATTAAGTTATATGCATTTCAATTTTACATTAAAAAATAACTTAATTTCTTATTGATAAAAAAAAGTTTCTAGTTTAACATCTTGACACACTTTTCTACGCTTCTTCTCCGCTACATCCGATAACTACGTCGTCTTTTACAAAAAAAAACATTTAAAAAAGTTCATAAAATATTAATTATATAAAAGAGTACTTTGAAATTCCTCGATCAAGTCGCGGTTCAATTTACGGCAGTGAATTACGGCGTGAAATCTCCTTCGCGTAATAAAAAAGTTCACACAGTTTCGTGGCTAAGGTATTTAAAACTGAGGCAGTTACAGTCGGTGTAACCTCGTGTTAAAGGCGTTTACGCCGCTGCCCTGTACTACATCGTGCAGAAACACACAATACACAAGGCATGTTTCATGTCTACTGCGGACGATATTACAATCATATGTACACGTATCTACTCTTAAGTATAAAAGTTTGCTTGCAAGCAGCAAATGAAAGCCACAAAAAAAAAAACAATAATTTAATTAATTTCAATCGCAATTAATCACCTTACTTCGCTAGTGTCTTAATCAAGTTTCGCTAAAGAAAGTATAGAAGATTCTTAAATACAAAAATGTATTCCAGAGAACTGGCCATTGCGAATATCTTGGTGATGACATTCTGACTAAATATACAAGCTCGCATTCGGGACAAAGAAAGTCTCTCTCTCTCTCTCTTTCTCTCTCACACACACACACACACACACACACACACACGCACAACTGAAATATAAGATTTTTAACTTATTGATTGACATTCTATTTCGTTCTCATCGATGTGCATAGGCGATATAATACGACGATCACACGGATCACAAATGTTTGGTTTTTCATTGACTTTCTATAAGTTATAGTCAATACTGAGGATTCGGCGAGTTTCTTTGGAAATTACTCTGCGCGCTCTGAGTTTGCTGAAGAGGCCCGGCCGGACTCGGTCTTCCCTGATCGCGATACTGGGGCGGTCCGTTCGGCGGTCCCGATACCTTGCCGTAATTACCTCGGGTAGAACTCTGATAGCTGCCGTACGCGGAATCGTCGCTGCGTCGCGACACGTGACCGTACATGCTCTCGGGTCGTCTTGAACTCGCACCGTTATCGGAATTGCTGGACAACGGTCCGTTTTGATGTTGCGGCTGCTGCTGCGGCTGCTGTTGCTGTTGTTGTTGCTGCTGCTGCTGTTGCTGCTGCTGTTGCGGCGGTGGTGGCGGCGGCGGATGATTCTGCATCGAGGACTGACCGTTCTGAACGGACTGCTGAGAGTTCTGACTACCTGGTGGAGGCGCCGGTGCGCGTCCGTAGACGCTGGAACCAGTGGATACGCCGTAGATACCGTTTTCTCGGGTGCTGAGACTCGTGGAGATCCCGCGGATGCCGTAGATGCTCTGCGTGCATTGTTGAAGTTGATTCTGCATATTTTGATTGGTGCTGTTGTGATTCTGCGACGACTGATTCGGCGGACCGCCCAGGCCGCCGATCGTTTGGTTCTCGCGATTACCGTTCTGACAGCCGTTCTGACCAAGTCTGATGGGATAGAGGCTCTGCGCGGGCAGCAACGGGCCCGGTTTCGGAATTATCAGACCGTCGCGCGGACCCGACGTCGATTTCGCGTAAACGCTCTGCGAACGATTCAGATTGGCGCGTGTCAACGGCGGCGATTTGCAGTAGAGCGACTTCGTGCCGCCGTAGATCGACTCGACGCGCTCCAACGCTGACGGCGGCGCGCTGTAAATCGAGGACGACGCGCCGGCGACCGGACGATAGGTCGCGTAAGCACCGGGAAATTTGGGACCGGTGGGTTTGTCCAAATCATCGTACGTGTCCTCGTCGGATCTCATAGACGAGTTGTCACCGTCGTCCATCTCTCGCGAGTCCTTTGTTCGTTTAGGACTCAGAACGTACTCGTGAAGCAAAGCCGCAACTGCGCCTCCCGACAGAGGACCTACCCAGTAGACCCAATGATTGTCCCAGCGATTCATCACGAAGGCCGGGCCCAACGCGCGCGCTGGATTCAGGAAAGGACTCTGAAAAACGGGTCGGAAATAAATTTTACTCAGAGGATAACACACAGACACATTTTCTTCTTAAATAATCGTAGATATTTATGCTTAAAAAAAGGAGGGAGCTCCATATTTTTGGAGCAAATTCGACTTTAAATGTATTTTTATGTTGAGTTTTTTTTTATATCCGAGCGCAAAAGGACGAGTAAAGAAACTTAAAAATTCTATCCCGAGAGCAGTGTGCGCGATAAAAAAAAAAAAAATAATAATAATAACATTCAACACGTGTAAAACGATGTGATTTCTATAATTTTTCGTTTTGGAATTTACACACATATTATATATACACTGGTTTCAAAGCAGGTGTGGGTCCAGAGAGAATCAAGTTCTTTCTTCCCGTTCTCCGAAACTCTACCCTTCTCTCCTCCCGAACTACAACGGCAGGTGCTCTTTAAAGATGCGAACGTGCGTCGTCGGCCCGATTGAAAAGAAAGCGCCCGAGAGAGGCGGTTTTGGATAGAGAGAGTGAGTGGCTGTATGACGGACACGCACAGCAGGAAAAGACAGCGAAGAACACAAGCGCTTGTTCTCTTGTTTTATTACGTGCGTGTATTTGCAGAAAGTTCTCTTGAATGAATTGGCGACCGCGCTCAATATATAAGGCAGGTATAAAAACAATTATTGTTTTATTTTTCTAATACATCATTATATATATACATATTAGTTTAATACGAGAGAGAGAGAGAGAGAGATTAATTAATTCTTTCGAACCGGAAATAAAGAAAAACTTACCGAAACAAGAGTGGCTGCTGTGTAAGCTGCGGCCAAAACTGCGGAAGCTCTCGAAGAAATCGCAGGAGGTAGTGATCTAGATGAGTCCGCAGATAAGTGGGCTAGCACAATAAATACCGACAGTGCTATCTCGACCAAGAGCCTCTCGATTGAACCTCCCAGCCGACCAGAGGATGTAAGGGTTTGCGTATTTGAAGGCGTACTCACTCTGAAAAAAAAAAAAAAACAGTAAGTTTCAAGAGATATAATATATAAATGTATCAAACATATATTTAATACATAAATATACAAAATAACTATTTCTTTGAAACAAGAAAAAATAGATTACGTCTCCCAAAAACGGCCGCATATGGTCTTTTTATGACAGTGGTATATATATGCGAGTTATGAAACCGCTATATAATGTACGATGATTTTCCTATTGTAGTCTGCCACATGTAATAGAGAGAGAGAGAGAGAGAGAGAAAGAGAAGAGACATGCGCTCTTCGCCAAAAACCCCCTGTGGCAAGTAGGTCCCAACGGTGTAATGTTTATATTAGCTAGTGCATTCTCCAGCCCTTAAAAACGTAACCCCGATGTTACTCTTGTGACCTTTCCCTTGCATAAAACTCTCGTTGATTTTCTCAGTTCGTATAATCACATAGGGTCACGGAGATGTGACCTCCGCATCTCACGGTTGCGTTTCATACATTTTCTGTTTGATCAAATATTACCACAGTAAAAAAAAAAAACACACAAATACAGAGAAGATGATAATGCGGATTCTGTGCGGCCCCTCCGTCCCTAAACTGCTCGCTTGCGAATTTTTTTTGGCGGGTGCGTGCGCGATCGCGATTGATCTCGCCTACGCGAATGTTCGCCGCCCCTCGTATAATTCTTCCTCGTCATCAAGGCACGAAACCGACTCCGAGTTTCGACGCCGCGAATGCAAATGTGTGACAATGAGTATATTCACCCACTTCTTTCCTTCCCCGTTCTTTCCGCGCCGCGAGCGACGAGCTTGTCACGAGAGAGAGAAAGAGAGACAAATTGATGAAATCAGAAATGCAGATCATGAGCGTTGTACAATTGGGATCAACTGCAGTCGAGAGAGAGAGAGAGAGAGAGAGAGAGAGAGTTTTCGGACGGAAAATAAGGGACAAAAAGAATGGCAGCATTTTTGTGTATTTGCGTGCGTGCCCTCGGGTGATAAGCGGATTTTTTCTTCCACGGAAAATCCGGACAGCGGGCATTTCTCTCACGTATGAGAGTACGTATGAGAACGCATTGAGATACTAATGAATACGATGATAACGTATATATTTTTTTTTTTTTTTTTTTAGTTGCATTTGTCTAAATGCGAAATATAAATTTGCAACGAACGCGTATAATAGAACGTATTGTACACATTTAGCGAATTCTCTTCTCGTATCTTAATTCTTTTCGTGACTAACTTGCCGGATAAAGGAAAGCCGCGGCTTTTCGCAAGTAATAATTGTTGCGAGTGACGACATCTCGAATTGGCGCCGCGCGAGGACATTAATCTTCCGCGTAGCGTTAACTTAAGCAACTCGTTGCGCGTTCTACTTTTCCTTCTCAGAGCTGGTCTTCGTCGCAAACGCAAAGCATGTACGTTATATACGTATGATATATTTTGTATCCGTTAACTACGCGGGTTTTCGCGACGAAGCAGCTTGATGAAAGGCGAGCCGAATGCACGACGAGAGATTTCGCTTCGTGGGAGAACGAGGTTTCGGATCGGTGGACGGCGGGCGCGTTCTCAGGGGTTCGTTGAAAAGCGCGCGTGGTCATCGAGGCGAGACACAAGCCCGCGAACGCAGAAAGGTTTAATCTTGCGTGCACTTGACTCGAGAGCCGCGCAGCCAGTGCACTCGTCGCAACCTGTGCCCCATTTTCGCAATTCACACGCGAGGGGTGAGAGAGTGACGCCGCGTTCGGCGGTGTGTACAAACCCCTTGGGGGGAGTTACATCGGTGCGCGCGGTTTTAAATAAATTTCAATTCAAAAGGAGGGGAAGGAGATGCGGGATGTGTATCATACCACCGCGCGCGATACCACCCTCCCGATTGCGATTAACGAGCTATTGATATACCCCCCGCTCTCACGTGCCGGACGAGAACCACGTATCCCTTCTCGGCGAGGGGAGGAAAAGGACCTTAGTCGGGAACCTGATCAAAACTCCCTCTGTCTCTCTCGGAGTTCGCTCTCTCTCTGTGTGTTTCCTTGCCCCCGCCGATTCGAATTCTGGACACTACAGAGTGTCCCCTCGTGCGTGAGGGGATATCACACACATGTGACGGAGCGGCGATAAACGTCGGAGACGTTTCAAAGGGTCCCGGGGAGAGATGATGCGTTTGCTCCGATACCATTATAAAGTCTTGATTATGGGAAAGTTCAGATGCCGCGGTTAGGTGATGTGGTCAGACCACACGAAATTAGGATGTAGCGTGAACCGTGAAGTCATTACGAGGGAGACGCACGAAGTAGGAACAATGGAGGAACGTGCGTTATAATGTTCGGCCTGAGTTGCCGTAGAGAACCCCAACGCGAAGAGATGTGTACTAAGACTTGGCACAATTTCTTTGCAAAAAGCAGCATTCAAACTTATATCGAACGGAAGAATGTACAACATGAAATTTATGTAAAATTTCAGTTTTATTCAATATACACACTGGCTGTGTATTAAAAAAAGTCCAATAACTTGTATAACCGCTAGAGTATATTTTTCTCTTCGAAAAGAAATTTCTTGCATACTTTTTCGTTCTCTTATCTCGCACCTTTAAGATACTGATATTTCAGGAACGGACCGGTGATTTCGGATTTTATCCTTAGACGCGGTTTCTTGAACGAGATATGCGTGGGTGTGTGCGCGTCACGTCGCAACAAAGCACAGGAATTCTATAGAAGAGAGAGAGAGAGAGAGAGAGAGAGAGAAAAGCGTCCTACAATTCTACCCTCGGCATTGTTTAGATCTGAAAGGGACAGGAAGCGTGTACGCCGATTAAAACACGAGGAAATGCGCTCACGTGCGCAACGTGCCATTAGTTCATTTTTCTTCTTCTTTTTTTTTTTGCAAAATTGTAACGATAATTTGACACGTCGATGTTTTTACCTATACGACGCGTGATCAATCAAATTATAAACTTCTCTCAATAAAATAATACAAGAACGCGTTGTATCTTTCTTCAAATTGTTACAAAAAAATTAAAAAACAAAAACTAAATTTCTGGCATAAATTTTTGTAGGTAATTTATATCAAGGTAATTACAACAAGCTGTCGGACGTAGTGCAGTGCAAAAAAAAAAAAAACAAAACAACTTTTACTATGTATACAAACAGAAGAAAGGAGCATTTAAAAAATCTCGAACAAAGCGAGCTGAGAGAAATATATTGCGGAAATGGTACGAAAGGGTCGGAGGATAATCGTCGAGAGTCCCTTAGACGAAAGGAAACGATTATAAAGAAGAAGACCACTGCATGGTCATTTGCCGCTCTTAACGCTGACGAATATAACGCTCCTTTGAAATCATTTTCATAAATAGAAGGAGAGAGAAGAAAAAAGAAAGAGACGCGCGCAGAAAATAAAAATATTTTTGCAATTATTAGAGACAATGTGATTTTGTGTGCAATAAGATAAATTTATGAATTAATTGCGAGATGCAATTTTATATATATATATATATTTCCGTGTAATAAACGCGCATTGTGATAGTGACTATGGAATTTAACGAGAACGGGGGACCCGCATAAAGAAACGCGCGGAAATTCTATTCGATCTTTCAGATGCGCGCGAGAAGAATCACACACAGCTGCCCGTATGTATCGCGCGTATAGATGTTCTTCTTCGCGCGTACATAGATCCTGTATAAATCTGCCCCCAGCACGAGGATACACGTGCTGACCACATGTTGCACAAAAGGAATCTTCACTGTAGTTCCTTTTCGGGCGCCGTATAGCGTAAGTCGCCGTCACAAAGGAGCTTTAGGGACTTCCCATAAATGATTTCTCCTTCGTCGAAAAGAAGGGGAGGACGACACCCGTAGGTAGAGGGGTCCGATGACGCGGCAGATGTTTTACGTTCCTCGGGCCCCCCGAAGACGGACATGCTTAAGGATATACACGGATAGGATAACATGAAAAAAAAAAAAAAAAAAAAAAAAAAAAANANANACCCNCNATCAAGACCCGCGTAATATTCGGGGGATTTTTCTACCAGATGCAATGTTAATTTGCGGCACGAGCCGCGAATTAAGTCTCTCGAATTCTACGAATATTCGACGATTTGCTGTGTAAATTTTTTTTTGTGAACAGGAAAGAAACAATTGATTTGCACAAACATTCATATTATATAAAAAAATTTAATTGTTACGTAAAAGTTATTTTCATCTCTCTCTCTCTCTCTCTCTCTCTCTCTTTGCTTTATTTTTAATTTAGAAATATGATCAAATACTAAAAAAAAAAAAAAGAATATCTACTCGCGCTTGATTTTTGACACCCGATACGTCAAAATGTTTGAGATGAGATTTCGTGAAAGTTAATTTTGTTGTAGATTATTCACGAGGCGCGGATATTTTTTGAGATATTTTAGTTTTTGTCAGATCGTGTCAAGAAGCTAGTTTTCTCGACGCAAAACTTGACGCGCGCAATCCAATCCACAGCCTCCGTGAGGGGGAAGACATCGAAAGAAGGATCTTGAAAACGAACACGTGGTTGCGACCATCTGTTGGCATCTTCTAACTACACTCCGCTCTAAACCCAAACCGGCCCGGTTTTAATAGCTGGAAGTTCTTTCTTCTTTTCTATTTACGCCGATGTTGGCGGATCTTACAATGCAACTTACGGTTTTTTTTTTTTTTTCTATGCGAGATGATCACAATTGTTTGACAAACATGTCTGCAGAATCAAAACCGTCGTGTCTTCACATCGTCTGTGCCGCACACAAAGGAGAAATGTATTATTTTTTGTTATTACATAAATTATTGATATGAGAAAAAGTTTATTGTTTTAGGACGCGTGTGAGTGAGACAGACTCTTTCTTTGCAGGTCGGTCTTTCTATAAATTTGTATATAAAAAAAAATTATAGGACACAACATTATAGTACGCAAGAAATTGTAGGCATTATTTCAAAGACACTGGCAGAGAACAATACCGGTGTCGCATTGTTTGTTACAATGCAACAAAACTTCGTCATCAAAATAAACGTTAAACGTGAACGAAGAAGCGTTCGACCAACGGGTCCAAAGAAACGAAATCCACAACATCCGTAAGCGCTTTTGTGTCCCTTTTTCTTGGTATAAGAGAGCCCAGGTAGACATTCCTGTCTACTCCGGTCTACCTGACCCATCTGGCTTTCACATATTTTCGGCCCGAAACGTCGAAGTTTCTCCTACGTTTTTCATCACGGAGAGAACAGAGAGAGAGAGAGAGTTTTCCAATGTGAAATTATAAGAACTTTTATCTTTTTAACATTAATATCAATAGTTTGAAAAAATATGTTGTCGCGATGTATACGTCTTAAATGTTTTGCTATTTACTTTAACAAGAGAAGAATAAAAAGAAAACTATTTATTTTTTACAATCTTTTTTAGTTTTCAATTGCAAGAAGAACCTCGCGGAGCGTTACGATAAAACAAGTAACATCTAAGAAGTGTAAAAACCTGAGGAAAAAAATCTCTTTGAGAATTGCATTGACGATATGAAACTTGAGAAGAGGTGCGCGCGCGGATTATGAATTCAATATCCGAGTCTCCTCTCGAGGAGACGCAAATATCGCATGTCGCGCTCAAAATCGTGACGTATGATTGCAAGGATATCCTCAAGAGCTGAGAGACGGACCTGCTCCTTCTCCATCGTTTCTTTTACGCAAACACTTATCGATCTTTGACAAGACATCTTGATGAAACGCGAAAATAACATGATGGGTTTTTTTTTTGGGAAGAAACGAGAGAATTTTGTGTACAAAATTTTAATAAAATCTCGACCTTTGTGCCACGGCACAATCTGCGGAACAATCCGCACACCTGTCGAGCATGGGAGCGCAGAAAGGAAGGAACAGAAAATTGCGCTCCGCGCCCTTCGAGATAATTCTTAATTATAATCTCGGACGGAATCATCGACGGTGATCAAGACGCGCGCAAACAAATAAGAAATACACGCCGCCACCCCGTGAACGATGCGCGCAGCAGACGCTCGCAAGCCGTGCGGCAAAGCTGTTTTCGTTCTTCTCGGACATCCGGTTCGACACGCGCACTACGTGTGTCTCGCCTGACGTCATGACACACCTGTCATCTCACAGCTGTTTCCTCCGATTCGTGGCTGGAAACTCCCTTGACAAATGGCGCGCGGTGGTTAATTTCAACCACTCTCCGCGACCACTCTCTGCGTGCGTGTTTTCTGACTTTTCCCGACGGAGGAAAAGAAATCGAGCAAAATTTTCGTAGTCGCACATTTTTTTCGGTCAACGAAAAAATTTTGATTCTTTGACGTCGTCGAGAAATTTATCCGACCATCATCGCGCCCCCGTCTTTCTCGTTATCCGTGAATTAATGACGATTTTTTGTTTTTTTTTTTTTGCGAACAGTCCGAGACGACTTTTATCTTTCTGTTACACTCGAGCGGGTTTTATCGGGGCGAGCGAGAATCGTGTTTCTCATACGCGAAATTCTTCGCCTTCGAGTCGACCTTCCCGTATTTTTCGGATCAGAAATTATTCGAGCGGATTCGCTTTGCATACATCACCATCGGAGGCGTAAGCCGAACTTTATTGGCGGTGCCGGAAGTTTCGGGGACGTCAGAAACTAGGTCTCTATCTACGATAGAGATTGGAAACTTATCGATTGGGAATAATATCGGGGGAAAACCTCTCGTCTGAATGAAAAGACGTCGTTGTACGTATCGGGGCGTACGTTTACCTGGACGCACACGTGTCTAGACGTTTCAATAGGACTTAATCTCCGACGCGTCCAATTTCGCGCGAGCGAGGGAATAAAAAGCAACCCCCTCGTTACGGCGCGTGCAGCCGATACAGGTTGCCGCACTTGTTCTGTAACAGTTTTTTTTTTTTTAACAAACAAAATATTCCGAACAATTATTTTGCGAAAAAAACAATGAGAAAACAATTCTTAAATAAACCAACCGCCCTTCTTAAAAAAATTCTTTTCGCGAGGACAAAAAAAATCACTCCCCTGCGTGCACGAGAGATAATGGAAGAATCCTGTAAGAGTTTTGCGCGTGATGAAGAGGTGACAATAAATTCTTTACGGATAGTTAAATGCGCGGCTATCGTTTTTCTCCGCGCGCTATTTTTTTTCCTCTTCTCCTGCCACCCCTCCCGCCCTTAGGTTTTTTCGACCCAGATTGCCTCACTTTGGGGTTTTATCGGATGGTTTTTATATTTATTACCCGCGCGCGCGCGCGCGAGAACTCATTCGGGAACGATCCCGGATAAGTCTACGGGATGATAGGGGCATCGAAATCCACCCCTTGGCTTTCCCATGATTTTTCTTTCTCTCTCTTCCCTTCTCCGGATCACTTTTTCAGGTCCCCGCCTACCCTCGGCGAACGCCGACGCGTGTTTTACACCCGCCGCTGTTAGAATCGACAGAGTCGCAACAGATGCAAGTGCACTACTCTTCGTACTCTTGCTCTCTTTCCTTTTCTCTCTCTCTCTCTCTTGTCCCAAGTTTTTTTTTTCTACGCCGGGTTCAGCGGTATTCCCCCGAGACGTTTCTCGGGAAAGAACCCTGTTGGCCCCGTCCGGTTAACTAGAGTATTGTTCGATTATTATTTCGGTACATATCGCGCACTTGTTACTTCTTTGTGCGGTCATATGGTGGTCCGGAGGGTGACTGGGGGAGTGTCGCACGAGAGATAGAAGACGTGACGAGACAGATAAATGCGCGGTAGCATCGTTTCGCGCGTAACCGGGACGAGAAAAAAAAAGCTCAATGTTAAAATAAAAAAAAAAAAAAAAACAACCTTGATATAAACGTATTTAAAAAAATCTTGAATTGATGTAAAAAAAAAACGTGAGTTCTTTGTAATAAAAAAAAAAAAAGCTTCGAATAGATGTGTGTTCCGTTTGAGGTCTCGGTGTGCCGAGCGAAAAGACGCGCCGTCGCGAGACGCACGCGACACGAAAACAGAACCAAATTTGGGCGAGAGAAGCGCATGCGGTAGGTGGCGAAGAAAGGAATCGGAAGAAGAACGGACAATGATCTCCGTGTTCCCGGCGGGAACATCTGCTCGACCGTACCGGCGACGACGCGGCATCGCGCTCCTCCGATGGATCGCTCGCGGCGTGTCCTCCTTCACGATCCGTCCCGATGCCGTGAAACTTGTCCCACCTCGGTGTGTGCATGCGTAGGTATTTATTATCCTTGTTCTCTCTCTCTCTCTCTATCTCTCTCCCTGCGTTCGGGCTGTTGCGTTCCTTTTTCCGCGCGATCTTTTTTGGTCCACGGAGAAACATCTGCGGCAGCTGCGAGGCGATGGACCGCCGCCAAGACCTCCGGCTCGTACGAGGCAGGTGCTCACCTTCCGAGTTTCTCCCTCGCCTGCCAATTACGCGTGCCTCTTTCTGCCTCTCCTACTCTTCTTGCCCTCCACTTCTGATACCGCTCTCCCGTTCGCTGCCGTCTTCAGTTTTTCTCTCGCCTCTTCTCGTCGTCGTTCTCTCTTCTCTCGCGCGCTCTCGTTTCTCTCTCTCTCTCTCTCTCTCTCTTTTTTATATGCCACTCCCGGCTTCAATCTTCTTGGTCCTGTTGCCCTCGTGCCAACTTCTTACATTCCTCCGAGCGCTTTGCAGCACACGCTCCACCTTTCCTTCTCAATTATCGAGCGGAAATTATTGAACGAACAAACACATTCCACGTTTTTTTTACAGTAAGATTATATCGTTACCGAGTGTGTATCATGAGAGAGAGCGAGATAACATTTATTTATTTATAATATCTGCGTCTTCTTAAGACAGCCCGATTTGTTTCATCGAGCGTCTCTTGCGCCACCTTGTTGATGACGCAATTGTTTTTTTGACACATTCTCTCTTCTTTGTCTCCTTCTTTCTTCCCTCATTCTTTTTAAATCTCGTTGCATTAATACATCTTCTCGCTTTGCTTCACACTCATCGCTCTCTCTTATACCTCCGGCTTTCTCAGTTGCCGCTCCGAAAGGAACGGCTCGCTCCTCCCGAATGATGATGCGCGCGCTGCTTCTTCTGGAACCGGCGGGCGGTTCTTCTTCTCCCTTTTACTTTATTTTTCTCGCCTTTCGAAATGGAAGCTGTTTGCCCACGGGCGAGATCGAGGCACGTGTGCACATCAAGCGCGTTTGCATCAGGGTCGAATTTGAAATTCGCTCGAAGACGTATATGTATCATAACGCGTTTCTCAAACGGGTATATCCACATTTTAGCGCGAAATTGCGGCAGGTTGCATTCGTTCGATCTTTTCCAGAGTTTTGGTTTTTTTTTCTTTTTTTTAACGCAAAGCTGTTTATCTTTATGTTTCGCATGTAAATGAAATTTTTAAAGTTCTTTCCGATCAGATTAATTAAAATACGTATATATAAGATTGACGTTAGATTATAGACAAAGTTGCTTAAGAAGCACACGTTGGTTCGTGGAATCATCAAAGATAAAATATATTGTGTTTATCCTCCCGTCTAGAAACTCGCTTGAATCCACCAACCACTCCTGCTCCGAACACTTGGAAGAAAACCCGGCCCGGCTTTGGACGGGGCCACATGCCTTCCTGGTTCTCCTCTATCTAGCAGCTGTCCTCACACTACCGCAGTGTGTCTCATTCTTCATCGATCGATTTGAGAATCTGACAAGACCGGACTTGATTTTCTTACCACATTTATTTCTCAATAATTTCGCAACCTATCCATCTCGCGATTAGATCATTTTTTTTTTATGACAAGAGATTCGTTGATTCTCAAAAAAGACGTATCATCGTGCACGAGACTTACCCGTAAAGCATCGCCGCGCCAGCTATGCCACCACCGCATTGTGCCGCTATATAGAGCACCGCTCGAAGTGGAGAAATCCGTCTGCACAAAGCGAACGATACCGAGACCGCTGGATTCACGTGTCCACCTGCGTGCCAAAAGGTTTTCCACATAAAGAATCAAAGGCTTCTAACAGAAGAAGAAGATTTGCGCGATTCCGTACTTTGCAATTTGCTACCGTTCGATCCTGGTAATACCACGTTTGATCGGTCTTTTTTTTTTTTTTTTTCCTTCAAAAACCGCGTCTTTTCGGTTTGTCTAAAATTTGTCACAAATACCGTTAACAAAATCAACGAGAGAAATATCTAAATATGTAACTTACAAAAAACTAACAAATAATGTTCCGTATATAGAATTTTTTTTTTACAAATACCGGCTTTTATACAAGTTGTACACAATAACGTCAGAGAAAACGAATAGTTAAATAAAGTACATCTTATTCGTACAATAAAATTGAATGAGATGAAAGAGATAAACGTGATCGCGTATCGTGCACGTAGTGGGTACGACGACCGAGTGTATTTTATACACACACATATATATTGCGTGCGTAATAGAACGTACTTCGAAAGGTGTCCAACATACGTTCCAATAAACACGCACAACGCGGTAATACATCCGGACATCGGTCTCGTAATCGGTTTAAACGAGACCAATCGAGAGAAATCGCGAGGGCTGTGTCCTCGCTTGTCAAACGATACACGCACACACGTAATACGCGCGAAAGAAGGAACAGAATCATTGACGCAACGAGATAAGTTGCTTCAAGTAGTTCGCGACCCTTCGCGTCGTCATCCTCGAAATGTTTTTTTTTTTCAGCGGAAAGACAAGCGCGCGATTCTCGCGGAGTTGTGCGCGCATTTATTTGTTACGTGTGTTTAAAAATAAATGCGATGGAAATGGAAGATAAGAGAGTTTTATAAAATAAATAAAAAAACAAAGTAGGTGAATAGAAATTCGCAAAACTTCTCCAAAAAAAAAAAAAAATGCAATTACCGCTTATGTGACTGAAAATCAGAGATATTGCGGCGATGGTGAAGCCGGAAGCGACGGCGGTGGCTAATACCGAGAGTCCGCTTCCGGACACAGCGGAGGCAGCTGCGGCGCCGGCTACCACCAGGGCGAAGAGGAAGGTGGCCAGACACTCGACGGCGACCGCTCTCCACAGTTCCAAACTTCGAGCCTCGATCGACATGGGTGCTTTTCTGTCCATTACTTCGATGTTGTTCTCACGAAGAGTCGATAGTCTCGAGAGAATGGTGACGATGTGCGCGTCCACTTCGCGCGTCAACGATTCGGTCGTCATGTTTCAAAAATTCTTTATTTATCACACACTGATGCGAGACAATTGAAAAATGACGAGATGACTGTCTCAGAGAGAGAGAGATAGAGATTGTTTCAGAACATGTTCTCGCGTCGCGTTATTTTCGAAAAATTCGATTGTCGCACTTTTTCTTTGTCAACTTTGTCAACAGAGTCGAAAGAATTGCAACCACCGATTGCAAACGCGTGCGCGCGCGCGCTCGCGCGATCAGAGAGAAACCTCCGACGATATTTGAAGTTTTTTCAATCAAAATTTTTGTTCAAAGACCGGTCTTAAGTATTTCGCGATGAAAAGATTTTCTTTCTCTCTTTTCTCCGAAGAGAAGAAAAATTTATTTAACAAAAAAAACGCGAGAGCGCGGCTTCGGTAGGAATGCAGCCGATGTTGCCTCACCGGCAACGCACTCGCGAATGACAGCCAACTCGGTAACGAACAAGTGGGCCCGCGCGAGTCGTACGAGTGCGTTCACCACCGCACCACCCCCACTCTCTCGATCATTACACCCGGTGCATTTAAGCCGTACGCTATCCCGCAACCGTCTCGTTGCCACATTACATAGAATGGAAAGTTTTAATTAATTCCTTTGATCTCGTGTAATTAAACACGTAACATTTTTCTCGCTTTGCTTACGACGATAAATTTAATTTAAACAAATTCTTTGTAAAAATAAAAATATTGTGTTCGGAAATACATTTGCAGAATCTCTGAGAGAGAAAGAGAGAGAGAAAGAAAGTATATATTGTACCCCGTAAATACATTGTCAAATAAAAAGAAAACGGATGTATTCTATTAACCGGCTGTTGAGAATCGCATTGCGCGTATTACCTTCATTTGAGATACTTAAAGCTCAAATAAGCGCACGTCATTATCATTAGCCACACGTGCGTCTATTTACACGTGTGTGTGTGTGTGTGTGTGCGCACGTTGTTACAAACATGTTATTACAATTTACACATCTCTCTCCTCCGTTTCTTTCCCTTTTCCCCGTTTTGCTGTCTCTCTAGTAAAAGCACAAACACAAACAAACTATAAGATATAAATAAATTACCGCGCGGATTCGCTTTAGGCAGCGCGCGGTAGAGGCTCTCGTTTCCCACGAGTTCAAAGAACACCACGATGTTCATGTTCCCACAAAAAAGGGATGTACGCACGACGGGTCAGGAACAACGAGCGTGTATGCAATGGAGTTCACTTCAAATCCACCAACTTGGCCGGCGAATGTGGATCGGACCTTGCGATGACCACGACCTTGAAGATCAATATAAATTTATTCATCAGTCCTAATTGTTCTCCAATATGATCAAGTGCGCGATGTGATTCGTCAATTAACGCGAGCACGTTGAAGAAACAGCGACTTGTGTGCGAAAATCACGATTGAATTCGATTGTAAATATATATAAAAGACAGAGTCTAGACAGAGCAGGAAGGTAATAAAAATATAACAGGCGTTCGCAAAAAATGAGATATGTAATAGGATAAGATATATGTAAAAAAAGAAAATTGTAAGAAAGTTGTAAGAAATGTAACCAAGTCCCCTTCGAAGCCGTGAGGTATGAAGGTATAATAAACTAACTAACTAACTATATATAAAAGACAAAAAATATATATAAAAATAAACGACTTGATCTTAAGAGAAGGGATGGGAGACGCGCGCGTGATGTGTATAACTCACCGTAATTAAAACCATTTAGCTCTAGTTCTCTCCTCGCTAGAATTGTACTGGCGTGTAAGTTGTGAGCCCGTGTGATAAATTCACCAATTACTGTAAATTAAAGAACTTATATTGAGGGATGTGGGATGGGGGGGGGGGAAGAAGTGTGAGACGAGGAAAAGAACATTCGTTTCCTCGTTCACTGCCGACGGGGGAGCTTAGAGCTCTCCTCTTGGTAACACGCGCGTTTTCAAGTACGATATTACTTGATATCTTTTACAGGACTCTCGCTTCTCTCCTCGCTCTGCTCTTAACGAATCTCGCAATTTTCATCCACGCGGATAAAATTGCAAGCTTTTATCACGAGTTGTTCCCGCCGTCTCATCTTCGAAGCTTCCCGCCGTATCTTACGAAAATTGTAAGTTTCACACGAGAGAGCAGAGAAGACGAACTAAAGATGGAATGTGATGAGAAATTGCAAAATTCTTCTCTTAAGAAGAATACACATGTCTTGATCAAGTTTGTTTCAAAATCATTTCTCACATGTTGGCTCACGAGACCACATGCGAGTCTTACCACTCGCGAACGGTTAATACTTTAATTTAGCTGATAAAATCATGAGTCACTTGCGGGTCGGGACAGTTCGTGTGATTCATATCCGAGGAACTCGCTGAGACACGCAGCTTTTATCCTATATTTTGAAGTAAAACAAAGTGTGGAGTAAAATAACAAAAACAAATTAAACATAAAAAGTTTCGCGCTCTTAGATCATGTTTGTTCAGCGTTTGCGATGAAATAAACCTGTGCGTTTCCGCTTTTTCGGAATGCGTGCGTAATTGCGTCGTCATTTGTTGTCTGTGTCACAGCGATATCTAATCTAAAACAGGTAAAAACCTGTGATTGATAAACCGGCGTGATGATCCGGCCCGGTCTCGTTGCGGAACACATCCGTTCACGCGACCACATTCCTCTGCAAGGGCATAATAATATTATAATGAAGGAGAGAAAGAGAGAGAGAGAGGACGCTAGGTCATATGTAATTTTCATTCTACGTATATACAGACAACTCGATCGCAGAACACGATAAAGTTTATCCACTCTGAACAATTCGCTCTCACCCCACCTCCGTGTCTTCCGTTTACATCCGGTTGATCCCGTGCCAACCAACCGCGCGTTTTGCAACAGCTACTAGTTGGGCGTGCGTAGGTGGCTCATTCATTGCCGATCCGTTGCGGCGACGTGTGTGATCCACGCGACAACGGCACATCGTTGCGATTGTCAGCAAGTGTCCGGCCACTGCTCTCTGCGACGTTACGTCCATCATCGCGATTGAGATACGAAGTTGGCGATTCTAAAAAAAAGAAGGTACCCTAGACATACGTGCATATAAAAATTATTGGATCGCGAAAGCACGTGCGATCTTACGTCAATTCTCGCGCGACGAGATGAGATACGAATTCGTGTGAATGAGAATTATAACACACGTTTCTTCGCGCTAGATCCGTTGCCCGCCGCCACGCGAGCGGATGAGAATCTCTACCTTTGGACCTTTCATTCGCGCGGCGTGTCGATCGTGATCGTTTTGCATTATCGACGGAAAGAAGGGGAGAGAGAGAAGTGTCAGCGTAAGGTAAAGCGCGCACAAGGTAAAGAGATTGAAGACGCGCGCGCCCGCGACAGACGCGCTGTGTGACCGGTGGGGAAACCCCACCTGGACAAACCCAAATACGAGGTGCACGCCGAGGTGACGCGCGCGGGGGGTCTCGGGAGAGCTTTCGGAGGGTGGTTGGACTTTTGGTTTGAATTGTGTATATACTATATGTGACAACAGCGTCCGAAGCGTTGCGCGCGTGAGGAGGAGACACGAGAGATTTGCGTGCACGCACGTCACATCCTGACAATTTTTATTTTACATTTATTGCGCATCTCTCGAACTCATGTGAGAGCGTTGATATCTCGAGTGGATTTCGTAATCGATCGCCGTGCTTCATTGATCGCAGAAATTTACCACCCGAGGAAAGGTAACTTTCGCTTTTTGTGTCTCTTTCTCGTGACGTAAAGTGTGTCAGCGTCGTGACGTTGCTTACATACATACTATACTATACATAGTACGCACAGCTCTCAGCCACACCTGTCCGAGAGAGAGAGAGAGGGAGCGTGAACATGGCTTCGCGCGGACAACACGCGGGACGCGATGCAGTTTGTTGTTGCTTGTGCCTGTTGCTGACGGGCGTCACCGCACTCGCTCAGAATTACATGGAACCAGGCAGACGAGACTACAATCGCGGCAATGTGTACGTGCCCCAAGAAGTGGACCTACGTGAAACGACTTACGAGTTCAAGGGCAGAAGGTACCACAAGGATTATCTGGACCCTTCTTACAGAGGACCCACGAGAACACCCGAGGATCGACGTATTTACGATGTAAGTGTCAATGTTGTGTTATGCGTACACACACGTACTTGTTCCAAGTTTAATGTAATCGAAGGATGAACATATCGGATCATTAAGAGCAAGAACTTAAAAGAATTCAACAGAAGTTTAAACATTTGTTTTTTGTGTGTTTAAAGGATACAACACAAAGAATCCCGTTGCCGGGAATATTAGCTTATTGGCGGAAAGATCTTCAGGGAAGAGAGAGAGCGGATTCGAAAAATTTTCGAGACAGAGATGTGTATGTGAGCACAAATTACGGTCAAATTCAAGGATTTAAAGTTCAGTTGTACGACGATCCCAATGTGAGACATAAGCCGTATAACAGGGTGGTGGAAAGAGTCACAAAAGATGTTACCGTATTTTTGGGTATTCCTTACGCTATGCCGCCTACTCAAGAAGGTCGTTTCAAACCTCCTAGACCTCACAGGTTGATATAAAATTTATCTAAAAATTATCTTTTAATATTCAATGCAAACTAGAACTTGAATTGTTGTTTAGAGGGTGGCAGCTCATGCAAGCTGTTGATTGGGGTCCAGCTTGTCCACAGCCTAGCGAATATACTGGTTTTACAAAGGGTGTGAGAGATGTACACGAAGACTGTTTGTATCTGAATATATTTACACCGACTGTACGTGTTACTTTTTAAAGCAATAAATCGAGTTTATATTACTCGATAAAATAAAATTATAATTAGATGTATTTTTTCATGTTTAGGTTCGTTCCGGACTGGCGAATAAGTACTCGGTAATGTTTTACATACACGGCGGCGAGTTTACCCATGGAGCTAGCAATTTGTTCCCGGCACACATGCTAGCTGCGTTTTACGATGTTGTAGTAGTGTCAATTAATTATCGTCTCGGAGCTCTTGGTGAGTATGTGATCAAACTATGAGTTATATGAGTGAAAAAAGAAAAAAAATGAAACATAAAGTATATCTAAATGCTACTATCTTCTCTGTGGGAAATAAAATTTTCTTATTACGTGTTTCTCAAGGATTTTTAAGTACTGGAGATGAGAATAGTCCTGGGAATTATGGAATCCTTGATCAGGCTATGGCTTTGCGATGGGTTTATGACAACATAGCCGTGTTTAACGGAAATCCTAATTCTATAACATTGTTCGGACCGGGTGCTGGCGCAGCAAGCGCAGGCTTATTAATGGTCGCGCCTAGGTAATTAAAATTAATAATACACACGCACAGAGTTAATGATACACAGACACAAAAAAGAAACAATAACGATTGGAATAAATTTAATTTTGTTGTAGAACTCGGCACATGGTATCAAAAGTAATTGCCCAATCGGGCTCAGCTTTGGCTGATTGGGCTGTGATAATGGACAAATATCGAGCGCAAAATACATCTCGAGTATTTGCGGAAACGCTCGGTTGCAGTATAGAGAGCAGTTGGAAATTGGTACAGTGTCTAAAAGACGGACGTAGTTTCTACGAATTAGGTAATTCCGAAGTGAAACCACACGTGGGGATGTTTCCTTGGGCACCTGTGCTAGATATCAATTTCACAATGCCTCAGGATGATTGGTACGAAGATTGGAGAGCGTCTGATTGGCGCTTTTTTTCGGAAACGCCAGAAGAGAGTATCAAAGCTCGCAAATATAAGGAAGATCTAGCTTACATGGCTGGTGTGACAACTCAGGAAGCAGCGTATATCATAAGTATGTCATTTAATGAGTTTTAATCGCGTGTATCTTGTTTTTTTCCATCAAGAATAAGATGTTACTTGTATTATTCACTCTTGCAGAGAATAACGCCACGTTAGCAAAGAATTGGTATATAATAGATTCGGAATTATTCGATCAAAAACTTTGGGAATTAGTTCTTCAATACAATTACACCTTAAACAAACAAGGTGTTTACGAGGCAATAAAGTACATGTACACGTATTGGCCGGATCCGACAAACGTTACTCATATACGTGATCAGTACATAAATGTAAGTAACGAAGATATAACAAGTTTAAAATGTTTGTGTTACATGCTGCTATATTTAAAGTCAGTTCTCTTCTCACATGACCATGATCATACAATTGTTATTCATATCTGCAGCTTTTATCAGATTTCCATTACGTTGCGCCGAATGATAAAATAGTAAAACTGTTGGTAGAGAAACATGTACCTACCTATCTGTACGTGTTAAATACCTCTGTTGAAGCGTTTCACTCGCCACAGTGGGCCAGAGTTTCTCATAACACGGAACTTCTGTGGCTAACAGGAGCTCCGTTTATGGATGTCGGTATGTCTTTTTCTTATATTTATATATATATATGATATATTTGTAATTTGTAAAAGTTATGTATTTTGATGCGATGTTATCAATGCAGAATTCTTTCCGGAAAAATGGAAGTTGCATCAAGACATGTGGACTGACAACGATCGTAACATGAGTCACTTCTTTATGTCGGCGTATTCCAATTTTGCAAAATACGGGTAAGTATATGGACATTGCGCTGATGTGTTTACGGCAAAATTTATGTTAAAACAGATTTCTAGATATTTATTTTATTTTTGTTCTAGAAATCCAACGCCTTCGCAAATTTTGGGTTTACACTTTGATCTCGCTCGTTACGGACAATTGCGTTACCTCAATATCAACACAACGTACAACAGCTCGATTCAAGTGAATTATCGTCAAACTGAGAGCGCGTTTTGGTCGATGTACTTGCCGACAGTTATCGGTCACCTCGTTCCTACGTATCCTCCTGTTACCGAAGTAAGATAGTGAAGTAGTAGTTTTTACATCTTTTTTAAACTACACATCAGTTTGTCAATTCTTTTAATCTTTACGATACGATTTTGTTTTCAGTATTGGTGGGAACCTAAGCAACCGCTGCAGATTGCGTTCTGGTCAATGTCGTCGGCGTGTTTGTTGTTGCTCGTGATGTCTGTAGTGTGTTGCATGCTTTGGCGTAATGCCAAAAGGTAAGAAAAGGTAAACAGAACCAAATCCATGTGACTACAGCTTTTCGGTTGCACTGGAATGGTAGCGCATGCGGAGTCTGGTTCTGGTTTGTAAATACCAATGGATACGATAATCTTCCTTATCTCTCTTATAACTTATTCATACTTAAATTGTGCTAATTAACTCTTTCGTTTGCAATTACGTAGCAAAACGAAAGCAGCTAGGATTCGCGCAGGTATTTATATATAGAAAATACACAACACACAGACACATATACATACATTTTTGCACAAAATGCCTGCCACACGCAGGTTACGCCTGTGTATGCTTTTTTAAGTTGCACATTGTTTTTTGTTTTTTGCATGTATATATAAAATTTATACGAAAGTGAAAATAGGGATTCTATTTATTTAATTAATGATCTGAAAAAGATCCAAGAGATCGGTGGATCGTTAAAAAACGTTAGAATTTTGCTCGTGAATAAAAAAAAAGCAATTTAAACACACTAACACCTAGTATATTGGTTCGCATCGGCCTTCTACTTATTTGTTAAAAATAAGAATGATGTATATTAATTAATATTAAATTTTAATTAATATTCTATTAATATAATTCTTTATAATATAATTCTTTTATATAGAGATCGTAGAGATGTAGTAAAATCTCGTATTATTTCTTGTTTTCTACAGACAATCTGATCTCTACTATAGCGGAGACATCCTGATGGTACGAGACGACGAGCCTTCCGAGGGAATCGAGAATTTAACACGCTCATCTAAGGAAAATATATACGAATATCGCGACGTGCCGTCATTAAAATCCAGAATGCCCCGTCAAAATGAGACGAGATTACAGGAGCGTTTAGCTCACAATAGAAAATTCAGTTCCACATCTTCGTTAAGGAGCAATTCTAACGTCTCCTTAAAAGATATGAAGTCGGAAAGTTTTGTCACAAGCTCGCCTAACGGTCAGCCTACACTGACGAAAGCAATGAGTCAACCTTCACTGCCGAAATCTAAAAGCAAGACGCTTCTAGTGCAGGGTGTACCACAAACAGCTGTTTAATATTTCAGTTACCAGTACGTAGCATTGAAAAAAAAAAAAAAAAAAAACATCACTTTATTTATTTTTTTACATTTTAGATTTAAAGTTATTTTGTTTTTAAAAATGTGATCATATATATCATTTTCCTTTATTCTATGACAAAATGCCATATATATAAATTATTAATTCAAAATTAAAAAAAAAAGATTATTTAATTATATAAAAAATCTATTTAGGGGAAAATTTTATACACAAAATAGATAAAAGTAAAGACTACAATACACAGATAGACTACAACTACACAAAAATAAATATATAGAAATAAATATATAGAAATAAATATATAAAGTATATATAAAAATTGAATTTTAAACAGTTTTTAATGATTTATTTTATGAGAAGAGAAAATAATTTAAAAATAATTAATCTAATAATTAAAAATATTTAGTTTAGTACGTAAAGTAACAAAAGATAAAGCTATTTTATATTCCGTCCGTATAAGAAAATAATTGTTACATATAGACTTTATATATTTTTTATGAATTGTGTAAATAGTTTAATATTAACAAAGCTAATATACACATGTAAAAAAATTCAAATATATATTATATATGTAATATATATTATAAATGTTATATAAGACAGCTAAAAATATGGATTAAGAAGGCAAAGCAAGGAGAAATAAGAAAGAAAACAATTTATGTGACTTTATTCACTTACGTACTTCGTTAACGTAATATTTGTTATGTTGTCCGTGATATTTACGGACAATTTATACGTGTCTCTTGTTTATGAAGTTATGAACTTGTTGTAAATTAAAAGTGCCTTGTTACACAGAGAAACAATCTTTGCCTTATTGTAATAGTTCAAATTATATTATAAAATATAACAAAATGCACAAATTTATTGCAGCTACATGTTGTAGTAGCCGCGTTTTTAATATTTTATATCGACGTAAATGTAGAGCATTCTCGATCTCATTGCCACTACAGTTAGAAACGTAAGTCTGATACATATTGTATTTGAGATTAAGATACGCGAGCACACACATTTTTTTACATTTTTTTATATTTATATTTACGAATTTTTATGCAAATATATGTACGAGCAGTACTATATCTTTACGAGATTTGTTCGATCGACCTTTTTGTACATTCTTAAAGGCAAACACAAATGAGTTTTTTCTTTCAAAAGAATTTTATTCGCGTGTTTTATAACACATTCAAAGTTGTAAACAACAATATTTATATTTCGACACATACATATTTATATATATATATATATATATGTATAAACTAATAAAATGGAATTTATTGTGAAAATTATTCTACAATATATAAAGCCTCTTGTACTCTCCTCTGAGCTCCTCTTGTAGCCTCTTGTCAATAATGATATTTCTTGTGCACATGACAATAAAATTCGATGTTTGGCTCATTGTATGTCAATAATTTGCAAATTAGATTCGGCTGCGTTATTCCACATTGCAACTATTGCTAATATACATATTACGCATGCTACCACGAGTACAAAGTTTACAATGATTAATAAAATATTCCAATTAAAAAAGAAGCCTTTGAAAAGTTTCCAAGCTCTCGTTCCCACGTTTTCTCGCAACTGCTCCGACTTCTCGTACTTGTCTTTCCTCTTTCGTCTTGGCTTGAATTTCTTCTGAAATTTCTCAATCTCCTTTCGATTACGCAGCTCTTCCACTTCACGCTTCTTCGCCATCCTAGCTTCCTCAGCTTCTTTTCTCTCATTCATCAGTGACTCGCATATATTGTCACATTCCACAGTGATCTGTTCTTTCTGTAGCAATGAGCAAAAAAAGTCTTTTTTTATCCGTTTACATTTGCACCATAATCTGATTTTCTTGCTACATTCTTCTCCGCCTTTACATGGTCCCGAGTGACAATCGTTGACGCAGCGATGGCCGCAAGAGTACTAAAATAAAGAAAGAGAGAAACATTTTATTTTTCGTGCTAAAACAAAGAACGGAAACAAAATTTTAGTTTATCGAGCATATGTAATGTTCATGTGTAATTACATTTTTAGGACATTGATTTCCACATTTGAGTAACTCGTCTCGTTTCTCGTTTGTCGCGGACGTCAGGTCCACGCAATGCCGGTAAAGAGTGCTGATACCGCAATGGCACGAGACTCGCACCAACTGGTTGCACGGTTCGCACGATCCCGGATGGCAAGGTTGTAGACACGGATGTGTGCAACCCTGCGGACGCGCGAACTGACACGACTTTTCGCATTCCATGCACGGAATACCATTGTCGTCAGATTTACTCTCGCTGTTCCGTATCTTGTGGCAGATCAATTCACAGGTGTGATTCTTGCACGACAGTAATTGGTCGCAGCTTCTGCCGCAAGAACTCGGTTTCGACATGTAACACGGCCAAAGACGCGTCTCGTGACCTCCGAGACAAGTCACGGGCACGGAAACCTCGCACGGTGGACACGGTAAGGTTTTCAGTTGCTTTATACCGTCCCTTGATGTTATCCTTTCGTGTTTGTTATCCCAAGGATAACCGACCGACGGTTGTGTTTTGACCTTCACGTAGACCTTGGTGTGACAAGTGGCCTGGCACGAGTGGCCGCATCTCTTGTACGTGATGCCGCAAATCTTCTTGCAAGGTGGGCACGGACCTTGATGACACTTGTGCGTTTCCTGCTTGCTGTGGTGGCAGATGGGTGGAATTTTACAGGGTTTGTTACACGGTAGCGATTTTCTCCTCTTGGATCCGCACGGCACCGTTATTTTGTTACTGCCGCATCGACACTGTATGACATCCGTTCTGTTGCACGGATAACACGGGCCACTGTGACAGGGAGCGCCGCATTTGTGCTTACGACATTTGAGCGTATTTTCGCACGTTCTCTCGCAGGGATTGAGCGTATTCTTCAATACGCAGTCGCAACATTTCCTGTTGCACAAGTGCTTGCCGCACTGGCGCATCTGCGTGCACTTTTTGTTGCAGTGATATTCCTTCACACAGGCCAGTTCCTTCGTATAACTGCCGCATCTGCAGGACTTGGTCACCACTTCTAAACACGGACCGCAACGATCGGTGTGACACCTCATGCTGCAGTAGTGCGATCCGCAGTCCAACAGCTTGCCGCAGGTATCGCCGCACGTCGGCACCTGCTGCTGCTCGCACGAAACCTCGTATCGTTTCTTTCCGCATGGACAAGTTCGATTTTTCTCCAAAGGACAATTGCCACAATCGTCGGGTGAATGACAAGTGCTCTCGCAAACGTGCACATTGCAGGAGAATTTTCTGTTACAAGGTTTCTCGCAAATCCACGTGCTCTCGGAACATCTACCTTCTTTCTCGTTGCTCTTGCAACGGCATTTCAATAATAATACTTCTTCACAGGGAGGACATTTTCCGGAGTGACACAAACTACTACAAGAGTGCGAACAATGCTCATATTTTTTCTTGCATATAGTTTTGCAGCTCCAATTTTTGGCGTTGCATCGACGTAGCTGCGCCGGCTGCTTGCCGCAGTAGCATTTAATACTAACCGTTTTTGCGCAAGGCGGACACGGACCGGGGTGACAAAGCAGGACGCATTTGTGACCGCATTCCGGTTGCAGGAGCTTGCCGCACGTTTCGCCGCAAGAATGCGGAATGCTCCACGGTTGATACGTAGGATCAACGATCTTTTTACAGAAACATTCGTACGATCTCGGAACCTGGTTTTGCTCATATTCCGTACGACACTTTGGACTGTAACGTAAGCATTTCTATTCTTATATCAATGTTTACCAGCATTTTATACACACACGCAAAAAACTATTTTAAAATATTTAATACCATGCCCAAATTGGTGTGATTCCTTTATCCCGTTTGTATCTCAAACTGTCATTGATCCAATGTGAGATACAGGACATGTGCATAAATGCGTAACACTTGCAGCAGTTCCATATCTGCACAGGAATGACGAAGGCGCGCTTTTACTTACTTAATTCTAAAAGCTAGTAATTTACATTTGCAAATTAGAACAGCAATAATAATAACAAATTACCGGATCTGTCTTTTTGACAGTTGATATGCATATCAGGCAGACAGCGCTGCTGGATTGAAGAGAATTAATCAAATACGATATCACTTTCTCCGCATCCGTTCTTTGCCCTTGATAAGCGGATATTACTTTATCCACCAAATGTTGCGCGTCTTCCTCATTTGTCTCGTCCTCGTCCTCGCTGGACGAATTCAATAACGCAATAGCTTCCAAGTGTCTCTCAATAGACAGCTTGTTTTGCGCCTGGGCTATTTTAAATTTCTGCATGTTGAAATTCTAAGGGTCGTCCAACTACATAACTTTTTTGTTACCGTTAGAGACTTTTGACGTTTTTTTCGTGAGGGTTCCAATCGTCAGCTCGCGCGTCAACATCGCGTCCAATTAAGTTGTACGTTCCAAGTTTCGAATTTCATTCAAGTTTTAAGTTTCAAGGTTTCAATAGATCTACAGCTGTAGGTTGGTGCATATGTGGCTCAAAGGACCGACTCAAGATAGTCCATACGCCATTCTAAGCTTGAATAGTGATTTTCTTGGTATGTTCACCGTAAACGGTTGAATGGTTGATTTCTCCAACTGGAGTAACAAAGTACCCCAGAGAACTGCGCAGATCTAGGGTCTTTAAAAACTACCAGATACGGAGCACACGCTCCATATGTGATCTACAGCTGTAGGTGGAGACTCCCCAAACCACCATCTGTCGGTGGAGTCTATCATCGCGATGATCTAAAAACCAGTAAGGGTGCGATCCCACTGCACTGGGATATGTGTTAACGCGTATATCTCGTGACCAATCAAAGACGCACACACCTCTCTCGATCCGTGTGCAATCAGAAGCGTACTGCGACTTTTTTGTAAACACAGACGTGAAAGAAAATAGGTGGAAGATTGTGATCACGTTTTGTTGTGAAAAATAAGAAATATCATTAAAATTGCAATTTAATTAATTTGATTTTATTCGCGGTTCGAGTCCTCGCTGTTCAATTGGCCGTTCTTAATAGTTTGGTACTTTATTGCGACACTAGAGAAAAAGCGCCATCGTCAAAGCAACACCGTCTCGCGGGTAGTCGGCAACAATGGGTGCGTTCAGACAACTCAACAGTTGCACAACGGTTGAGAGATAATCACTTCTGATTGGATCATACTTTTGAAACCGCATCAGATTTTGAAGAATAGTCCTATCATAAGTGATGATCTCTCAACCGTTGAGTTGTCCGAACGCACCCAATAACAACAGTATAGTTAGATAGACAGTAGCAGATAGTGGTACATGAAGTTATTGCGAAAAAAGATGGTGGTGACAGTGGCATCCGTGCGACAACAACTCAGCAATTTAGCGCATTCCGGCGGTTCTCACAAGGACCAGGCCGAGAAGTAAGTTTAGAAATTTGTAATCCAAGTCCGATTTTATTTATACATACGTAAAATAAACTACTTCCTGTTTAGATATCGTTCAACTTTGGACATGATATTGTTGTCTTCCGGTGAGGAGCTAGTTGATGCCTTGAAAACGTTTATCGAAGCAAGTATGTTATTTTTATCTTACTTAAACACGCGTTACAAACATAGAACTTCAAATACGTTCCAACATATGCGATATACGTTCCAAAAATCTGCGTAAAATTTATTATCCGAGTTTATCTTTTTCTTTTCGATATTATTAACGTGTTCTTTAACCAGCTAGTGCGAGTCTTTGCGACCATGTGCTTTTCTTATTTGAATCTCCTTGATTTTTCTGTTTCTCTAGATTACGTAGTTTGTTTTGTTTGGAAAAGTTCCAAGTTCACCTTCGTGAAATTAGGTTATATAGAAGAAAAGAAATTGATTTCAAAAAACTTTCCGAAGATATTTTGACCGAACTTAACGTTGTGTCCCGGGAAGCACGCTACCAGCGCTATTGCGTCATTCTATCTTTGTTTTACATCTAACAAGCAATGTGAAGATAGAATGATGCCGCTGATAGCACCCTCCTCGAACACAGCCTAAATGTAGCCTGTACACACATATGTATACAGCTGATATGACAACATAAATGTCGCACATGTGTTGTTAAAAAACTTAATATTTCATTTCTTGCGACATTTTGATGTTGATTAAAACATAATATTTGAATTTCTATTTTATTATGCTGAGGAAACAACTGTATTCCTCAAGATGTTTACGCATTATTTTTGTACTTTTATTACAGTTGTAAATGAAAATGTGAGCTTAGTAATTTCAAGACAAGTTCTGACCGATGTCAGCAGCCGCTTACTATTTTTACCTGACGAAATATCCATGGCTGTTTCACATTATACACTGGATAAGGTAAAACGATCTCTTTGTTTGTTTTTGTTTTTTTTTTTTTCATTTTTTTCTTCAATTCAATCCAAAGCATATTTGAAAACAAGAGCAAACTGTAAAATATACTAAAAAAAAGCATAGTTTGATAAAAAAAAAAATAATATTCAATTAGGTTCAGCCACGTGTGATTTCCTTTGAAGAACAAGTAGCTAGTATAAGGCAACATTTGGCTGATATTTACGAGCGCAATCAGAATTGGCGGGAAGCTGCAAATGTTTTAGTTGGCATACCACTGGAAACGGGACAAAAGTAACAATCAAGTTTTTGCAGTTGCTTGTATATATTATATTATATATATATATATTATAATATCGAATTAAAATCATTTCAGGCAATACACCACCGATTACAAATTGGAGACTTACCTTAAAATCGCCAGATTATATCTAGAAGATGACGACCCGGTACAAGCTGAAGCGTTTATTAACCGAGCGTCTCTTTTGCAGGTAGATATTTTTGTTATTATATTACAAAATTTATATTTTGTAACATGTGTGTACATACTATATATTTCACAGGCGGAGTCTAAGAACGAGCAGTTACAAATTTACTACAAAGTGTGCTACGCAAGGGTATTAGATTACAGAAGAAAATTCATAGAAGCAGCTCAGAGATACAATGAATTATCGTATAGGTCTATTATTCACGAAGACGAGCGCATGACTGCTCTTAGAAACGCGTTGATTTGCACAGTACTGGCTTCAGCAGGCAAGCGATTTGATTGTTACGTTGCGTTGCTCGTGTCGCGTTGTTTCGTAAAATATTCTAATTCTTCTCAACTCGCTTACACACAGGACAGCAGAGAAGTCGGATGCTGGCGACTTTGTTCAAGGATGAACGTTGCCAGCAACTACCCGCTTATTCAATCCTCGAAAAGATGTATTTGGATCGTATTATTCGGCGTTCCGAACTGCAGGAATTCGAAGCGTTGCTTCAACCACATCAGAAAGCGTGCACCATCGACGGACTGGGCTCGACCATACTCGACCGTGCCGTAATCGAGCACAACTTGTTATCGGCTAGTAAATTATATAACAATATCTCGTTTGAGGAACTAGGCGCGCTGTTGGACATTCCGCCCACTAAAGCGGAAAAAATCGCCAGCCAGATGATCACCGAGAGCCGAATGAACGGATACATAGATCAGATCGATTCCATAGTACATTTCGAAAGTAAGTTTTTTTTTCCTGTTTTAATTATCGCGTAGTTTTTTTTTTTTAATTAGGAATTATTATAATTGTTTTCTGTCGACAGCACGCGAAACCTTACCGACGTGGGACAAACAGATACAGTCTCTGTGTTACCAAGTGAATCAAATAATCGAAAAGATAGCTCAAACGGAGCCAGAATGGATCGCGAAAGCAATGGAAGATCAAATGGTGCATTAAAGGACCATTTGGTGAACTCTACTTATTTTACCTTTTAAATGCGTACACACAACACCATACACACACGTGCATACACACAAACACACACAAACACACATACAGAGTGCCTATTCAATAAAATGTCCTGAGAATTCTTTCGTTTTCGATTTATCTTTAAATTCTCCTTGTGAAAGAAGAAAAACAATTTTTTCTAAGAATTCCAGGCAGTAGACACTCTGATGTGGCGTCCGCAAGACCCTGTGATGCCAACATTTCTTAATGCTTATTTTAAAAATAGAAAAAAAAAAAATCGATACAAATTCATCATCACATTGACACATAAATAAGCGTGTTTATTGACGAAAGAATCCATTAAAAAATTGATAAAAAAAAATTTAGATAAAAATTGTAGATGAGGAAAAATCCAATGTAAGTTCTTGTAAATAAATCGCATTCATACTTCGTATATATAAATGTTTCCTTATTAAAAAACCTCTAATCTGATATAGTTGAAGAGAATAAAAGTCACTCTTACATATCTCACAAACAAAATATACTTATTATTTTTCTATATAAAACAAAGTAGTGGAATTACATGTGACTGTCTTTTGAAAATATAAACCAGTGGTCGTATAAATTTGTTTTGGCGATAAAATGTAAAAAGTCTATATAAAAAAACAAATTCACACTGTATTGCATTGGGTAGTGTCTGAAATATGAGAGTAATTTGTGAGTCAACCAAAACTGGCAGTTTTTTTTTTTTTTTACACAAGGAGCAGACGAGGAAAATATCTGCTTCTTACGGATAATTCTTAAGTGAGAGAATAACTACCTATAGGTTTCGATAATTTGTATACGCGTAATTGCATTACTATTTGACGTTTGAATTAGAAGGCATCGTACTTTTATATGGTAAATATGTGACAGTACTCTATAAATCAGAGAGAAACATATATCTATTGTAATCGCGTTAACACTACGTACGGATTGCATATATTCGCACATCATTCTAACCTGGTCCAACCCAGCAGAACAAATTGAGATTCGTAGTTCGCAATATATTCCGCAATGCTGAATTAAAAAACAAGTTTTTCTTTTTAAAGACAATTTTGTAATCTCTGAAATTTATTTACCCCGTTTATGCACCAACAATGAACCACTGATCGATAATATTGATATAGTAGACGAGAAAAACCTAAGTACTTTAAATAATATATCATTATGTATAACACGTCTACTGCAAAGCACAAATAAACGAAGATTTTTATTTCGTAAAAGTTTTTTCTCTTACAAGTTTATTTTAATAAACTATCATTTCACCACGTTTTTATACCTCGTTGCAGTCTCCTGCTCTTATTTTATACAACTCCCATGTGTATCTTTGATCTTTATTAAAGATGCACTTTACAGGAACCGTGTCAAGCTGCGTTATGTGAAACATGTTGTAAAGCTGCTTCAATCAAACCAACGGTACAAATCTGACACTGTGTAATATTGTGTGATTTTTTTGTTTTTTTTTTTTTCATGTTTCATATGTAACAAGAAATATTGCTAATTTATGGTCACAATTATAATGTATGACATAAACTTTTTTTTTTGTCGCGCGGACTAATCTGAAATGATGCACGACATTCGGTGGCATCTACTTAAAGATCAACTCTTATCTACATATTACAGGCAATACTTTTTTTATTTGAAGCATGTACTGTCACGTCGTTTTTTTTTTTTTTGTTTTTTTTTTTTGACACAAGAGTCACGAAATATTTATTTGTATTGGATAAATTTTCTGTTCTCTTATTTTTTGTAATGTAATCATTATTTTGCGTACTCAAGCCTGAAGGTCTAATGACACGCCATACTTGTGGCCGCCGGAGCCGAAGTTCTTACCGTCGATGTTTGTAGAAAGTGTCAAAGTTACACCTGCAATCAGATATTCGATAATTTTGATGACGCGTATACACGTATATAAATTCTACATTCAGATATTTCTTTCGATTTTGTTTTTTTTTTTTAAACTGTTACCACTTACCATCTCGTAATTTTTGTTGATATCCCAAGCCTACCTGAAGATTCGAATTTACCTTGGCTCTGATGGCGGCATCATTATCAAGGCAATACTTAGCCCCAATACCGAACTGTGTTACATTATTAGTTGAATTCCATGCCAAATTAATTGCTCCCTCTAAACCTGGTTTCACTTTATGATAAATAGAACTGCTAAACTCACGGCCGTTATCCCTAAAAAAAAAAAATATATATATATATATACATATACATTATATTAAAACTCAAAGCTGAAAAGTTTATGATTGCATTTGTTATAAAATTGTCTTCAAACTCACACGGCAGTGTGAAGAGCAAAATCGGAGGCTGTAAAACCAAGAGCAAAGTTATTTCTGGTGAGTTTGTTCCTCTGCGAGTCAAAAGATGCCTGATAGCCAGCCAGCCATCCTGCAAAATACAGAAGTATGATAACCTAAATATTTTTGCGTGACACATATTCATATCTGCCATATAAGCTTACTTTTTTTTTTAATCACAAGATATTCCACTTGTTCAAAACAAGGAAATATGGGACAGAGGAGAGACACATAGGATTAAATACAAGGATCTAAACTGAAAGGTTGGTTTTCAGTAGCTTTGTGTTAACAGAACACATGGATAATTGCTATTTTATCAAGAGCTTTTATAATACTATTCAAAGACACATCTAACATCTTCACCTTGGTAACCAACAACAGCTGCAGCATTAATTAATGGCCCGGCAGACAGGCTCAGATCAAAGTCGGCATTAGCAGACACATTTTCATGTTTGTAAGTTGTCTTCAATTTTCCAGTCTTAGATCTACAAACATAAAATAAAAACGGTTTATTGTATATGTGTATAATTTGCTGGTGACACTTTGAAAGACCCAGCTATGTTAATTCAAAAACTACAAAAATAAACTCTCACCCAGTCTGTGGAGAGAATGTACAGCTGTAACCAACAGTAAGCCCATTGACCAATTTGTTGGCAATGGATATGTCAGTTGCCAGAGTATTGTCAGTATTCCATTGCTCGCTAAACGTCAATCCGTATTCTTTGAGCTTATATTTGGTCTCCAAATTACCAAATACTTTTCCAGTATCCTGATTAGATACACCTCCGCAACAAAATTCCACATCCGAATTTGTTTTAGTCTTGACGTCTAACTTGAAGAGACCAAAGTGATAACCTTGGCCAAATATATCACGAGCACTCTTTCCTAATTCATTGTAAGTTGGAGGAGCCATGTTCTGTAATAAAAGTGATGTGACTGTTTTTTATTTTTATTTATTTTTTTTATCAGTTGTCACATTATTCGCGTACTAATTGTTATATAAACAAAATTAAATTTAACTCGAGTAACAAAATTAATACAAGAAATAATGCAAGAAAAAATACACAATAAAATACCTAAACTTTTGACATTCGACATATCTTTAAGTGATGATAATTGCACATGTAAATTAAAAACAAATCAAAAATAAACGATTCGCGAAACAATTGTACGTAGCAACACGAAATGCTCGCGCTGTAAAAAGTATAAAACAAAAAAATGGTTCCTTTCCAAATATCACACAAAGTGACTCGTTATTATAAGATCTAATGCAAACAAAACCAATGACGATACGCTTTTATCGCGGCTTTCATCGAGAGCGAAACGCAAGTACGTGCGATACGAACGAAATAATATTGACCTGCCTCAGGTATTACATAAGGCATATAGTTCGGCACAGCCGATATATCTCGCGTTCTTCGACGCGATTGTTAACTTAGAACTCGCTCGCACGTCACTGTGCGTCAAGAATATCGCGTTTGTTTTGTCAAAACAACGGTCAAATGCTATCAAATGTAATGACAAAATCCCGTTTGACAGACCACGAACCGGGAAGATCGTCGATACGGCAGACGACATTGCGTGCCGGTTCGTCGGGAAAGAAATTGCAATTTCGATTCGGCTTCTCGTCGCGTCTTGCCGCGTGCAAATTCCGCAGGTCGAAGGTTCCGAGGTTCGCGACGCGACAAAAATTCGTTTCACGCAATTAAGCGTCAAAACGACGTTGTACTTACTTCACGATTTTATGTTGAAAGATTTTTTTGCAAAAATGCGCAAAACCTGGTCGTACGTAGTTCGAGCGTTGTGAGAGAGGTGACGGCGACCACGGCGACGAACGGGAGGAGAAGAGCGACGAGGGAAAAGAGAGAAAGAGCGTCACGGACTTAATGCGCATGCGCGTGACGCGTCAGTCATGCAAGACGGAGAGAGCTTTAGGGAAGGAGGGGAAGGGACTTTTCTCGCGCGCAGTAGCGGAAAGATCAGATGTTTCTCAGTAACGTATGTTAGAAATCTCGTTCGATTTATATTCGATTCTTTTAGGTATGCAAAATATTTTATAACAATTGATATTCTGTTGCACTTGTATATTAAAATAATAATAGTAACAAATATTCCACACACACATTATTTTAGGGAGTAGCAAGATGATTTAAGAGAGAGAGAGAAAAGGATACATGTTAAAGATAATCAAGCGCATTTAAGGCTGCTTTCCTTTTAAGAGACACAGTCGACACAAGTCGACACAAAAGTCATTCTGTCTTCGTTCAGTATTCAGTGAGAAACAAAGACAGAATGACTTTTGTGTCGACTTGTGTCGACTGTGTCTCCTAAAAGGAAAGCAGCCTAAGTTACATCCAGGCTGCGTTCGGGGAGCGCGCTATCAGCGCTGTTGCATCATTCTATCTTTATTGCTCATTAAATGTAAAACAAAGATAGAATGACGCAATAGCGCTGATAGCGTGCTCCCCGAACGCAGCCCCAAGCATACACGAGTCTGTGCAAAATAGTCATCATGGACTCGACGCGTACAAGCGAAGAAGCGGGCAACCCCGCATAGTGAAAAAATTCCCTTCCCTTCCTCTATTTCAGCATTGCTGTGACGCGTACAAAAAGCGCCCGGTCTATCTATTTCTGCGCAACCGAAGCGGCACGACCGCTACGACGCAAACGAGACGCGCGTCGATCCGCAACATCCGCAACATGTTCCGCCGCGCGACCTTCGGACCTGGGTTCTTATTTGTCGAACGAATTTTCTTCGCAAACAAATCCGAGCTGTAATAAAATTGTTTCAACGGTTCAAATCGAGGTAGAGATATTTCAAATTGTTATTAATTTCGCATCGTTCTGACAACAATTTGTCAAATCGAGTCAATTTACAAAAAGAAGTTTAAATTGAATTTAATGATGGGATTCAAATTTTTGCAGATGTAAAAATTCGCGCGCAAAAAGCACGAGCGAGTTAAAAAACGAGAGACAACGCGTGACAAATGGGAATGAGAAAACGTTTGCGACAAAGGTTCAACGCACGAAATGATTCCGGAAAATAGCGGAAGCTTTTGGATTCTTCTGTACATCTAGAGTTCCAAAAATAAAGTTCCAACAGCCGCGCTCTGTTCGCATCACGTATAGTTACTCGAAGTCGCCATAATTTTCTAACTAGATCAGTCTAGATTATTCCTTTGGCAGAGCTCTCTCTTGTACGCGATATTTTTAAATCGAGAATTATAAAGAGTGCGGTAAACACGAGCATTGGTCTCAGTTCAAACAAACCCTTCGTCAGATCGGCATCGGCATCATCAACCATCGACGGAATATTAAAGAGTTTCTTCCTATCGAGAAGAGCGCTAGATCGTCAACCGAAGGAAACATGTCGCAGAATTCGGTACGTTTTTTTTTTTTTTAACGATTTTTATTATTTATTATATCGGTCTGATTGACATTTTTGAGAGCGCAAAGAATTGCGGACAGAAAAGCCGATTGCATTCGGGACTATAGTTTTATATTGTTAAATATTTTCAGGGAAGTGACGCGAAAGAATCTCAAGCGTACAAGGTGCTTCAGAATGATCAGGTTGGCAGGTGAGCGAAATTAATTAAGACAGACTTGATGTTAAGATTACAGGAATTTTCTGTGAAAACTAAACATTACACGCACACACACATACTGCAATTCTCACATTAAAAAATCAATCGCGATGCGGAAATACCGATTCGCACGGTGATAAACGTTGAAACCGTTCTTCGAGTTATAGTTGAGGCATGCTATACTTTAATTGCGGTGTACGTTTGACTTGGGATATATCTTGGAATAAATCGCATACAAATTGCAACTGATGTGCTTTTTCAGATACATGATAGCGAACAGAGAGCTGCAGGCTGGCGAGGAAATCGTTACGGAAATGCCTTTCGTTGTCGGACCGAAGGCTTATACTTATCCCTTGTGTCTCTCCTGTTACACTCCCTGGCCTCCCGCTCCGGATAACAAACCGCTTTGCTCGAAGTGCGGATGGCCTGTTTGCGGCGAGGAGTGCGAGAACGCTCCGCAACATAAAGACTACGAATGTCAGGTACTTTTTAAAATTGTTTACAAAATTCTTTAAAAAATTATAGAGGAAATATATAGGGGCAATTTTAATTCGCGTGTTATTAACAAAGAGATTTGCGTCAAATTTTCTTCGACAGGTATTTGCGCAGGCCAACGAGAAGTTTAACGTGGACGTTGCTATGAGCGAGAACGAAAATGGTGTTCCGCAATTAGAATGTATAACGCCGTTGAGACTACTGTTGGAGTCCGAGAGAAATGTTGAGAGATGGAACAAGGAAGTGAAGGACATGGAAGCGCACAACAAGATACGATGTCAAAAGTCACAGTGGAGATCCGATCACGTCAATATCGTGGATTATCTGAGAAAAAGGCTTAAGCTCGACAGGTAAATATGTGTATAAAAAAATTCTTTTTTTTTTTTAATTAAATCATTAAGTATGAAAAACTTGACAAATATATGTTTATTTGTTTGTCAAGTTTCATATATATATATATATATATATATTGTCATATTTATAATAACTATATATAGATATATGAAACTTGACAAACAAATGTATATATATTTGTATATATATATATATATATATTTTTTTTTTTTGCGACGTATTTTTAAAAATGAATAACACGCAGGTTCTCGGAAGAGCGCATACAAACGGCATGCGGAATCTTGGAAATTAATACGTTCGAAGTGCGAACGATGAAAGGATTCACTGCTCGCGGTCTTTACCCGACTGTCGCTATGATGAATCACTCGTGCGTCTCCAACACGTCTCACAGCATATCGCCGCTTGATTACAGGTGCGTATACATCCTGTAATAATCTTATTTACTCGTATTGTCAAGTGGATAAGATCTTTATGTTGGATGTAACAAAAATAAATAAATATAATAGTCACGACACCCCAACTGCAATAACTGTAATCGATAAAATCTCGAAAAATCTCTGATTCAGCTACAACAGCGGAGTTCATTAAACGCGCGCCGCTTCCTCAATTAATATACGCGCATCGCGCACAATTATCCGGAAATCTCACCGCGTTTATTATGCAGATGAAGATGTGCGCGTGTACATTATATGGATCTTTTTTTTCACGCTTACAGGATACGGCTGCGTACCACGCTTAGAATTCCAGCGGGCGGCGAACTTTACGCAAGTTACACGCACTCGTTGCTCCCGACTATGCTGCGACGAGAACACCTGCTCGAGGGCAAGCACTTTGCTTGCGCGTGCCCGCGATGTTCGGACCCCTCAGAACTGGGCACTCACATGTCCTCGCTAAAATGCAACAAATGCGACAACGGAATTATTCTGCCCCTAGATTCTTTAGGTACATTAGCAAACATATCACAGATTCTTCGCTAAATCCTGGAATGTTTTCTTATATAAAAAAGAAGTAAAATATAAAAACAATATATTTTTATTTAAAAAATATGTTTTCAGACTCGGAAAGTACATGGAAATGCACGCACTGTGACTTTTCCACCAGTGGACAAGCGGTGCGAAAGATTTTCAAGATTATTCAAGCGGAAGTGGATGCCGCTGAAGCCATCAGCGGAGCTGACGGAGCTGACGCGATTCGAGAAAGAGAGGCCGTTGTGAAAAAGTACCATTCTGTTCTCCATCCTCGTCACGCTTTTCTTACGATGTTACGGTAACGGAACACAAGGAGAATATAAAATTCTCACAATGTGTGTAATATTCACGAAAAAATGAACGATTACATTGAATATGTCTGTTTTATAGACACTCTTTGACCCAAATGTACGGTCGAGTTGACGAATATTTGTTAGATGATTTGCCAGATGTTGTTTTGGAGCACAAGGTCGATATGTGCCGCTTGTTGCTTCAAGTGCTAGACGTTGTGGAACCTGGATTAACTCGCATCAGAGGTGAGCCACTTTTATTGAAAAACAGTTTCTCTGACATAGGTCGTAGAAAAATTACATCAAACATTTTAACGTTTCATCATTTTTCGGGCAGGTATGACGTTGTACGAGCTGCACGCGCCGTTACTTTTCTTAGCGAAAGGTCAATGGAATGCCGGTGTTATCGATGAGGCCGGTTTAAAGTCCAAAATGACAGAAGCTGCCACTATTTTAAAAGAAGCGGCCACAATATTGATCTTGGAACTACCGGAGACAGCTGAGGGACAAATAGGAATTGTTGCGAAAGAGTCTTTAGTTCAGCTGGAACAATCCATTAACGAGTTATAAGCATTTCTCGTTATTGTCGTAATCAAACTTCTTATAATTTATATATATATATATTTTTTTTTCTGTTGCTTAGAATAAAACTTCTGTATTTATTAAATAAATAAACGCGTTTCTATGTGTATTGCGGCGTTTTCTTGTCAAAAACTCTTTCAGAGTACGATACAAAATGTTAAATTTTACAAGAGTGCAGTTGTTTTTCACATCCCAAAAAAAACATCTTTTATCAAGTTAAAAAATATTCATATCTCAAGTGTCTTTATCTAAAATGTCAGTTGTGATTATTCACGATTGTGTCGTAATCGCCAATGTGTGTGTCACATATACCAACATTGCGGATTGCGTGAGGATGCCATGTGATGTCTAATAATATATAGTGCGTCGCATGTTTGTCGAAGGAAGGCTCGTATTACCGGCGCTCGCTTTCAGTTGCAAGTCGACAATCAAACGCAAACTTGAAAGAAGTCCGCACACATTGTCATGGCGCCCGCTCCGAAGTATAAAATCGCACACTCGAAAAAATTTGGAAGGTATAAATATAATTTGACAACAATAATATATATATATATATATATACGTATCTTAGTGTGTAATTTATAAATCTTACATATAGTATAGAGAGAGAAGGTTTGAGGAAAGATTTTTGTTATACCACATTGACAGGTGCTCCTTTGCACGTGTGTGTGTGTGTGTGTGTGTGTACGATTCTCTTCTTGAAAATAAATTTAGCATTTCCTTAATCCAAATAGGTAACACTTGCGCAATGTTTTTTGCGCGTTTATTTTGCGCGCAATCTCGTCAATCGCTTGCTGTCACACATCAAGTTTTATTTTTTTGTTTAAACAAGGTATCTTGTAGCGGCTAGAAACTTAGCGCCGGGAGAAGTTGTAATTCGCGACAAACCGATCGCGGTCGGCCCAACGACATGCGGAAAGGATTGTTTCTGCTTTGCATGTTTGCGCTTATTAATCAAAATCGGCGAACGGAATCAATACATTTGTTCCAAATGTAACGTCGCGCCGTTGTGCAGCGTTACATGCGAGGTAAAAAAAAAAAAAAAAAACCTTACTTGCTCCGTACCGTGTTGCACTGTATTTAAAATAGTCAAAATCTATTTTCACAAGATCCACTTCTATCCGCTAATCTCTTTTAAAGGAACAAGCGAGACATCACACAAGCGACGAGTGTCAGATATTTAGAGACAACCGAGACGCATTGGCGAAAAACGAAAATGACGTGACGAGAATATTGTTACCGTTGCGGGTGTGGTTGATGAAACACAAGAATCCGGCTGTGTGGGAAGAAGTAGACCACATGGAAGCTCATCTGGATAAGAGGATAAACAAACCTATCTGGAAGAACAGAGAAGTCAATGTTGTAGATGTGAGTCTCGCGCGTATATAAAAATCCTAGAAATTAAAACCAATGTACGATTTAATCCAAAATAAAATTATATTTTTTTAAATGTTTATTATTTGAGAAAGAATATGTGCGACGATATACGTGCGTGTGTAGGTGATTCGAAGACTTCGCCTGCCCGTTGAAACTGAGCCGCCCAGTGTAGAATTAATTCAAAAGGTGTGCGGCATCATAGATGCGAACACCTTCGAGTTGCGATCACCCGGCGCCGTTGACGGCGTCCTGCTTCGTGGTTTATACATCGACGCGGCCTTGATGGCTCATGATTGTCGGGGCAACACTCATCTAACCGTCGATGACAATTTTCAGCTAACCGTTTACGCAAGTATAACGATCAAGGAGGACGAGCCCATCTTTTTCAATTATACTTCATCGCTATTGGTCAGTTGATCGTAGATATAAAAAAAAAATCTAGACATACTTGCGACAAAATCGATATTTAACTTTCATTAATTTTTATTGGCTTTGATGCTAAATATATAAATTTGTTGTATTAACATTTGTCTACGAAATATATCATCATCAGGGTGCAGCTGACAGAAGGGAATATCTTCGAGAGGAAAAATATTTCGAATGCGAATGCTCATTGTGCGAGGATCCTTACGAATTGCAATCGCATTTGAGCAGCGCGGTATGTCCGCGATGCAAAAAGGGATACATAGGTATAAAAGACACTTCCGTAAAGGATCCGTACGAAAACCAATGGCAATGCCAGACTTGTAAGAGGACCTACGGCGGTCGTCTCGTTAGAGCTACGTTGAATATATGTAAAACGTTAATCGAAGAATGCGAGAATGACGATATAAAAGTTCGCACACAGTGTGATATATATACATATATATATATATATATATATATAAACATTATATTTAACTCGACATTATCACAATTCTTTGCAACGCAATTTTTTTTTTTTTTTTTTTCAGAGCATCGATAACTTGCTCAAAAGATTATCTCGCTCGCTACACACCAATCACTTTCTGATGTTATCCCTGAAGCAGAAATTATTGACGGTGTGTAGAAGGGAAATCGCATCGCTGAATCCACAGAAAAAAATTTTACTACGGATGCTGGACACCTGCAAGGAAATCTACGAGGTTTTGGATATAACAGAACCTGGCGTATCACGTTTAAAGGGTTTGTCGCAATCTCACATTTCCGAGCGATATCGCCAATCTCTCTTATTTATCTCTCTGTATTTTACAGGAATACTGTTGTACGAAATGCACTTACCTATGATAATACTAGCGAATCGATCTTATTCCGCGCGTGAGATCTCATCGGCGCAATTGGCCCGCCGATTGGAAGAGGCCAGGAACGTTCTAAAGAACTCTCTGACCATGATTCTTCTCGAACCGCCATCAACTCCGGAAGGGAAATTAGCTAAAAGAGCACTTGAAGAATTACGAATGTTAAATCAGAATATAAGCGACGTGAAATCCTTACCATCAGAAGAGCCCAAAATCCGTCGTAAATGATATATCCTAAAATTCGCATGTAAACAACACACACGGAAGGATAAAATGATAAATTCTTTACAAAACAGCAATTTAATAAATTTTTTTCACTGGTCCAAATTTTAATCTCTGCCAGTCTTACAAAATTATCGCTTCTAATAGGATTTCCTCCTGTTGTCCGCAACTAATGACACGCATGGTGAACGCGATGAAGCATCGTTCAACATTATTATCACAATAACACGTATGGCCTCTTGGACAAACGGTCTCACTTCTTGGTTCAGTAGTTAACAACAATTCGAGCAACGTTTCGTTTTAATAACTATTTTAAACATGAGTTTTAAATAGAGATAATTATTTTTTGTTTTGAAAAATAGGAATATGCAAAAAGAAGCTAATAATTACTTCACTTTGTTTTATCAGATACAAAAATAAGGTACAAGTTACAAAAAACGCCTAAAATTAATTACTGTTCATTTTTGGTTTTCTTCAGGTATTCATACACTATTGCGGGGGGAATTGAAATCACTCGAACAACCTCCTTGTACGAACATTTGTGGAATGTCTTGCCCGTAATATATCTTAGCATTCTTTGCTAAGGCCTCGTATTTCTTGAGCTCTAAGAATTCTTTATTTAAGAGTAACTTGTTTGCCTCGGCTTGCAATTTCATTTTATAAAATTCAGCGTCGGACTGACTCTTCTGTCTCGCTAAATGCATCTCGTCTTCTATCACTGCTATTCGCTGCAGAGATTCTTTTTCCATAATCTTTTGATTGTACTGAATCGTTGCGACCTGCGCTTCCTTTTCGGCTTCAATGATGGCCTTTTTGCGTTCGATCTCGGCATCTTTTTCCACCACTTTCTGATGTTGTATGGATATCAACAGTTTTGTTTTCTCCGCTTCCCTAAATCATTCAATAAAAGTTAACAGAAAGATTAATATTCTATATACATATATACATATTAATTAAAAGTAAAAATCTTCGAAGTTTAACAAAGTAAAAACTTGCATTAATTCGTAATTTTGTCTAATTGCTTCGGGAATTCTCGGCTTTGTCACTCTTACAGCTTGTACACTAAGACCAGGTGCTAATTCAATTAGATCTTTTTCAAGTGCAGTTTCCAGATTCTCATCAATTTGATCAAACAAATCAATGTACACTTCATGTAACGTATGTACAGAACAAAATTGATTCAGTATGTGATGAACTTTGTTAAATATTAATGTACGATCGTAATCCACTGTAAAATTTCTTACTATATTATAGACTGCAAGAAAAAAAAGCATATATTAACAGATATTCTAACAGTAATGCACTAGCTAATTCCTGTCAATAATTGAATTAAGACGGAAACAGTTTATATGCGCACTAAGCTTACCATTATTTGCATCTAATATATTCACAACTTCAATACGATCAAAATAAATCATTACGCCACCACTGGTTCCACATGGAACATTCTTTACTTCATCTGTCTGAAGAGTTACCTGAACTGTACGAAATGTGGTCAGCAGTGGTATCATCATGTGAAATCCCGGATTACTCACTTGAGGTAACAAAGCACCACCCTGAAAAATTCATGAAATATAGCAGATGGAAAATAACAGTTTTAAGTAAATAACAAAAAATCTCACCCTAAAGTATACTCCAACATAACCTTCTTCAATACGATGAAAAGAAAAGTTAATTACTATAGTAAAAAGCAACAAAAGTAAAATTGGCAAGAGTTTGTTGTCCATAATTGTTTATTAATATCCTGAAATATATGAAAAAGATGAATATTCAGTTTCATGTTTACCTTCTCTGATTTTAATAAATATAATATAACAAATATAGTACAATCAGTACCTTCTTCAACTTAGATTTAAACAAATTTTGTTTATTCAATTCCTTTTTAAGTACTGAATTAAAGTTTGACTAATGAAGTGACATTTGGCACTAGGAAAAGTTATTGATAAAAAAAAACTTTTTTATATGATATTAACGTGCCTCAAACGCTTATACAATTTTTGTGAGTACACACTCTTCTATGTATACTAAGCGTTCTCCTTTTTTTTTACAGTAGTGATCTTTATTGTAGTATCTCTTGTAGTTTTTCCAAACAATATATGATCGATCCCCGCAGTGCGTATACCCATCTAAGCCAAGTTCGTGGTTACGTTCCTTAAACTTCAGTAATCTGATGAGAACAAATTTTTACTTAATTAAATAATTAATAAAATCTCGAATTAATTACCGGAATCCCGGATTCAGTTCATTTTTCAATCGATACATTTGATTGAACAAAGACCGGCCCAAAAAAACAACTCCAAACTCGCACAGTCTACCTGTATTTTGATCGCTAAACCATTGGCCCAATTAAAATAATAACATTCCAAAGGTTAAAAATTTGTCATTCGATATCTGTTGCACTTGCTCAGATCGCAGGTTCACGATCGAATATCGAATACAAATTATCAACAAACAAACACGTTAAAAAATAAAGTCATAACCACAGACTTCTCTGTCACAATATATAAGTCTGTTCTTTTTACCTGAACTGGCTACATCAGTTCAGAGTTTGTCTTTCTTTTTCCAATGTGAAGTAAAAAAAAAAATAAACTCTGAACTAATGCAGCCAGTTCAGGTAAAAAGAACAGACCTTAACCATTAGGGTCACTCGGAGTGTGTTCTGAATTAAGGCCGAAGCACAGACTTTTGCATATAAAGGGCCTTCTACAATAAGATATTGGTGATAAATCAAAAGTCAGAAGCAAGAAATTGACTAATCACAATCGATTATTCTTCTAAGATAATCGGGTGCGTTCAGACAACTCAACAGTTGCACAACGGTTGAGAGATAATCACTTCTGATTGGATCATACTTTTGGAATCGCTTCAGATTTTGAAGAATAGACCTGTCATAAGTGATGATCTCTCAACCGTTGAGTTTTCCGAACGTAACCAATTATCCTTCGGTAACGAGATTGCCAAACTTGTGATTGGTTGGTTTGCTTACAATTTTGTGATGACGATCAAAACTTTTTCATGTGCAATAGCCTGAAGAAACCTGAAGTTTACGACATATGGGCTGGCTCTTGTCAAATAGCCTTTCCAGTCGCGAAGAAATTAGATTAGACAGATATTTTGAGAGTACACACACACAAATATGACGTAGATAATTAACGGTGTGCTTTTAAAATTAAAGTGTCTCACAACTTATGATCTGAAAAAAAATGGAAGTTAAAGCAAAGAGCGAACATTTGTTAGCGTTAAAAGGTAAGTCGTGTCAAAGCAAACAAATTTATATCTTTTAATTTTTTAGTTGTTCATTGGTATTAATTTTTATACACACAATTCTAGTAATGAGATTAACGCGACCGACTCTGGCATCTCCCATAGTTGTTACATGTGATTCAACAGATTTGCCAGGTAATACATTGAACAATGAGCTCAAAAATGATTGTACAACATTGCAAGGTATGGAAGCACTTGCTGTAGGACAATTTATGGTATTGCCTCAGAGTTTTGGGTGTGTCTTATTTACGAGTGTTTTTTTTTTTTTTTGCAATGTTATTTAGACGCACATCTTTTTTTTATCCATGTCTCATGTTGTGATATATTTATTTCAGCAACATATATCTAGGAGAAATATTTTCCAGTTATCTGTGTGTACATAATGGCAGCAATCAAACTGTAGAAAATGTTTCTGTGAAAGTAAGTTTCATACGTCACATAATTTAAAAATACATATAATAACGAATTGATATATATCTGGATTTTTATTTGATATAAATGTCACATCATTGTATCTCTAATATTGTTTATATTTTATAGGCAGATTTGCAAACGAGCACACAGATAATTTCTCTGTCAGGCGCAAATCTTGAAGGAAAAGAATTAGCACCTGACAATACGGTAGATGAAGTTATTCATCACGAAGTTAAGGAAATAGGTACACATATGTAAGGGAATATTAATAAGTCCTTTTATAATAAAATGTATTCTCTGTTTTATGTTTAAAAAAAAAATTGTCTTTTCTATTTTTCTAGATTAGTTTGCGAGGTGTCCTATAACTGCGCGGGACAAGTTGGACCTCCACTTTCGTTTAGAAAATATTTCAAATTTCAAGTAGTTAAACCGCTTGATGTGAAGACGAAATTTTTTAATGCCGAGGTTGTCATTTAGAAGTATACATTTGCAATTGCATTAGTGGTATTTTGCGTAAATATTTATATTAAAAAGTTTATTTTGAAATTAAAATGTTTTATCTTTTATTTCAAGTCAGATGAGGTATATCTCGAGGCACAAATTCAGAATCTAACAGCCGGCCCAATTTGTTTGGAAAAAGTTGCTCTCGAATCGTCTCATTTATTCAGTGGTAAGTAAAAATGCGGATATTGACCGAGACAGATTACATTTATATATGTGTGATACATATATATATGTGTGTGTGTGTATTAAAGATGCAACACATTTCTCAGTGAGCACATTGAACACAAATGACGAGGGAGAATCTATTTACGGAAGTGTGAATCTGTTGGATACAAATTGTAGTAGACAATATCTGTACTGTTTGAAACCACAATCAAGCTTATTGAAAGATCCGAAAATGATGCAGAATGCGACAAACATTGGTAAGCTGGATATCGTGTGGAGGAGCAACTTGGGAGAAAGAGGAAGGTTGCAAACAAGTCAATTGCAAAGAATGGTACGTTACGTGAGAAGCCTTGAAAAAGCGATGAAAAAGCACAATCATGCGCGAAACAAAACGTTTTAGGCACCCGAATACGGAGATTTGAGAGTGATCATGAAAGACATACCAGTAAAAGCTTACCTTGAAGAACCAGTGAATTGTACATGTCACATAATAAATACATCGTAAGAATGCAATTGTTGAGATACAACAGAGCGTACAAAATTTATCACATGAACTTGGTAACAAATTATCTTTCGATTCTTTACAGAGAAAGAAGTATGGAATTATTATTGAGTTTAGAGTCGAATAATATAATAGCGTGGTGCGGAATGTCCGACACAACACTCGGCACTCTGAAACCTGGAGCTTCGATGGACATATCTCTTTGTTTTATTACGTTGGATACGGGTATCATTGTGAGTAAATTATTTTCTAAAAATGTCAAATGTCACGCGTCGTATTAAATATGTTTTTCTTTTTCTACATAGACTATATCCGGTCTGAAACTAACAGATACGTTTTTAAAAAGAGTATACGATCACGACGATCTAGCGCAAATTTTTGTCAACCGAATGGATTGAGAGATATATATTTGCAAATATGAGTCAAAAGTGTGGCATTTATTGTTCGTAACAGAGCTTGCGTCAATACAAACAGAAAAATCGATGTATGATATTGTATAAAAGTCACTTTGAAGTAAGAATGTGATACAATTCATAAATACGCATCCATGGCAGATGTTTTTTCAGTCTCGCTGACAGCTCCTACTGCGCACGCAAGCAACGTCTGTATATCTCGTGGCTCATTACCACCAAAAATATATCCATTTGCCTTATCTATCGCATTTTTTACTCGCAACAACAACGTCTTGTTGAAAACATCTAGTGGTATAAAACTAACAAGACTGTAGTCTTCAATTATTGAAACTAGAGCAGTATTGAGCTTTTTATACCTGTAACATTGTTATATCTCTCTAAATTTTCATACTTCTCTAAATTGTTGAGTTAGTAACAATTATATATATATACAATATATATAATTTTACTAACAAATTATAGATATTTGTATTTAAAACACTCAAAACATAGAGTGTACATGTTTCTTACTTTGCAGTAAAAGGATCTTCATCCAAGTGCTCTAAAAGATATTTTAAATCCAATACTTCTGTGTAAAAGTCTATGTTAAAAGCTAAACAGTTGCTAAATTTTTTCATTTCATCGAACTTTGTCATGACATTTACGTGAGGTAAACCTAGTTGCAACATCACTGTTGTACAAAGAACCAAAGAGGACAGATATTTTCCTATAAAATTATATCAGTAATTACAACTCTATCAGTAACTCTATCTGTATGTATTAATTATTTACCTGGATCACTGCAATGATGAGAATCTACAAGATGTACACTGCATAATCTCACTAAATTTTCGGTCAATTTTTCTGCTATCTTACTAATGGATTTATGATGTGTGTATAATTCAACCTGTTACATTATTTTCTGTCATATTATCAGATACAAAATCTAAATTATTATTTAGAAGAGCAATGTTAAAACAAACTTACTTGACCTGGGCAATCAAAAATAAGATAGTAATCTTTTAGATTCAAAATTTTTGTCACAAGCCAATTTACATTGATTTCTAGAAACTCCATGCAATAAACCAGAGCACCATTTGGTCCAAGTTTAAAGTGCTCCATGACCTCTTCGTGTTTAATTAATTCAGAAATATCCACTTCTGGAGTATACTCCATATTTTCATTTGCTGGATCTGAAATGATTATTAGTCAACAAATAATTCATTTAAGAACAGCAAATGTTTTACTTGCATACCAATGTTAATAATGGCCACTTTTCTTCCAAGAGACTTCAAAAATTTAGACATTTCATTGCAGTATGTTGTTTTCCCGCTACCAGGTGGACCAATTACAAGCTGACCAAAAATTAAACTCATGGTTTTTACTCAACTGATTGTTTTTATTAAGTGTTATAATAGATTATCAATATTCATATATCATATTTTTCAGTAATTTATATCACCATGATTTTATTTGATTTATAGCATCAACAACAGACTTCAAAGTCTCTACACTATAATCTTTCAATGATATAGATAGCAGCAATGGTGTTTTAATATCTATTTGTTCTACTATGTATCTGGCAGCTAAGTAAATGTCGTTGTTATCACTGCCAAAGAGTGTTCTGTGAAAACATATGATAAAAGTTATATATTATAAATGTGTATATATATTCACGCATTTATATATAAAAGAATTCTGAGAATTGTTGCGGATAAAGATGTGCGTGCACCAGTACGTACTTTATTGAGAAAACATCACTGGTATATCCGTTTATAGAGGATTCACGATTTATCGATAATACCGTTCCAAACTTTTTGAAATGTGTCACAATCAACAGTGCGCGATTGCTATAAATGAAGAAGCATTATTACAATAGCGTCGTGAGGACACCGCTGTTTTCTATTTTAAAACATGTAGAATATTTTGAAAAATACCTGTATGATTTTACAACAATGTCAGTATGATGACCACCACTTGTAATAATACTACAAGCTTGTTCATTCATATTTTTTATGCATATGTCTATAATATTTTATATACTCGCAATATCACGCTTACAAGTCGAAGCATGTGAATCAAACGTGTAACTTCACGCGAAACCATAGATGTATAAGAATGTTATACCTTGATCACATCCGTTTCAATAGGTTGCGGCGAAGGTAGCGCTTCGCGCATTCCTCGTCAACTTCGGTTTAGGATCAGAGATTGGAACTTGACCAATCAGAGCAAAGCTCACTAAACTTGAGATTGGGTTCTCTTCACTCTCATTGGATTGTGGATAGTTGGCGGTGAACGTCGGAACTAATCGGAACGCATCTGTATAGTTAAAGACAATATTCCAATTTTATTTCGCAATGATACAGGCTTTGGACGCGTAACGTTACGTCGACTGCAGCCAATAGACACTTCGTTCTTCAACGCGAAAGCGGATTCCCGCCATACAATGGAGTTCTCCACTACATAACACACTACTCGCTCACATATATACACGCGCACGGAGAGACATACATATAATTGACGAAATATATAAACTATATATAAATACGGTAAGTTTTATATTTCTCTTTACTTTATTTATATAAAATATAAATTAGGATTCACAGGGAGATTACAGAACGCACATGAAAACTTGAGACTTCAAGTAGATTTTATTGAAATATATAAGGAATCTGTATATATACCAGAGACAGAAAAACTAAACTTACTGTTTGAATTTGGTTCTACCGGGGTTCACGTATCGTATATGTGCCTGTGTTTATCGTTTCATTGTTTATCACGTATAAGTAGTAGTTTGAATATTTTATAAGTACAGAAACAATATTTGAGAGAAGGTACGCGCACAGTCTGTCTTGAAATTCTAAATCTAAGAAAAGTATTCCTCTCCTCTTTCTCCCCTCTTTCTCTTTTTTTTTTTTTTTTTCTTATAGACCTACGGTTGTAACTTTACGACTAAAAGAAGGGAGGGGAGCTTCTCTTTCTCTCTCTTATCTATGTGCACAATTGATGATTCAAAGATTTATATAAGCCATTCTCACATGCTCCGTCCGTCACGACGAAACACAAAATTTCCACAGCTCTATTTACAATTTTTACAAGAAAAAACATTCTCAATATACAGTGCGATACAACAATTTAAAATGTACATTACGTCGCATTGATAATTGCAACCAATGTCATCTCCGCACAAAATCAACTTTGTTTTTAAAAAACAGATCTATTGTTTTTTTTTTTTCACTTTTTTTATTAATATACTTTCTAAAAAAGTCATTTAAATTAATTTTGGGAAAGTTTGATCAAATTCCCTGTCGGGGATCTCATTTAATTACACAATTTTTATGAGAAACAACATCATCGATGTCTAACTCGCTTTTTTTTAAACAGACACATTTCGCACATATACAATTTACAACTATATTAAAAATGTATAGAAACCTAGAAATCTTTGTATATTAGCTATAATAAATAAGCAACGTACATGAGAAAAGTTAAAATACACATATGCGTATATTTTAAATATATATTAAATTAATAAGATTTAATCTTATTGATTTAATATATATTTAAAACTTGAAAAAAAAAGAAAAAAAAAAGAAAAAAAAAACTCAATATAACTTTATTCACATAATAGACTATCATGCGATATCGAATTTGGAAAGTTCATCTCAGTATTTTTTTTTTTTTTTGTGTGTGTGTTTAGTCACGAAACAACTTCAAAAATCTGTTGCGTGATAAAAGCATTTTTTTATATGTCGTCAAAAAGGAGATATTATATTAACGTCTATATAAACGATCAAATTGACCTCGATATAGTGTGTGACAAACTTGAACATTCATCATATCTTATTATAAAAAATGCACGATACAACGATCTTCAAAACAAGAGACAATGATATTTGACTAATGTAATGAGTTCAAATAAAAATACGACGATCAGATTTGCGTTGTACTGAATTAATGTTCGAGACGCGCTTTTATTATCGAGAAGCGTTCACATTTGATGATGTTATAGACAATTAAAATTTACAATAAATAAAACACATTCACTAAGAGATATGCAATGATCTTGTGTGAGACAGTTAAAGTAAAAAAAAAAAAAAAAAAAAAAAGTATTGGTTTAGGTTTATCGAAATCACGAACTGAAAAAGTATCGTCATAATGAAGTAGTTACGACTAACAGCGGTTGGAAAATTGTTACGCGCAATTGCTTTTTTTTTTTTTTTTTTTTTTTTTAAATAGTTTTATTAAATTTGTCTTTTGAAGTTTTGTTTTTCTGAAGCACGAAGCAAACTCTCAAATTTTTCTATGTGTGAAAATTCGTAACGTTGTGATAAGTATTTTTTTTCTTCTACTTGATCTTTATACCAATTTGGAATATCTCCTCCTCCCCTCCCAATTGCGTTCAGTGTATCCTAAAGATGAATTAGAAAAATATTTTGTTTTTTTTTTTTTTTTTTTTTTTTTTTTTTCGGTATATATCTCGTCTCGTGTCTGTATCCCGTAGTAAAAACGAAAGGTAAGATCTTATTTATATAGCATTCCCTTAGCGAAGTTTCTAAGATAAGCAATTAATAAAATCAGCTGGAAGATGTGGCGTTCTTTCTAATAAATTCTCCAGATCTTTCAGCGTATTTAAAAATCTAGTAAGCATTTTTAAATACACAGATGTATATCATATAATATGATAGCAAGTTGTGTGTGTGTGTGTATGTGTATGTATGTATGTATGTGTATGTGTGTGTGACGACGTATACTCGATAATCATATTGACAGTATACTCCTCTACAATTAATTTACATTTAGACTCGCGCACCCGAACATATATTTCAGTTTTGGAAAAATGTTAATTCCCTGATTATAATCTTGATTTTAGCGCGTCCGTTCGAGGGTTTCCGAGATTTATCGGAGTGTAAAATGGTACAAATCTCAAATATAAGTCAGAAAACAAATCCCGACTCTTGCATTATATATACACATATATGTTAAAAATTTTTTTAACACATACACATTATTTGCGTATGTATTAAAAACATTGTTAAAAACTTATTTGATACATGATTACATTCTCACCTTATTTCGACGTGTGAAAATAATTTATATTTACAGTGATTCAATACAACGAGGAGTAGATATCCCTAGAAATCTTAATTGATAACATTGTTGGGATTCAAAGAGTCTCTTTGGGATCTCTTTCCCGGAAGAAACCTTTTTCAGTCTTGCACTCCCTGATGGTAACGGTCTTTAGATTGACAGTAACGTCCGTGATGAACACTTGATCTGCCACGGGATTTCTCGCATGCCAGTAATCGGTCCCGGGACTCGTGAGGGGAGCGTACATCTCTGTCTTGATAATTTCAGTCTGCTTGACACTCGTGGTGTTGTTATTATTGTTGTTATTATTATTGTTGTTGTTATGACTGTGATGTCCGTTGACAACGGTAGGTAACCTGTTGTTGTTAGTGTATGAGTCTGCAGGACTAGGCGATTTGTGACCGTTGGCTTTGTCAGGGGCAACCGCGCCGTTTGATTTATCCTGCTTCTGTTCCGACGACAAATGCTTCTTCTTTGCTGGCGGTTGCTCTAGAGGTGTGTCTATCTGAGGAGACAGCGGCGCCGGCGGTGCCCGTGGAAGAGAGGGTGGTGGGCCGTGAGGTTCGTCGGCTTCGGGACGCTTTTTGTCTTGCACCGCTGGCGCCAGCGTCGTTGGTACCGCAGGCAATGGTTCTTCCGGTGTTGATTTCACACTAGAAGACGATGGCCTTCTACTACCATTGACTTTGTGACTCTGTAACGTAAACAATTTTATTTGTTTCTCAATCTTTTAATACGTTCAACGTTTGTGTGTTTTTTAATGACAATCAACACTCACGTGATATGACGGTGTTGTGGAATTATTTTTCAGAGGTAACAAGCGAGGAACTTTGTTCGGCGGCGGGCTGCTACTGCTACTATTAGGACTGCTCGTGGTGATTGTTACGCCGATTTTGCCGGATTCTTTGAGAACCTCGGCTTTCCTCTTTGGACCTACTGTTTCTCTTCTATGTAACAAGGGTACGTCCATACTGCTATTAGAACTGTCCGAGTCAACGCTGAATGCGGACGCCATTTCCGGTGGTGTTGGAGACTCATGGTCGTCCAAGGAACTTGGAAGTGTATCCTCGTCAGGTGCTACAGTGTTTAAATGGGGCACTGAAGTGCTCGTCGTCGATTCATCTTGACTGTCTTCACCTACCCTTTCGTCTCCACCGGGTTCTTCTTCGACGACGAGATTAGCCAGCACCTGATCCTGAAGATTAAAGATTAAAGTAGAATACATGTTTTATTTCGCGAGTCTCTAACTCAAATCTCAAGAAAAATCGTTATTTTTTTTTGTTACATTATATCTAGTATCCCTTCGTCTCGGCCTTCTAGTAGACACATCTGTGCCTTTCTGACTTTGCTCGTACAATTCGATTAATCTGACGTCTAGAATATTTTCTTCCGGCTCCCATGTATTATATCTAAAGTACGAAAACAAAATTGCCAATGTATATCCAATCATTATTTACATCCTTTTTTTTTTTTATCTAATGACAAAGTTCTGATTTTTTACTCACTTTTTACTCCATCCTTTCCACTTGACAAAGTATTCAACTTTGCCCTATAAAGAGAAAAGTTAGTAATTATTACGAGTGTGTGATTATTTGAAAGATGAATGGAAGAAGGAGAGGGGAAAGAGTGAGTGAGTGAGTGAGTGAGTGTGCGCGTATAACAGGAGTAAAGCCAATTACAAACATGAAAGAGAAAACACGAACTGCCGATATCGCTCTCATGACTGCAACAAAATTTGACTAGAATGTACATCCTAAAATTTTATTCCAATATTCTGACAGACCTTGTAACTTGAAAGTCGCACAGTTCTGTCTGCCGAACAATTTTTATTTGACAATAACCGGTCGATAATAATACACCAGGTTCCATTGATGCTTACTCACGTGAAGTTGCGCCAATAAATGTCAAAACAAATGTCTCGGCAATAAAGGTACAATTTCAAATGAGTAGGTATATTAATGGAACTTACACTACTTACACCGTAATACATACGTGCGTATATAGACAATTTAGCCAATGATGACAAAAACAAGAGTCTGATTCCATTGCGAAACACAAACGCTGACCGGCGTGACAGTTGGAAAACAATGGAACACGCGCGATAAGTTGTCGTCGCGTTGAAAACTAAGCGCGACGCGCCGGTGGTTGACGTGTGATCCACATGATCAACGTGGATAACGTTGGAAACAGGTTGTCATCCTTTTCGCGAACCGTTACTCAATGTATGTTGTTGCACGTCGAGACAATCGTCGTGTCATCGCGAGCGAACGCGAGCTTTAAATACTCGACACGTGAATCATCTCGCGCGATTTCGTACGGTTTGGAATTTAAACCATCAAACGAAGCGAAATAAATTTCGCGCGCGGTTTCGAACTAATTGCGAGAATCAATTCGAAACGAACAAAAAATTTTCGCGAATGGCGAAAGTTTCAAACTCGTCGAATTGCGAATTCACTGACTCGTAGAATTCTCCAAAAATTTGTAAATTGTCAATCAGCGAATTTCTCCTTAGATATCCGTTAAATATCCGTTAACGATCTTTTTAATTGTTCGCATTGACTGTGCGTAAAGGGAAATCACACGATTTTCTCCCCTTACGCCTACAAATTTAAATCTTCAGAATTGCTTTCAGAAATGTGACGAATATTGCAATTTTAAGGCGCGGAATTTTATCTTCCTGAAACTTAACGCAAGTTTTACATGTTCTCGAGGGAATTTGCGGAACATATTTGCGGCGTCAAGTGTTTCGTAGAAACAGGCCAGTTGCTGCCAGCTGATCGCTAAAAGAAACCTTTCTCCTCCTGTCTGTCAATATAAAAGTCATCATTTTCTATCTTTGAAAAAACTCTTGTTTACCAAAACTTGCACACGTACAGTCAGTGTGTGCGACGAGGAAATTGATGAACTCTCGCGGGAGATTTACATATCAATCCACAAAACAATTTTATACAACAATCTAACACGCGAGTTGTGTCGCTAAAATGAGATTAAAACGTTTCAAAAAAACGAAAAAACGCAATAACGTCCGGAAACGCGGATGCGTTCGCGCAAGAATGTTTTTTCCGACGAATTAATAAAAATGTCACCGATGACAAAACCGGTCCACCGATGAGAGGAGGTCTTTGTCTCTACGAGGAGAGACGAGATTTAACAAAACACACGACGAGGAACATGTATCGAAGAGGTTTCTCTTTCGGGGGGTATACCCAACACACATATCGGTATATACTTAACGTGTCCGGCGACGAGAACGCGCGGTACGAGTGTCACAGGAGTAGGAGGTGGCAGCGCGGCCAGACGAGAAGCCAGCCAGCTGTGAGTGAAATGGAGAACGAACAGAGAAAGAAAAAGTACGGAACAGGGGAGCGCAAGGATGAAGGGAAGGGAGGAGGAGGGAGGAGGGAGACGAAGAGAGGCGGTAACGGCGAGATTCCGCTTAGTGGCGCCATCTGCGCGACAGCTCCGACAAACTTTTACGACGGATACTAACCCGCTTTTCCCTCTTCTTGGTGATTCGCTCCGCAGCGTAAACTCTGTCACCTAGATCCATGGTTCTGCCGGTGAGTAATTTCTAATAATCCAAATAATCCAAACGGACACTAATTATACCGGTTTGTTGTGTGCGCTGCGTGTTCGCGAACAGTCTCTGACCTAAAAAACACCATATGATCGATATCACACGGCGCGGCGGGATTGTGGATCTCGCACGCTGAAAAATCAGGCAAGCAAAAAGCCAAACACCGACGTGTTGTTGTTGTTGCTGTCACACGTCGTCGCAAAGGGTCGATTGACAGATCGCGAGGCACTGACACTGACACACACGCTACGAGGTAAGACGCGCGCGGGACACGTGCGCGATTACCATGTGGGCGGGGGAGAGAGGAGGAGGTTGCAATTGTAATCTCGCAAACGGAGATATATATATAAATCTTTCAGTATTTTTATCGTAGCACGGTTGTTGTTCGCATGTGTCTTACATACGTACGACGTCGTCGGTCGCTGAACGTAGCGCCGCGACGCGCGTTCCCCGTTCTCTCGCTCGCACAAAATTCTCACCTGGTTCGTAGAAACCAGGAGAGTGTTGCTTCAATATCCCCGTGTTGGGGTGTGTGATTGAGAAGCAGAAACAACACGACGAGGATAGGATAAGAAAAAAAAAAAAGCGGCGGATTACAACGCGCGCGATGTTTTTCGAAAGGCCAGTAGCTTTGGGGACACGACCGGCGAACACGGCCAGTTAAATCGGCGTACACGCAGGTCTCCCATCGAGAGGAGAACAAAACTCAAGTCATTGCGCGTCAGCTTGCCGCGTGAACGAAATCCCCCGTTTTTCTGTTTCTCACTTCCGGACGCGCGAATCACCCCGCAAGTTCTATCACGTCAATTCTCTCGCATATATATATGTATCCCAATCTGACGGTTCTTCTTCCGATCCGTGAATGTCGTAATGCGCGGGCGCGTGTTGTATATACTCGGTTGGCTACCGGCGTGGCGCGGCACGTTTTCTTCCGTCTCTCGTTGCTGGTGCTGCTGCCGCCTGTCGCCGTGCGTTCGCGATGATAGTCGTCGTCGTTCCGTTCGGGCGAGATCGGCCGCTCGCTCGTGCGTGACGTCAGTGATTCCCCCTGACGTCGTAAACACCAAACATGGCCGTCGTACAGATATACGCTGGTCGAGTGCGTCCCAAGTCGAACCCGAAAACTGGCTGCAATACGGACTGCCGCGGGCCGCGGCTATGCGCAGGTAACGCGTTACGACGTTAACGAGCTCCTAGACGTGCGCAACGGAGTCACTGATAACGAATAGACGTGAACCGGAGCAACGACTCGAAGCGTCTAACGCACTCTGCGGATCGAGGCCGACTAGAGTTGAGATCTGCCCAACTCCCCTCGGAAGCCTAGTGGACTCGCCCGATCCGCTCGAGGTTAGGCGTCAAGAGGGGGCGCAGGGGCAGAGAGAAAGAGCTTTGGCAGGGGAAGGGAGAGGCTCTCAACGGTACGTGCGGCCTGCATGAGAGAGAGACTGGCTTAAGGGAGGGAGAGAGAAAGAGAGAGAGCGCGCGATTGAGTTGACCGAGGGAGAGAATCACGGGGCCAAGGGAGAGAGGAAGAGCAAGCGCAATGGAGGTAGAAAAGAGAGACGGCGCTACCAGAAGCACCGTCCTCGGAACAAGAAAGCCGTGTCTGCCTAGCCTGCCTGCCTGCCTGCCTGCCTGTTTGCTTGCACAGCCAACCAGCCAGCCACCCTAAGTTCCCTTCTAGGTACGTGTATGCGTACGTTTGTATGCGTGGGCAGTCGATGCGACGTTGCCAAACCCGTTTCGTCGATAGTACCGTGCCGCAAATGTCATTGGCGTACAACGACGACGACGACGATGCTTCGCAAAATTTTGTGTCGTCGCGGCGGCGGCAGCAACGCCGCAACGGCGGTTTCACGATTTTCCACCTTTGACCGCGCGAGTCGAAATCGATCGATCGACGCAGCCACACGCTCGTTCACTCCTTTTTCTCCTTATTCCGCAAACGTACGCGGCGCGCGTCCACTCCTCTCCTTCGGCGGCTTCGGCCTCGCCGATATATCAGTCGTGTACGTATATTTGCGCCTACGACATCCGGCAACGCCGCATACTCCGCGACGTTCTGTCACACACACATATACACACACTATATACTCAACGTACACCAACAACGTACACACACACATACACACATACACACGTCGATCGTAGTAAGCACTGTATCCTACAAGTGGCGAATATTACGTTTGAGATTGTAACAAGAGAGAGAGTGTCCGTAGAGCGCAGCGTCACAGAGGCACAAAAGACACAACGAATTACTCGGGGTTTAGATACTTTTCTTCACGGTCTCGTGAAAACGCGTGCTACCTCAACGGATCCCGAAACGAGAGTGTCCTCTCCTGCGTCGACGAGCACATAGGGAGAGAGCGCGCGACAAGGACGGACAGCGGTTAGGTCCTCGTATCCGAGCGAGATGCCGCGGTTCCGTGATAGGGGGGAACCGTTTTCTCCGTCCTCGGCGTAAATAGCAGGATAAAAAACCTACGATGGAAGCGCCGGATTGGCGGAACCATCAAGGCGCCACCAATGTACCGAACCCCACTCGACGTGATGTCCAATCGGCGTTTAGCACGGCCCACGTCGGTTCCCCTCGACACGTCGCGAGGGCGGGCATTACAGTCGAGCCGATCGGACTCCGACCTCTTCCCTCTCTTTTCCTCCACCCTAACCTGCGTTGTGTAAAGTCTCTCTGCGTCTCTGTGACGAGAGAGCTCCCTCCTCACCCATTCCGCGGGGCAAGAGAGACAACGGCAAAGGTCCCCACCCTTCTCTCGCTTCTCTCTTTCCTTGTCGCAGGAAACCCGAATAGCGGAGCGCGCGCGCTACCGTGCAACCGAGGCCTCTCTTCTCATCGCCGAACGGCCGTGTAAAGCCGTACGACGGCTAAGCCGTGTGTACCCGCCGCAAAGGGCGGGCACATAGACGAGGGACGCGGGCGGGCGGGCGGGGTGGGAGAGATCGTATATATATATATATTGCGTGCATGTGGTGCGCGTATTGTACATAGGCGCACGAGTGCGCACACACGAACACACATACACACGACCGCATCGCGCCGCGTCGTCGTCGCGCTCCCCCTTCCCTTGCTGGCCCCACGTCGGTGGCCGACCACCGTTGGTATTGAAATATCCTGGCTCTGGAGAGCCAAGTAGCCGTGCGGTGATGCCGCTTCTTTCTATAACCACTATTGCGCGTGCGACTCTCTTCTCCCGCGCTCTTTCTTTATTCACATTCTCTCTCTTTCTCACTTTTTTCTCTTCCTCTCTCTTTCTCTCTCTCTCTCTCTCATCTTTTTCTCTCCTCTCTTGCACACCTCTTCTCTCGTTTTCTTTATGTGCATATTTTCTCAACTTCTGTGCTACCTTTTGCCTCTCTCTCTCTCTCTTTCTCTTTCTCTCTTTGCTTCTCTGTAGTCATTCTCACGCGTCATTTTCTCTCCGTCGCGTCGTTCTCTTCATTGAGTCAATATTGCTAAGCGGCTAATGCGATTGTGGCCAATTCCAATATAATATAATCGTCCGATTAAGTTTAATCGGTAATAAAGAGATCCGGAGACCTTCTCTCCTTTTGCGCCTCTCTCACTTCGAATCTCATTCCGACGTGACGCTTGCTTTTGGAATGCAATCAATCATCGCACATGAAATGTGTGACCCTGCGAGCAATAGGTAAATTGGAAACTGCGGGTTCGTCGGCTGCTCCGCATCGTTGTAATCCTCTGGAATATAAACTCGGAATAATTCACACAAATGGCGTATTCGTGTCTCTTCTTCTTCGATCGATCGCTCTTTTTCTTTTTATTTCGCGACAACGTCCGTCGATGTGCATTTTTTACTTATTGCACTTATCAGTGACGTGACACGTGGTTTACCTTACTTTGTACAGGCACGTTACACGATCTAATGTAGACGGAACGGTTCGATTAATCGTTCAACTCATTCGTGCGGTTTTTTTTTCAGATTGTTTGACTTCTTTTTCCGAGATCTCGATTATTCGACACACGTCCGACGACTTACTCCGAGTATCGTTTATCCGCAACGATCACTTTTCCCATTTTACAAACAAATATTTGGCGGTTGATTGCTTGTTACATAGAGACGGCAAAATTAATCAACAACGTTTCTCTGCAGCTTCGAAGCGTAATATAATTTTCAATACCTTGTGTTCTCTCTCAATTCAACAAACTCCCCGCTCGCGATCAGGTCAGGTTCGTCGACAGCGGAACTGGTGAAAAATTTCTCCGTGATCTGAAAAAATATTGAAAAAATGATTTTATGAACTGGTTTTGTTTTCTCAAGAGCAAAAAAAAAAAAGTTACGTTTATTTCCGAGAGGCGAAAGGCCGTGACACGCTTCTGTGCGAAGGTAACAATGCGGCGCGCGCTGCGCGATGACGCCGGGATGTGAGGCGCGTCGTCGCTTCTTTGCCCGCCAAAAGTAGGCAATTATTATCTCAGAAACGAAACGAGATATCGAAATGAAACCTTCACCGAACGATTCTCTACCATTTGTCATGCTTATTTATTTCAATACGAATCCGATTGCACTTACGGTTTCCGCGTGCGAGGCGTTTGTAGGTTTGCGCTCCGGAGCGTAACGCATGCGTATTACGAAGAAACTCGCCGATAAAAGGTTTTCTCAAGTTTACGATCAGCAATGCGCGATTGACGAGGAATGATTCCGGAATGTTAATGACCGCGATTTCGAGCACTTTGTCGAAAACTTTGTTCGCAGTTTGTTGCGCAATTATCGTTTACTTGCACTACATGAATTAAATATGCGCATCCCGATTACCGTGTGTCAATTTATCGATATCGCAGACGCGTATAAAACAAGATGATCGTTCGTATCGACTTTGTCAATTTCGATTTTTTTGATCGTCCTGATTTTTTTTATACAAACCTTTTTTATATTTACGAAAATGCGACAATAAAGCAAACGCGTGGAAAATAACTATTGTTCTCTTCTTCTGCCTGTTTTTTTTTCTTCACTTTTATTTATCAAAAATTAAATGTCCCACAATCGACGACGGAAAAATCTGGTCTACCTCCATAGAGAGGTCGTTGCACGCGAGAAAAGGTTTAATCGCAACCGTAAGGTCGCGAGTTCAATTTATCACCAATTACAGACTAGCATTAGCTCACTAGCTAGAATACCGGGCTGATGATGATTGATTGACTCGTTTTTACGATTGCGACCAAAATATTGTCGCGTGTCATGGCCTTAACGCGCGAAACATTGCGACACGTTGCCGCTGTTCTTTAAGCGACATACATAATATTAGCTCGCAAGTGGCACGTATGCATGTCTCTCTCTCGCACCGATGTGTTCGTACACATGCATACACGCGAGTCTGTTTGTAATCGCGGCCGCGATTTTATGTCGTCGTCGTCGCCGCGTTATCGGATCTGTCAGTGTGTGTGTTATCGCGCGCAGTCGCCTTGTAGCTTTTAAGTACATTATTATGCTGAGACACAAACGTGATGACTTCCCGTCGTGTCAATTCCGCCCCGAAAATGCGGGGCTTGGAAAACTCGGAACACGCCCGTATATGCCCCGAATGCGCTCAATGAAGATCGATAAGGAAAATCAGAAATCATCAAACGATTTGCTTTGGAACGAGAGCGAGAGAGAACTATCGCTATTCCATCGCGACTCTCTCAAACTTCTTTCTTTCGGTAGGACATTTAGAAAAATCAAGCGTAACAATTGCAATAGGGTTGAATTTCGTTTAGAAAAATAACGGAATAACAAATGCGGTAAAGTTCAATTTCTCTCGAAAGCTATTCGTCCAAGTTTAAAGTCGTACACGGGGAAACGGACGGGACTTTTCGTTGATATTTCTTTTTGTTCCCTGTTATTTATATAGTTGGGCCACGCAATCTCCGGGGTATTAAACCAATAATTTTTATTCTACGAATATAATTTGCATAAGTCTTCTGAAAAAAAAACATAACGCTTTGAGATAATAAAAAAGAAAAAAGAAAATCATTGTAATATTTCATTTGTGTCGCAAACGCTTTTTTGTAAGTCCCCCATTTGTAACAATGCACGATTTATTATTGTACAAATTACCTTGCTTCCGTCAAGTTTTCCTCTATTTTATCGAGGCAGACCTTTCTTAGGCCAGACTTTTCTTGTCTGAGTAACTTAAACTACATGAATGAACTTTAGTGTGGTCTCCCAGCGCGTGATCTATTGTTTGTTTATTTTCGAATTTTTCACCAAACCGACTCGCACTGGATGGAATTTTACAAAGAACTTCAAAGAAATATCTAAAAAAAAAAGAAATATATAGCTAGGAAGCAATTCGTTCCGCGTGGACTTTCTCGGGATGATTTAGTAATTGTGATATAATGAGATTTTGACGATCAGGTTTTTCTGATTGATTTTCCGGAGCTTAATAAACAAAATTTTATTCAAAAAGTCGAACATTTATCGGAACGGAAGCGCGCTCGAACAATTGACGAAAAACAATTAATTTGTTTAAATAATAATCTTGACTTTTGTTCTCAGAAACTTCCATGTTACTCGAAAACAAGACGATGTCTCTGTTAAATTTCAACACCGGGATGTTGCAACGTTCGTCGTCTAGCAAAACTCTAGTCGTTCGACGTTTTAATTAATTAATTCGATGCTATTTGCACTGCGGCAAGTTGCGAGTAGCATTTTCAGTCGATATCGTGATCTATTCGACTTTGGAAAATCAATAATTTGTCAAAAACGTCAAAATTTTACGCGCGCGCGCGTGCCAAGTAGCGGATTCTAAAAACGCGTCATAATTCGGTTTCCGCGGGAGCGATCGGGATGGGATTTAAACGATAGAGCCGCGAAATGGTGTAGAATCGTTTGCAAAAGGAGCGAGATCGTTATCGCGTCCCGATGTCGAGATATAAATTGGTGGTTTTTTGTCTGCGCGCGAGGAGTCGCAATCGCGCGCTGTGCTGCGCATGTTGCCTGCCTCTCTCTGAGTGAATGGAACTTTCCACGAACGAGACCTGACGACCTCGGAGCGTTAGTATCGATATCCTCAAGTGAGGTCGTCGATAGGAATTTTTTTTGCAAAACATGAAGATTTTCGCTACATTTTTTTTTTTTATCGTCAAATCGAATTTCCGCGCGAATTTAATTCTTTTTCGTCACGAAAAACTCACCGTAGGAAATTCGTTGAAGCTGCGCGCCAACTGTGGCCGCTATTTCAGTATGCTGTAAATTTTTTCTTTTTACCAGTTAGAGAGAGATATATATATGTTTCAAGATACTTGCAGCAGTACATACACACAGAGCATTCAAATAATCGGAAGGTAAAGATCTAATCTGTCTAATTTCTGACCAATTCGCAAGAGCCAACTTCATCCAAAAGTGTTTTCGTCAGGAAGTCAGTGACCAGAAATCTTACTTGACCAGAGCCATCCTTTCCTATTTTATTTAACCTGACTAGCGTCTAATCTCGATTTT